ATTTCTATTCCTCCAGCTGGCTTTGCATAATCCTGGGGGCAAGGGGAATTCCCGTCAGAAGCGACCGAAAAGCAAACACCACAAATTAGTCGGCATGAAACACACGGACCGGTAAATGGCTAAGATCTGAAGGGAAACCCGGAGGAAAATGGATGCGGAGGGGTTACCGGGGGCAGCCAGAAGAACAACAAATTGAAATCAAGTGAAATTCTTGGGCCGTACCGTGCGCAAAGTTTTCCATTTCATTTTTCGAAATTTTGCTGCTCCGGCTGCTGCTTCTTGGTCTATTTTATTTTTTCGCTTTGCGGATTTCGTGTGGAAAACTTGGGGGCAGCTGCCACATGGAACATGAATCAACATAGAAAGTCCTCAAAAAGTTCGTCGGGGATGATTTAATTAGAATTCTTGAAGATGTCACCCAGGGCTATGTGCCTCAGTCTGGACCGGGTTCTCGGGCAACGTTTAATTATGAAATTTTCAAGGTGGCAAGTTGGCAAACTGGTAAGTTGGTAAATTGGTAAGTTGGCAAGGTGATGCGAGTAGGATTTAGCCTAGGAGTGGGAGTGGGACTGGGAGTGGGAGGAGCCCTTTTAGGCCCGCCCTCAAAGGTATTTTGTGGTAGATTAGCCCGGGTTCAACGGCGTCGGTGACGGGGCTTAGGAATCCCGATTGGTGTCGGGTTTCGGGCCTCGGTGTCGGATGCTGGCAACGATGTGATAAGTTAATTGAAATTAAATTTTAATTTCATGGGATAAAGTTGCCTGCCATCGATGAGATTGCTTTTTGCGGGGCCTTCACTTTGCGCTCATGGAATCAATATGGAAATGTGCGAATTATAGGGGACGGGAACGGGACACGTCCGAGGCGGCCAATCAAAAAGAAATCCCCTGGGTCTATTAGCAGAATCATTTCATTTTCCCTTTTAATGGCAAACTCACATGTCACGCTGCCGCCGAAGAAAACTCATTTATACATTATGTATACGCCATGTTGAACACACAAGATTCAATCTACGTCGCAGCGGAGAGTCCTTGAGGTTGTCTTTGGAGGAGTTTTGCCTTAGTACACACATGTATGTATGTGCACATCTCCCTGTGTGTTAATTGCCACTGAGAAAATAGAAATGATCTCCTCTGAACGGTCGATTGGATTTTAATTAACTTCAAAGAAGTTTCAGTTGTCCAGTTTCGGGTAATATTACATATTAGTTGACCAAGAAGCTGTGCCATTAGAGATTGAATCGATTATTAAAATCCTTTTGATATAACTCTTTAAATCTGCAAATCTGTTATTAAAATCTACTCAAGATTAATAATGCAATAGCCTAGGATTTCTGTAGAAACTAAATCGATGTGTAATAAATATTCTTGAGTACAAATACAGCCATAATTAAACAAACATAAATGAGAAATATGAAAGTTTCATCTATGATCTAATAATATTATATTTTTTAAGCCACTCTTTACTCTTAATTGTTAACTCACTTTTGTTTTCACTTCGAAGCTATCCCCAATCCTTGTTTTCAGTGTATTTACTCTGCAACTTCTTTGGCATTCGAACAGCACACCTTGAACAATCGAAAATATGCCCAAGGGCCAATATTAATTCCCATATTCCATTTTAATTATACAAATGCAAATGCAAACGAATCCCTCACACAGTTTCCAGTTAAATAAACAAGACAAGCTTATGGCTTTCACCCTGGAAATCGATTCCGATTCAAAACTACAAGGAAAGCATAATCAGCTTTGCCGGCGGGGCAATAATTTTAATAACAATTGGATGCGCATCCAATTGAACTTAAAATCTGTCGGTTCGCCGCCATTAACTATGCAAATAACGGGCGGGATATACATAGACAAAATCGCAACAAGATTAATGTTTATTGATTTCCCCGGCCAAGTGATAATTTGTTACCACACCAAATTGGCCGTCCCACCGTCGAGCGAGCCGATTTTTCTGGCTTACTTTTCTATTTCTCGGCAAAGCCATTCTAAGAATTTGATAAGCCCCTTTTGGAATTTTCCGTCAGTCGCCCGGGCGCCCTTCCAGAAAACTTTTTGCGGGTATTTGCATTATTAAGTACACGCACCGATAGCCCTCCGTCGCTTTTCCGATTTGTTTTTTGGCGCCGCTGAGGGAAAGCGGTTGAGGGGAAAATGGAAACTGGGCATCGAGCCGAAGGTGTCATATTGCCGAGGATTTTCTTATCAGACATCAAAGGACACCTTGCGGTGCCATCTTTTTGCGGATCGTTGCCATTGCAACCCGTCGCCGATGAAAACGCTTAGGGGAGAAAGGGGGAAAAAAAACTCTGCTCCCTGTCAAAGTCCCTGCCCTGCCCTGCCCTTTTCTCAAACTCCGAAAATTTCCATCTCCAGCTTTTGGAAACTAACTTTTCTTCATCATTTACATAAATATTTTCGTTTGGCTTTGTGTTTGTTTTGTTTGTCTGGTTTCGTCTGTTTAGCATTTTGGAATATTAATTAAAGCAAACTTTCCAAAGAATGTGAGCATTATTAAAAAACAAAAACCTTACGTGTGGCAACAATTTTTATCCTTGAAAATAATAAGGAATAAATAAATGTGCGCATTTCTTGGGGGTTTAAATGTCATTCGCTGAGATTTATGTCAGTTTAATTTGAATACTGTAATTAATAAATAAGCATTCAGTTCGTTTATACTTAAGTTAATAGATTTAGCTATGTCCGAACAAAATTTAATTTTTTTTTAATTTTTTAAAATTTTTGAAGGGGTTACATTATTAAAATTGTCAAAAAATTTATAGAAAATTTTAATTTTTGGAATTGTTAATTGTTATGCAGATTTGTAAACCCAACAAAAACTAACATAGGAATGGTTCCGAATCAAAATTAATGCATTTTTGGCTTAGTTATGGGATTTTTAAACCTTGATTTGTAGAACAAATTGCCATATAAAAATATAAATATTATTCACTCAAAAAATGGTATTATAGTTTTAGTCAGAAGCTTCAAACTATGTAAAGGAGTCATTTTATACTTAAGACCGCTTTTAATAATAAATCCTAATTTTGAATTTAAATTAAATTGTAAGTGACAAGCTAATTTTTATGTTCTTAAATGCTCTTTTTTATAAAGTATTAGAACCCCTAGAAGCGTAGGTCCCTTCTATTCGATGCCAAGGATATTAAGTGCAAGTGTAACTTAAAGGAAACCTTTACATTTCGGGAAATTCATCAACCGGAATTGAATGAAACTTAAAAGAAAATACAAATTTTTTTTAAATATTGATGAATGGCACGGGAATGGGCCGACAATGACGGAAGCACGGAAGGAAAAGAAAACGCATTAAGAAGGGTCCGTAATACGCCACTGTTTCCTAGAAAGCCTTTGTTTCGAGGTAAACGAGGGGAGTTCCCGGTTCCGCCCGGGTTCCCCAAGAAACACAGGTAATGGATGTCCCGGGGGCATCCTGGGGAAGGACGGCATTACCTGGATTTGCTTATCAAAACTTCAAAGGTCAGTTTCCCCTCAGAAAGCGCAGGGGAGCCGAGTCGAATCGAGTTCGAGTTCGAGTCGCGTAACGCTAAGTAAACATACATAAAAGCCCGTTCACATCTGGCCCTCTTTACTTATTTACCGCTATTTGTTATTTGTTATTTAGTCGTTTGTCTCATTCCGCCCAAATTAGCTGGAAGTGAAAATGAAACCTGAGCCGAAACTGAAACCGAAACTAAATGGACGTATCGAGCGACAATCGGTTGCAGCAAACTGCGGCGCAACAAAGGCCAAAACAGAGCGGACCCTAAAACCAGACCGAAGTCAACCTACTTTTGCACGCAACAGACTACAGCCAGAACCGAGTGAAAATACATTCCACTTACTATATATGTATGTATATATGTACCGATATGCCATGCATATATGCACCCAGCGAAAAACTAGACTGAGTTAAACAATGGTAAAAATTAAAGGGCTTTCAGAACACCCGATTTTAAGTGGATGCAAGACAAAACTGAAGGGATTTATGGAGGCAAATGAATTACAATCGAAAATTTTAAACTTCCAACTTGAGTTTTAAGTTTTTAATACTTGAAAGCCAATTAAGAATATGTAATCTTCTGGATAACACATAACATTTGCTTATCTTTCTCTGAATACCTCAAAATTAGTCATAGTAATAGTTATAATTATTTCTAAATACCAAAAAACACCAAAGTATTTACCACAATACAAATGTAATCTAATATAATTCGTACCTAAAAAAAAGAACCGCCATTTATTAAAATTTAAATAAGTTCTCTCATCCTGAAACCTCTTTAAATTTGAAATCTATAAAAGTCGTGTCCAATATATAATCCAAACAAAAATATAATTTATTTAGATTATACAATATTATTTGTCATACCCTTGTGTAAGTTTTAAATTGATTTGTATAGTGCAAAGCTTTACTATTGTCTTAGAATCTAATCTTTTTTATTTTATTATTAAGAGGGTTTAATACTAAATAAGTCGAATGCAATATAAAAACCAACCACGGCTAGGAACTTACCATAAAGGCAAATAACATAATTCATTTCCTAACGTGTCGTGTGAAATTGAATGATATTAAAAAACATTAACAAAGTCTGTAATAATTATTTTGATAAGAAATAACCAACCATTGCTTTGTTACTAAATGCCAAAATAATCTTTTTAAAAATTATTAAAGATTTTTAAAAGATATGAAATAATAATAAAGATCCAAAGGATGCTACCAATTTTCATCTATTAATATTTTTATCTTCGAGAGATTCGTTCTTTTTGTGCCTGTGTATATATGTACATTCAGTATGCGCCCGGATGAGAGGCACGGAGCGGGTTTTTCGGGTGGCGGAGAAGAGCAGGGCAGGCCACCCCCTCCGTTGCCGTCTCTGTCTCCGTGTGTATGGGGGGACAATTGGGCGCCCTGCGGCGGATTATTGAATTTTCCAGCAGCATTCTCCGCTGACACTTGGCGCCTAATGTGCTACCGCTTACCTGTCTTGGTCGTAGCTCCTTCGCAGGACGATGCTGGTTTATCCTGGCTGTTCCTGCTGCTGCTGGTGCTGCTACTGTTTACCAAATTCACTGGCGTTGTCAAAAATTCCAATAGAACTTCGGCATAATTTACATATCTTGGAAATGCATTACACAGTATATATACATAGAGTCGGCGGCGACCCTATAGGGTCCAAGAGGAGACACGAGCCCTCCCAGCTGCACTGTATATATTCGCGTATATTTTTTCGATTTGGTTACTTTTTTATTCTTTTGCTCTTTTTCTGGGGAGACCCAATTTTTGTGCCGCTAAGCGAAAAATCAAAAAACGGCGCGCGTGTCGGTACGGCTGATATATCCAGTGATTTGATGGGACACACGCACTAGCAACACGCGACACACGACGAGGACGACGACGGCGACGGCGACGGGTGAGTGTACCGGGGGCTTAGTCGGTGGTTATCCGGGAACCAGGGATTTGGGGGCAGTGTGACAGGCGGACAGGCGACTAAGATGAATGTCAATAAAAATGATGCTCGAAAACTGCAGTCGGTTATTTTTAGGGGGTTTATATTTCTCGGTTTTTTTTTTTAGTTTTGGGAGTTGTTGAGTTTCTGTTTTTATTTTTCGTTTTTATTTCCTCTCTCTCTGCTCCAAGTTACTGTGATTTAATTACAAATCGCAGACGAGAACATCTATAAAGCTGGAGCGGCGACAACCACAACCGGAGTTTCGTACTCGTCACGCGAAGAATCCGTACTGAAGATACAGATACGGATTTTGGCCAAGTGAACGAAGGCTTCATCTCGCAGCAGGGCTGCTGCGCAAAACGCAGCTAACGGTGGCCAGGACACTGCGCAGGCGCCGCTCTCAGCGGCGGCTCTCTCGCTGCCTGTCTCTCTGCGGAGCCCCCCTATAAATATGTCTGTGTGCGACACGCTCGTTGGAATGCCATAAAAAAAGGAAGCGTTAGAATGAAATGAAAATGTAGCATAATTTATGACTGCATCGTCTTTTAAATAATTGCACACACACACACACACACCTCCTCCTGCCTCCGTTTTAAATATTTACATCTACTCACCTGCCCAGGCCCGAAAACCAGGCCTCCTCTAATGACCAAGTAAATATTTCATTATTTTTTTATGTTTTTATATGTCTTTTTAAACATTTTGCCGAAATTGGTTAAAGGTCAATGGTTTATTTTTGAGCAAAACACACATGGTAGCCGATGCGAAATGATTAGGAAAGATTTACGGGAAAATTAGCTAAACAAAAATGGGCGATATTTGCATAAACATTGATAAATAATTGCTGAAGAGTCTGGCAAAAGGAAATAAATTCGGAAATTCGCTTTTTACCGCCCACAGTTTATGTTTAAAGTTGTTGTTAAATGCATCATTTAATTTTACATTTCTATTGTTTTAACGAACTTACATAAATTTGTAGGAAAACTACACAGTTCCCAAGAATATTTCCCTTAAAAAAACATAAGACAGCCCGTCGGACCTGATAAAGACAAGATTTATGGCCAAATTAGCTAATCAAATATTTGCGTAAACATTGATAAATTGCTGTTTTTCTTCAGCGAAAACGGGAATAAATTATGCAGCTGCTTTTAAAGTTTGAAACTTGGAAGTATATGGGATAAAAGTTGAGTTCTTTTAAGCCAAAAGCATAAAAAAGTTCTGAAAATCAATGTACATATGTATATCGAGATGAAAATAACGATATGAAAAAGCGAAATAAAATAACCTTATTACAATAATAATAATAATACTTTTACAAATTTCCAAAAATATTCTAAACCTTAAATATTTTATAATAAATTTAAATAAAATTAAACTGTTTGCTATGTTCAACCTCGATATAGCACAATTTGCTTTTGCCTCATATTATTGAACTTTAAAATTTCGGACTATAGATATATTGTCATTGCTAATACAAAGACATTTTTTGCATTTATTTTATATGTAATTTATTAAGCTTTGAGTAAATTCCTAAACCTTTCTTCCAAACTGGAGCTACTTATATATTTAAACACACTTTATAATAAAATATATATGGAAAAATAATGACATGTTACTATTGCTGCTGTAATTAAGGCCGTATTGAAGTCAGTTCGTTGTTGCCTCTAGAGAACACATCCAAAAATTAATTAAATGTCAGAAAAGAATTGTATTACGTTGTGTAAAAGAGAGATTTGAGTCAGAATTAAAGCTCGACATTGTTTAGGTTGGAGCCCGAGGATGTGGGTAGATCAACATCGCTGGGTGGCACAAAAGTGCCCTTGGTGAGGACGCTCTCCTGCTTGGCACACAGCTTCAGCATCTCGCATTTCAGCTTGTCCAGAATGGCATAGTTGGGCTGATTCACAGCTGCCTTGCTCTGCAACACCGTGATCTCCTGTTCCTCCAGTTTCTTCTCCTTGAAGGTCTTGATCGAATTGTTGCCATACAACCGGAGCAGAGAGCCCCAGGTCATGATGTGCGGATGCAAGATCTACAATATTTAACGTGAGTTTATCAACTACTTATACCATATATAAAGGGACATACCTGAAGGATCGCCTGGGAGGCCAGCTGCTTGCCCTCGCGCTTGTTTTTGCACACCACCTTGGCGGTGTGCTTGCCCACAGTCATGGTGAACTCATTCTTGTTGTTCGCCGTCCGATTGATCTCCTGATGGATCTGGACATCGCTGCCGTAGTTGCGCTGCAGGCATGTCAGCAGTATTGCGTTGGGCGATGGCTCTGTGGTTTTATTACAAAACTCGGTGACCCGCGGATCCTCAATGCGGATGTCGTCGAAAACCTTTAAAAGTAATGGGTTAATCACATTACAAATTAAATAAAAAATGAGATTAGCTTACAGACAGATCGCTCTGCGTGTTTTTGGCACTGCCACTCTTCTGGTCCTTGTTGCGCGTAATCTTGTCCTTGACATCGGGTATGAGTATCTCCAGGGTCTCACGCGCCGCCTCTGACTTTGCCTGCTTCTTGCTGGTGCCATAGCCGGTGCCGTACTTGAGATTATTTACCGAAACGGTGGCTGAATACGGCGTTGCTGCATTTTGCAGCTCCTTGAACTCGTACGTGGGCTGCGTCTTCAGAGCATGCTGCACATACTCGTGCAAGATGCAGACGAAGCTCTTGCCATTCGGATTCATGATCCACTCTTTGCGGCCCCGTGGATTCATGGCTCCACCATCACCGGACGCGGCCAGAATGGGGAACTTGATCAGCTTGGTCCCGTCTGGCAGTGTGGGCCTTTGGATATTCTTGATGTGCTTGCGATTCTTGATGAACTTACGACGGGCATTCCAGCTCCGAAATCGCAAAACACGAATCACTTTGAATTTGAAGAGTTTCTGGCAATAGCTGTTCAGCTGGTCCGGCGTTATGGACTCCTTTTGGGTGTTCTCATTAACAGTCACTATTTTGGCGGCCGGCATGAGAGCTGTCAGACCCTCTGGCTTCATATCGACATCATCCCCATCGGTGACCTTTCCTTCCACATCCATGGCATTAGTTGGAGCTGCTGCAGCTGTGGCTGTGGCTGTCGCCCCGGTTATGGGACACACGCCCGTTGTCGGCGGAACCTCCAGTTCTAAGTTCTTCTGATCCGCCTCGGATTCCTCATCCAAAGCTCTGCGGTAGTTGAGGCAGGGAATTGCTCCCAAAGGAACGGCATGTTTACGGGCACTGCCCGTTCCCAGGAAGTAAGGCCTGGAGGCACAGCAGACGCGCGTCTTGCGATGCAGGAAGAGCGGCATGCCACTGTTGTGGGTCACCTGCACCCAGCCCTCCGGCAGTACCTCAAAATGATTGAGGCGCTTCTCTGAAACCATAATAAAAGGGTTAGCTGCGAGCTTACAGTGGCAATCAAACTCTTACCCTCAAGCACAGTCTTGAAACGTTGTTCGTACATGGGCCGCTTGGAGTCGCGCAGCTCGTCGGGCAACTTCTCGTCGAGTAGGTTCTCGATCTCCTCGTCATCGAATTCTGAAGAGTCATATTCCTCGCCCTCACCATCGGCCGCCTCCTCGTCGTCTTCGCCATCTTTGCCGACAAACTTGTCGCTGGCATCGTCTGGTTGCCATGTAAATAAATACAATCAAGGCTTAGATCATGGTTAAGCATCAAATTTTAAGGTCGGAGCCCGACGTAAACATCAACTTGAAGTAAGGAATCTTTGTGTTTATACCCTGAAATCGCGGGCTTGACAGCTAAAAGATAAACCATTTAAGATCTATGTCCTATTCAACCCAAACAATGGTTTCCACTTACTATGCCTCTGAAGTTAGGAAAATAAACATTTGTGTCTTGCCAGTTACATGCTAAAGTTTATTTAACCAGAGGAAACAGGTGAGTAATGATAAGCAGGGTAATCTTCATAAATAAACATGTGACCTGTATTACTAAACTATACCTGACTTGGCTGGCCAATCCAGCCGGATAATTGGTATCATTCGCATGGCAGCCAGCCACAAGACACAAAGACACCTGACCCGAAGGAATCCGAAATACAACTGAGGCTGGTATCTTGCGCTTTTAGAGGCTGGCTGCCTGCCTGCTGCTATATCTATCAGCCTCCTGTATTTGCACAATGATAGAGCCAGTGATTTCTCGAGATAAAGAAATGGCATTACACAGGGAACAATCGGAAGGCGCAGACGGGAATCTTATAAAATCAGAGCTGAGTTTCTTTCTCTTATATTCTAGAAAAAATATGTAAAGTTCGCTCAGAGTAAATCAGCCATTTTCTACTTAAAAATAAATATATAAGGGTTAATTCAAGCTACATTTTAGTAAGTCATTCCAAGTCAACGATCTATGAGGAAACCTGTAGGAGCATCCCATTCCAGTTCCCAACCCATATCCAACTCACCGGAATCATCAGCCTCATCGCTGGCAGAGCCGACCTCGTCGAGCACTTGGAACTGCCTGAGCTGCTGGTCCATCGACTCGCCCTGGAGCTCATTATCCCGCGTCTGGCGCATCTCCTCAATGGCGCTCAGCGAAAAGCCGGCCACTTTAAGCTCCTGCTCCTCATCCTCCAGCCGCGGCCGCTTGCAAGCCGGCTGTACGGTGATTTCCGATGGAAAGCCTATCACCGCAGGCTTTGTCTCTACCGCCTCCGCCATTTAGTGTGGTGCGAAAACTAAATCGGGGGAAATTACTCGGACTGAGCGGAACAACAACTATAGCTGCCTGGGGGCCAATCTCGCCAATAACCAATACTGAGAGCATCCAACGACTTGCAATTGATTCCTCATTGGAAGTGCCACATTGGTTAAGCCAGAAGCCCCGCGCCGGATACCGCGTCCCACTCTTCCCCACTCGCGATTTTTAAGGTTGTGTTTTTTCTCTTTGTCGGCGGCCCTACACCGACATGGCTCTTAGCTGCGTCTTTCGCGATGGATTCTGTCCCGATTGCTTGACATAATCCCAAGGCAAAAGTTGCTACCAAAGCACACGCACTCCTTTAAGGTCCTTAGAGGCAAGAACAACAATACAAGAGAATAAACACCATGTACAGTACAAACTTGGCGGCAAGGCAGATAAGTTGTACAAGATCTAATTAACTTTGGTTAAAGGCATTAGTTCCGGAACTACTCCAACGAGTGTGCACTGTGTATTTGTGTTTGTAAAGGAATAAATAATTGAAATCACGAAAAATCTTCTTGTTTTACCACAAATTTGCAAGACTTGTTTATCGACTACTCCTACTCAAAGAACCATAAACTATCGAGTATGATTATTCGATTGTGAAAACGATGGTTTTGTTCGCGCTTGTATTTTTTAACTGGTTTACTTTTTTATGATTTATTTATAATTTAATTTATAAGATATTAAATGAATCCTATTACCAAATTCGAGATATTTTCAATTTTAGTTAATAAACTAGTTCCATCAAGAAGTTGTTTTTTAAGTAAATTGTTAATTTAAAAAATAAAGAAAGGAAACTTACTACGGGAAGCCAAGGTTTATTTACCCTTGCAGTTTGCAATTGAATTAAAGGATCGAAATCGATCATAACTGAGCTTTATAAATTAGTATTCTTGGAATCGATATTTATAGATAAGACAATTTTTTCGACAAATAAAAAATTAAAAAATTCATAACTAAGCCAAAAATGCATTAATTTTGATTTGGAAGCAATTCCTATGTTAGTTTTTGCTAGGTTTATAAATCTGCAAATTTAAAATTTAAAACTATGAAATTTTTTTCCAATTTTTTATAGTTTTAATGATGTTATCCCTTATAAATGTTCAAAATTTTTAAAAAATTAAATTTAGCTCGGACATAGCTAAATCGACTAGGGTTTTCATGCTGATCAAGAATATATATGATTTATAGGGTCGGAAATGACTCCTATCCGTAGTTTAAAGTCTCTGACTAAAACTATAATACCATTTTTGAGTCAATAATATTTATATTTTTATGGGACGATTTGTTTAACAAATCAAGGTTTAAAAATCTCATAACCAAAAATGCATTAATTTTGATTCGGAAACCATTCTTATGTTAGTTTTTATGAGCTTTATAAATCTGCAAATCTCATTTAAAATTTAAGAATATTAAAAAATTTGCGACTTTTTGACAATTTTTATGATGTAACCCCTTACAAAATTAAAAAATTTTGAAAAAATTAAATTTTGCTCGGACATAGCTAGATCGATTTGGTTTTTGATGCTGATCACGAATATATGATTTATAGGGTCGTTACACTCAATCTGTCTAAATTTAAAATACTCTGTAAGGGTATAAATATAGTACTTAAAATATACATTCGGAACCCTATTTCCGTATATGAAAGGACTAGGTCTGATCTATACACGACGTTAGCACCGTCTCCACGTCGAGATCAATTGCCTTAGATGCCACCTCCTGTACACTTGCATTCTGGGCATGACCCTTGGTACGAAGGTGGGCCAAGAGATGCGAGCGTCGAACGAACGAGGCTTTGCAGGGCTCGCAGCTTGAAGTTGGAATTATCATTAAACGTTAATCAAACATAAGTTAATAACACGGTTACTTACTGAAAAGCTCGCTCTCCCGTGTGCGTGAGCATGTGCTCCCGGAGTTTGCCGCTCATGGCGAAGCATTTATCACATTCGGTGCACTTGAAGGGCTTGATATTTGTATGACGACTGAAAGGGAAAGGATTTAAGTTAACGAACTATTAAAATTTTGGGAATCAACCCTCTTACATGCGTTCGTGTCGGGTTCGCACGCTGGTATTGGCGAACGTCATCTCGCAAAACTGGCAGGGATACGGACGCTCGCCAGAATGCATGTCCTGGTGCCGTCTCAACAGATGGGCGGTGTAGAACTTCTGCGGGCATTCGGAGCAGGCAAAACTCTTCAGGCCCGTGTGCCGCAACAGGTGCACCTTGAAGTTGCTGGGGCAGGAGAAGTGCCGACCGCACTGCTCACAAATGCAGTCTCTCTTGCGGCGCTCTCGCTTCAAAGCGACAACTTCCTCCTCGGTAAGCTTGTCCCATTGAACGCGGGGCTGGTGGCGGGCATCGCTATTGTCCACAAAGGTCACGGATGTGTAGGGATGACGAAGGGTTTTGGGAGGGTCCGATTTCTCGACTTCCTTCGCTTTCTCCTCTTCCTTCTCCTTAACCTCCTCCGGGAAAACCTCCACTTCCGCCTCCTCTTGAGGTAGTTTGTCTACCTCGTCGAATATTTGCTCTTCTATAACCTCATATTGTGTGACTTCTTCTAGGATAAGCACCTCCTCCTGGTCCACCTCCACTTGTTGCTGCTCGACCGTGTCCTTCTGCAGCTGCTCACCTTCTCCTTGCACTTCATTCACATTGAGGCCATCTATCAAAACCCTTCTACCGCTTTGCAGGGCCTTCTGGGTTTGAATTATCCTTTCCCGGAAGCGTATGGCCTCCCGCAGCGACACCTCGCACGGTCCGCAGATGCAGACGGGGAAATTGAACTCGGAACCCTCCAGCAGCTGCCGTAAAATCAAATTTCAGTTAAGAAAACTCATCAGCCTGTCTGAACGTGCCTGCTGCTACTGGCGATTGGAGCGCCAAAAACTCACATAAAGTCCCGTTAGGGCTTCGATCTGGTGGAGATGTATGCAGTCCGGTTCGTTGAAGAGGTTACGCGGATTCTTGCAGAAGATAAACTTGCCGCAAGCGCGGCAATGTCGACTTGGCATATTCTTTAAAATGGCTAAATTCACTTTACCATTATTTTTACCTTCTCTGCAGAACTGGGCGTTGCCACATGGTTAGAGGTCTGGCAGCACAGTCAGCTGTTTTGTCGAAACGCGTTCCGGAATTCTAATTTGGTGAGAAGAGAAAACTAAATTACAAACCGCAGAAAATGTGATGAAAAATTAAGAGTGTTATTAAAAATATATATTTTAAAAATACATTTAAACTTTGAAATTAAAATAAAGTAAAAAGGAAATGTAAGCATGTGGTGCTAAAGGAAACCAGAACATCCCCACAATATAAACAAACCACAGCCGTCACTAACTAACTTTTCGCAGCTCCGAGTGTCTGCCGTGATGCGTTTGAATGAGAAAACCAAAATACTAGGTCGTGGGGTCATCCTGGTTCCCTACGAAGCCCGCCATGTGCCCAAATACCACGACTGGATGAGCAACGAAACACTTCGCCAGTTGACCGCCTCCGAGGAACTCTCTTTGGACGAGGAGTACGAGATGCAGAGGAGTTGGCGCGAGGACAGTGACAAACTCACATTCATTATCCTAGACGCCACCATCTACGCTCAGAATCAGGATGAAATCGCCGCCATGGTAGGTGACACAAATCTCTTCCTGCATCCAGATCCGGATGACAGCGATCAACAAGTGGCCGAGGCTGAGATCATGATTGCCGAGCCAGCTGCCAGGGGCAAGAGTTACGGTCGCGAGGCCATGCTCCTCATGCTCAAGTACGCCCAATCCCAGGATCAGCTCAAGCTCGCAAAGTTCCAAGTCAAAATCGACATGGAAAACAGCATTTCCCTGCATCTCTTTAAGACCTTTCAATTTGTTGAAACGTGTCGAGTTGAGATCTTCCACGAGATCACCTTGGAGCGCACGATAACACCGGAATGGATTAGCTGGCTGGACCAGCAGGTGGAACCACGCATCGGTTGCTATTAGCGGACAGGGGATAGCCTTTGTAATATATATAATGTTCTTTGTTATTTCATCTTCTTCAGAATTATTTAAGTTAATAAAATGTAATAATTGATTGTGAACTTTCAATTTGTATATACATAGATATAATTCAATTAAGTTCAAAACACTACACTCAATAACGACCCACACACTCTTTCGTTTATGCTCAGTTTATTACACTTATATTACAACTACTTGTTTTGCTTTTACCTTATGTATGTATGCTTGCATTTTACATCATATGTATGTATTTATGTGTGCATCGATGTTTTCTTGTTTTGTTTCGCCAGCTGGCTTGGATGATTGTTGCAATGCTATGTGTATGTTTCTGGTGGTGATTCGCGTGGCAGGAAATGGGCAACGAACGAGCACTTCCCACCTTGTCAATTGCCGCTGTGTGGGTGCGGGGTAAGTATGTATATTTAAATATATAGTACATAAAACTAGATGCTTAGCTGCGTACTTAAGACTGCTCGTTCACTTGTTCAGTTTTTAATTTTTTATAAAAATCATTATTAAATAATCAAAGGCAAAAAAAACATAAACGCGCAAATGAAGACCGGAAAGCTGCCCTTAACTGAATCCTAAACGTAGATGATTAGGCCGCCGCTCGCGGGCCATCGATGGGCATGGCGTGGAGCACCTCGTCCAGTAGCTGGAGGGCGCGATGCAGATGCACCTCGATCCAGCAGGGCGTCTCCTTGATCGACTGTCGCGGATAGTCAGGTCCCCAGCCCTTGACGAAGCTCAGCCGCAGTATGCAAAGGCGACGCAGATCGTCCACACCAATACCAGCGGCTGCAGTGATGCCTAGAAATAAAAATGTATAAATGAGCTCTTGAAATGTTATCTTGGGCATTCACTCACTTCTACCACCGCCACCGGCGCCGCCGCCCATCTGCTGATTGGCCACCCCGGCCACTGCGGCTGCCTGAGCTGCGGCCGCAGCCTGGGCATTGGTGGCTAATGAGTGCATCTGCTGGTGGCACTGGCGCAGATCAAACACCTGGAACACAAAAGTTCATTATCAAGTCTGTCGGTTTTATATTCTAATACGCACCTTGATGCATGCCGCTGGATAAATCTTGTGCACGGCATCGCCGGGCGTGCGACCCGCCTCGCGATCCAAATAATAACTTTGTACGAACACCGAGTTGTCGCTGAGGCAGCGTAGCCAAACATCTCCCTCGCCACGCAGATCCAACTGCACGCCTTTGCCAATATGCAGCCTAATAAGAAATAATCGTTATTGTATATTTCTGTGATAAATATTTCATAAAGTCCTTACCTGGCTCGCTCCGATTGCTCGGTGCGATGAACGTTGCTGAGGGCGCCCAGACAGAAGCGATTGCCACCGGAAGGATCCACATAGCCATCGATAATGACATTTGGTTTTGCCGATGGCACCTTAAAGGTCTCTCCCACCTGTGTGTCCAGCTCAAAATAGGCTATAGAGCACCAGTATTCCGGCGGCGGTTGGCGTGAAAGGAGACGTGGCTGTTGCTGCTGCGATTGCTGTTGTTGTTGCTGTTGTTGCTGCTGCTGCGGCGGAGTTTGTTGCGGCGAACCTAGGTCACCTGAGAGCGTGGAGTTCCCTGCAAGAATAGGTGTATTGTCAGAATGGGTTCTCTCGAATTATAGTGTTAAAACTCACAGAATCCCCCAGGCAGGGACCGCGGATCTGGCGGCTGCATGGACTGCGTATAGGTGAGGGTATTGGGACCTGTCCAAGTTCCCGCTGCGCCACCTCCCCCACCTGCTTGAGCCGCTACACCTCCAGCAGATCCCGCATTGGTCTGCACTCCTGTCGGTGGCTGTTGCTGCTGCTGCTGGACGGTGGTTGGAGCAGAGCCAAAGCCACCAACGGACGCAGTGCCTCCTGCCGGTCCTCCCTGTGACACATAGCCATTCTGCTGGGCATGCACAGTGGGTGGAACCGAGCCGCCGCCTCCTGCTCCTTGCATTTGGCTGCCAGGCGGCGGCTGGCCATAGTATTGTGCTGCGCTAGCGGCTCCACTGCTGCTATTAACCGCTCCATTCGGCACGCCTCCCGCCTGTTGCTGCTGCTGTTGTTGCTGCTGCTGCTGCTGTTGCTGCTGCATGGCCAAGGCGGTGGCGGGATCTGTTGGAGAATTAGCCTGGGCATGGTGCACTCCATTGCCCTGGGGGTTCTGAGCCTGCTGCTGCTGCTGAGGCGGTGGTGGGGGTGCCATTACAGGATTCATGGGGCCAGACATGCTCGGCATGCCATGAGGTACGGCTGTAAATGCAGAAAGGAACAGGGATGAGAATCTAAAGGAGAATGTATTTTCAAATATGAAATGAAAGAGCATAAATCAATATAACGAAAATTGTTAGGTTTTCCTAATCGATCTTCAAGAGCTTTCTTAAGAAACCCTTACAAAGCGGATGTGCTGCAGCCTGGGATTGGGCTTGGGTTTGCTGCTGCTGTTGAGGGTTTGGCGGGGGTTGTTGCTGCTGGGATTGCTGCTGTTGTTGCTGCTGCTGTTGCTGTTGCGACGGCTGGCCAAGCCGCGGTGGAGGTGGTACCATCCATGAACTGCGTGACCCCACAACACCATCCTGCGGCTCAATTTTAGGTATTGTGCGGCCGCTGGGAAACATTGCACTCAAGGGATCGCCAACTAATAGTCAAAACAAAACGAAAATAACCCAAAAAGAAACAAAAGATTAAAAAACACAACCGAAAATAAATAGTAAACTAAAAAGTCGAATAAACTATGAATTTCAGTACACAAATCCATTCCTTACCATATTCAGCGGGTCCCTGTGGATAACCGTAGCCGCCGGGACCCACCATCTGCGTGGGATGATGTTGTATGGTACCGATGTCATTGCCATCGATATCCATGCCACCGACAAGCGGTCCGGCTGAGTACTCGTCCTTCACCAGGCGACTGGGTCCGGATTGCAGGCTAAGGCCGGACAGATCAATGCCCGGCGAGACGACGCGCTCGTAATGGTAGGGATTCACACACACCGAGTCGCACTTGAGATCGAAGGCGAAGGCACAGTACTTGACGTGCTTCAGCTCGTTCTTGTGCAGGTCCGGCCAGCGCCAGATCCGGGCGTAGATCACGTGCGGGAAGCCCTTGCGACCGGCGACCTGGTGGAAGTAGAACCGAAATTAGATTGTGATAATCATACGTTTCCGTGAAATGAATAGCGACATAGCGCTATCAGAAAATCGGAAATACGCGCAACGGACGCCACTCGTCTCCGATAAGAGACGAGCGTCCATTTACCTTACCTGCAGACGTCCATCGAGCGTGCGTTGAATGGTCACGCACTTGCTGGGATGGGCTCCATTCGTGGTAATGGCCGTGATCAGCGAGTCCAGTTCGTCGCGCTTCTCCTTGAGCTTCTTCACCAGCGATTCGATGGCCCTCTTTGCGAATCCCTCGCTCTCGCCACCCTGCCGGTGGCACATCAGCGAGTGGACGATGCTCAGGCAGGCGTCCGCCGATGTTGGCGCGTTCGAGGGCGGCGGCGGCGGCATTTGCACCATGTCCCGGACAATTACTGAGACGAAAGGTAAGTAATTAGTTAGGCGAAGATTGGAATATACATTATTCTCTGGGCTTTGCATAGATTTTAACATATTTGCGGTGAGATCTTGTATTGCAAACTCTGATTTTTACTGATCCATTTCATTTTTGAGTTTAATTTTTGAATACAATTTTTTATATATGAATCTAACATCTTACAAGGATTCATAGAAAGAAAATAGAAAGTGTTTGTAATTTTTCGCCTTATGGCGCACATATGTGTCCTGACTGAGGACCTGCAGAAGCCCAGAGTCAGACCTGGAAATACTTACTGTCCTGCGGGGCTACGGCGCCGTACATGTGGGTGGGCGGACCCGCCCCCGGACCGCCGCCCATGCCAAAGTCCTGGGCAAGGCCCAGGCCACCTGCATGGGCATCCACTGCGGCGTTGTTGCTGACCCCCTCGCCGCCGTAACCGGATCCGCCGGAGCTGCTACGTCCGGACTCGGACGAGCCGTATCCGTGACCGTAAGCCGCTAAACCGAAACCGGACGAGGGCCACAAAACGAAGCCGCCGAGGAGTCGCAGAGGTCAGAGTGAGGGGAGGAGAGGGCACACACACACACACAAACACACGAGGGGGCCGGAAAACCGACGACGAAAGGTAAAAACGCACCAAACAAAGGCGGCACGCGAATCTGAGCACAAAACAAACGGCCGATAGCGACGCCTGAATGTGCGTGTGTGTTTGTGGGCTTGGGGGGTGCTGCTGCTAATCTCCGAACTCCCACCAAGTTGGCGTAATTTCTGCTGCTTTTCCTTGCGAAAAGTCTCTTCTCTCCGTTACTGCTTCGCCTCTTCCTCCTCTTCCTTCTTCCTTCCTTTTTCACAAACACACTCGCACTGCTCACACACACAGACAGGGGCAGGAAACTACAAAAGTTTCCTTCTTTCTATCAGCTTTCGAGCGTTATTTTCACTGTTTTCTTCACAAGTTTCATTGTCTGCTTTATGGCAGCTTCTCGGCAAACGCAAAGAACACAATTTTCCGGAGGTTTTCCCGTTTTCAACCCGATTGTCTTCTTTTTCTTTTTTTGTTGCCCGTTCAGCATAAGGTACTAACGCGTTTTGCCGAAAAATACCAGATGCAAATAGCGACGACAAATTTTTAAGCCAGTAGTTTTCGAATCAAAATTTTGTAATATTAGACTCGCTTTCAAATGATAAGCCTAATTTTAAATAAAAATTAATTCTAATTAAAAGCCCGAGTCCTTTTTTTGGAGTATCTCATATACTTTTTGCGATACTTTTCATATGGAGAAGAGTGTCGCAAACTTTTAGATCAGTGCTGCCTGTTTACAATTCTTATTGCTATAGCTGGCATAATTGGAAACGCAAAATTTTATGAAGCTGGCTACTAGCTTATAGCCTTAAAAATAGCCAATTCTAATATTCATATAACAAATCTTGGTGTATAATATATAAAATAAATATAGATATTATTTATACTACGGGTATTTTCTTGTATTACAAATCTCTCAGTTTTAAAGCTATCTATATAAAACTTTGCAGTTAGTCTTCTATATACTCTCAATTGTATATAAGTCGGAACGGCCCGACTATATCATATAGCTGCCATAGAAACTATCGTTCAATGTAGAGGAAAATGCCAAGCTGCGAATGTAAAACTAAAACTAGGAAACTATAAAGATAATAAGTAAGCTGAATGTAATGAATTTAGGCATTGCAGAAATATATATAATTTATATGTAATTTATACATTATTATATTATATTAGTATAATTTTCATGATATACCTCAAATCTGCAGGGCGTGCCTTTTTTGTTTTCATCTTTATTACTACTGAGATTTACTAAAGCTTTAAAAACATTTTTTAAATAAAAAAATACTATAATTATCTTAATCTCAAATTCTAGCCCCTTCCTAGCCGAAATAAAAAAGTACACGACACGATTCACATGTATACAATTTGCTCCTGCAATGTATACCCCAATACCTTAAAAGAATGTACTTAAAACCCCTATTTGAATACACCAACAAAAAATCAACAAAAGAAAACTTCTTTAAAATTGTTTATTTAGTTATTTATTTATTAAGTTTATTTTAATAAGCTATAATTCAGAACCTGTGTTTAGATATACACTTTTTTCGTTTTTTTTCTACTAGAATTTAGTTGTCATTAGCTGGCAACACTGTATTAATTAGTGATTTCGATACTTATCATATAAAAAGTATCGTATACAATCGATAGTTTTATATCGATAAAACTCCTCCCCGGCGCAATCGATTCTTCCTTTTTCCCAACTCTAATTCTCGAATTCCAATTTGAGAATAAGTTTATATTTTTTTGGTCAAAGAAAAGAAAAGAAAGCAGATACTGATTAAAACGCAGAGGCATCCGGGTAAGTGACTCGGAATAATTAAAAACACCAATCATCAGTTTAAATTGTTCAATGCGTAAATCGAACTTGTTTGCCGACTTAAAAATCAATCGCCACGCGTTTTTTTTCCACTTGTGTTTGTGTGTGTGTGTGTGTGACGAAATTAGCAAATCTTTCTGATGTAAATCCTATTTTTAGGGAAATCCAGGAGTAAGTTAACAGTTTAAAATGCATTTAAGGCCTTTTGCGTCTTTAAAAGTTCTTCACGAAAATTCCAGATGCACACATTCATTCCTTTCTGTTTTGCGTGTGTGTTTGTCACAGGTTGTTGTTGCCGACAATTTCTAGAAGCGTATTCGTGTGTGTGTGTGAGTGGAGGGGCCCTGAAATAGCTCACCCCCTGCCCCAATACTCCTCCCCTTTCCAAGATTAATAAAAATTTGCTTGGCAACAGAATGGATTTCCCTTTCGCCGGGAAAATGCACTCTTATGCGTACTTTCTAATCTCGCTGGCTGCGTAATTTCCATGTTCGAAACCTTACCTTATCAGAAGTAGTAGACGCAGCATTGAACCACAATCTTACAATTTCAGTTGATAAAAATGTAAATAGAGGTAGTATGTGTGTGTTTTGTAGATCTACATTTATATTGATTGTGAAATATGCGAGAAGTGTTATTTTACGCATGAAGAAAGGGAAAATTCTTGAACAGAACAAAAACTTTTAGTTTCCGTTTATCTTAGAAATGTATTTATTTTTCTTGTAAACATTTTAATAAAAAAAAAACAAATGTTTCCCCTTTAAATTCCGCGCTCATTCCGGTTAACCTGTCACGTCACAGGTTTGAGTCTTGGCTGAGTCCAGGTGTTTGACTACGACAAATCGCCATCCTAGTTCCCAGTCAGTCTTGTTTCTTTAACAACCACTCGATTATTTTTGGATTGTAACAAGTTTTAGTCTTATTTTTACCTATTTCTCGGTTTCCGGTCTTGATCAAGTTAGTTCTTCGGCCTTCTTTCATTCGGTATATGGTATATCAAATACTATTTAGTATTATTCATATCGATATCAATATTTTTTAGTATTTTCCATTCATATAGTAATTACAGGCTTCCAAAATGATCTTAATGATCATAAAATATAAGTTTAACACGTAAATAGGGATAAATATAGAAAGTAGCAAAAAAGCCAGAAAGTACAAATATAAAAAATACTCTCTTAAAGTATCGAATATAAAATAATCGATTGCTTTTGGTATCGGTTGAATCGTCAAAACATAATCGGCTGAGTCGCGAGATATAGCTAAATCGAAAGAGACGAACAACAAGCAAAGTACCGTTTTAGACCCGAACGCGAACGTTTATATATTTGTATGTGTGTGTCTGCATAGAAATAGAAATTTATAGAATTGAACGCGGATTAAATGCTATCCAAAATGTACAAAGTCTAGTTAAAGCGCGATTAAATGAATACAACGCGGAAACAGAGCTAAGATGCGCAGCTGATGGAGAAAAGTCCCAACCACTTTTTAACTGGTGTGTGGGAAAATCGATCGAAAAACTGCAGCGAGAGAGTTCCAATTGTGATACAACTAATAAAATAAAAAAACAAACAGCAGTACAAATTAGTTAACGTAGCTTAAAGAACTAAACGAGCTGCCAGCAATTATACACTTATTCTCAAGTGCAATATCAGAAGCCAAAATTCGCCAATAACTAAAATTCATCTCAACATTCCTGCGCAACACAAAAACAACAAAATGGCTGTAATAACGTAAGTTGCACCAATGTTCACTTTGTAGGCGAAAAAGTCGATAAATTGCAAAAAGGAAAAGCCAAGGCCTTAATCAGATGATTTTTGTTTGTTTGCCAAGCGAAATAATGGAAAATAATGAGAATATACGAGGCATACATACAGAATTCGTTATATACTTACGTTCATGGAGAAACAATTTACGTGTTTGTTCCACTCTCAGTTCGTTTCACAGCTGTTTGGCTGGTGTGTGGTGTGCATGTTTGTGTGTGTGTGTGTGTGTGTGTGTGTGTGTGTGTGTGTGTGTGTGTGACTGACTGAGAGAGTGGGTTTTGGGGTCCGCTATGGGGCTGTGCTTTTTATGCAAGCAGTACAGTACAACATCATCAACATACATATCTATGCATATTACTTAGCCTTTGTTTGGAAACTTGTTTTATTTTGACTAGAAAATATATTCTGTATTGCTGCCTTCCCCCATTTTGGATACATTTACATATTTGTTTTATTCTCAATTTACGTCAATTGTTTTACTACCTCCCTCCCCCGCCCACTTTGGTTGTTCTCCCCACAATCGTTGAGTGTTTCTCTACCACCGTTCCCCTGCTCACACACACTCAGGCTGCAAACAAAGACTTGCGAGTGTGTTGTGTTCCCATTCGGATTTTGTCTCATATTCACACACATACACACACCATGGCAGCCAGCCTGTACGAGTGTGCGTGCGCGGGCTTGAAATTGCGTCAGCCAAAAACTAAATGAAATACAAAGTAAAAATTGAATCTGCTTGTTTTTATTTCAATAATCTTTGGTAGATTTCGGAAGCGCAACTGGTTTTTGTTAAACGCACTTGACAAGAGTGGGAAGCATTGGCTTGTTATTGCATTCCGTCTTTGTGCGTTTTTTCCGATGTTTCTCCTTTGGTTGATTTCACCTTCAGCTTTTTTTTTTTTGTTTTCTGGGTCATATTTGTTGATTTCAATTTGTTGCGCAGCCGTCGAAACTGAAAAAAGCTGCAAACACACACACACACTCACATAAAATTGCTTAATTTGTTGATTTTCATATTTTCCCTAGCCTCCAAATAAAGTAAAATAAATACGTGGGTGTTTTCTGCGGCTTCTTCATCACAAAGTCTCTTGGTATCGTTGTTTTATTTATTCCTCTTCACACTTGTTTACATGTAAAAAAAAGGTTCCTCTTTGGTCCCCATTTTCTATTTTCTACCTAACTTTGGCGGCGGATGAGGCATAAGACGAGAAAAGAGAGGGTGGACTGTGTGCGTTTAACCCGTAGGTGGGCATTGTTCTTCTAATCGCCACTTGCTTCTTTAAATAAAAACCTAGCATTTTAAAACTAACACTCTGACTTAAAGAGACTTTTGTTGTTAATTTCTTTCTTATATCTGTTACATATGTTTGATAATCAGTGAAATTGTAACTGTATAAAATTCAAATATAGATCTCAAAGTAAACAAAAAACGATCTGTTTATATAGCCTTAACACCAGCTGTTATCTATCGGCGGTAGGATGGCGCCTTGGCTCAGAATTCGTCTGCTTTGTACCTGTATACTTGAATTTCAGTCTGCCATGAAATAGCCGTTGTCTGCGAAAAAAAGACGCCAAAGTCCAAAAGTGAAATTCAATGCCCGAAACACTCATTCGAAACCAGACAGCCACCCAGGAAAAGCACTCAACTGCACCGATTTCAACCCCGCTTCCTGGTAATTTCCTCCTATTTTCAGCTCGTGCCAAGCCATCGACTTTTTGAGTCCCACCCCTTTTTTGGTTTTTGTGTCTAATTTAATTTTATGAAAGGTGACGAAAAATTCCAATATTCCCGAGTGCAGCTGTTCTCGTTCTCCTTTTATATATTTTTTGCACTGCAGCTGCCTTTTCCTCTGGTGGCATTTCTATGGGTTTTGTGGCGATAAGATCGAATTGCTTTATCGAGTCCCGTGCTTACGTCATGGAATGTTACGAAATGTCCTCATCAACACTCTCCTCCGTCGATTGATAACGTAGCGAATCCCCAGCACTATAAGTCATCATTGCTATCCGAGAACCTTGTGTATTATATGCCAATTTGCTGTGGCAGCAACCTGCATTTGATAACATATACCTTGATAAATGCAAAAGCTTGGATACATGTGTATATAAGTTATGAAAAGTTTTTCAAATGAATATTGTTTACTGAAGACTGGAACATTTTAAAGGTTTTATGAATCACAATACTTTTACTTTCTGACTTTAAATCCTGTCTCAAGGGAGTCTGAGTCACTGCATTTTCCTTTTAACCAATTGGAGCCCTTACAACCGTCGCTCTCTTTTCTTTGTTAATTTTTTTTGGGACTTTGAACTACGACAGTGTTCCGTGCGATTAGCACACGCTTATCATCCATTTGGGCACGCTCCTCGCCTCGTTTGTTTTTAGTGACTCTGGCTTTCGGTCACGTTCACTTTACGTCAGGAAAATTCTTCTTTAACTGCATTTCCGTTGATAGTGCTTGGAGGGGCTTGAGTGCACTGCCATTATTTGCAGTCACACGATTGTTTGATAATGCAAATCGCCGCCGAAGTCCATTGACAGATAGACGAGACGACTAGTGATAGTGATAGTTCTGACTCTACCTAATTTAGCTCATGAATTTGATACTAGAATAAGGCGAAACGGGCTTGGCAAAGGTCGATCGACTGATTACCAAATGGGCTGTATACCGAGTACAATGCCCGCTGGTCGGGTTCCCTCTCTTTCTCTCTTTCCTGCCATCTATTGTTGTTTCCGCTTTAGGTTTGTTTTCTTTTCCTTGTTTTTTTTTTCTTTCCACAATGCCCCGAGAAACGCCGTATTATCTTTTGTCCGTTTGGGATACCGGGAGATAAAATTCGTCGTATCTTTTGCCAGCACATGCCACTGCAGCGGCAGCAGCTGCTGCGCCTGCGCCTGATCTTTCCATTATAATATTGTTCTGCTCGCTCCACTTGTGTACTGTGAGCTGCTGCTGGGTCACTATTTAATTTGTGAAACTCAGTCCTGTCAGTGGGGGATGGAATTCATCGCTTTTTGGGGGTTGATCCGGGAATAAGCCACCCCTGTACCCAGAAAGCTGAAAAACTGGCTGGGCAATTTCCATCGTTTCCGTTAATTATAACCCACGGCAAAGTCAAAGTTCCTTACACCTCTTTTCAACACACATGAAAAAATCGAAGAGTTCGGGTTCGTTAGGGGTTGACACAACACCTTTCCCGAGGTGGTTCGTTCAGGTTGTTTTCCGTCAGGATATTATAAAGGAAGAAATTGTGTGTGGTGAAGAAAGGAGGGAATATTTCTTGTAAATAACCGACTGTCGTAAGGGTGAACAATTTCTTTTTGGCGCTAAAAACAGCACTGACTCTAATAACTGGTTTTCTAATGAGACGTCTTTAAGGGATCTTTGTAGTTATACAGTAGAAACCAGGCTCTATATTCGAGTTACGCTTAGCAATAATCGGGAAAATATGTACAGATACATAACTTTCTCTACTTTCGTACAAAAATGCAATACAATAAATGAAAAATATACTAAACGAAAAATAAGTTTTGAGTTTTGTTTTATTGTTAAAGCGAACCAGAACTTGTTCTTTCATCTTTCACCCATTGGAAGCCTGGCTCCAGTCACGTTTCCATTTCTTCCATTAAAGCTGGTCTTCTCCGCTCTTTCTTTCTCCCGATCTTTAGCGATCTCTCTCCTGCACGCAGTCTCTTTCTTTCTGTCTCTTTGCCTGTCATTTGTTGACCTTCAGCGCCGACGAAAATCAGTCGATGACGATGATAAATGAACAAACCGTTCGTCGATTGTCGATCGGTTGGTTGTTCGAAAAGAAATTAAAAGACAAAGCGTATAAAATTAAAAGCAATTGCTCTCTCTCTCTTTCTCCGCCTTTCTGTCTGTGTAAAAATCATATGTTGTCTAGGGAAAACATTTAGCTTTTAGTGGCACTCTTTGTTTACGATGCGGATGGACTCACTTTCGTTTTGGAAACGCATTTTGGTTTATGTTTTTTGGCTTTGCCACACCTCAAACCTAAACTTTCAATTGCAGTGGAGGGATTTACTTGAGCGATGTTACCTACTTAAAGACAAAGAGAAGCTACGAAAATATTTCACACCTGTCTCGACCACGCCCCGCCGTCCGCCGCCCCCTTCTTTTCTGTTACGAAAATAGGCAAAAAGTGAAATTTTTTGTGTTATTTTTTACAGTAAAAAATATGGCTATAGCTCTTGGCACACACAGATACAACTGTGTGTGTGTGTGCGTACGTGCTTTGCGTCAGCAGAGAGCGAGCGCGCGCCAAAAAAGAAAAACAACACAACGACTCAAATCAACAACTAAAAACAACTCGACAACTGAAAACAACAACAGTTTCGAATACGAAACAATTCAGTTGAGAAATTCCGCAGCTATTTATGCGCTTTTGTATGTGTTTACATACACGAAATGATTTAAGACCATTATATATCCATCTCCAACTGCAGTCGAGCAGAAAACCTTGGCTAAGATCAAAAGTGCGATAACTTTTTTGTCTAGCTACAAGTTTTTTTCGGGCTTTACTTTACTTTCTTAGTTTTTGGTGAACTGCTTCCGCTATAATTATAGCCACCTTTGTTCTGCTTTCGGTACGCCCAGAAAACCGTATAACAATCTGTTATTGTTCCGAAACAGAGAAAAACAATAATCAGATGTTTCGACTCTATCATCTAATCTTGCATATTGGTCAAACCCACTTGATAAAAACAAAATCTTTGTGAGATAAGGCTCATAAAATACAGGGCACTGCTGATTAAACATGATCTTATCTTCCAATCCAATCTTAAGATCAGATTATAGACAGATCCTGGAGGGAATTCTAAAGGAATATCTTTAATATCCCTCTTCTATTACATTTTATAAGTAAATAATTCAACATTTATTTCTCTCCGTGCACAGAGACGCTTTCAACATATTATTCTCATTGTTATGCCTTTGGTCATTGTGTTTATGGTCTTCAGCGGAGCGTAAAAGTTGAACTTTAACCGAGCTCGCTCCGTGGCCTCACCGTTATCACTGTTTTTCGGAAGCATAAGCTTTTTCCTACTTTAATTTCAAGCGCTTTAAGCTGCGATCTCTTGTACCTTATTTCATGCTTACTCAGCAGCTTTGGAGTCTTTTTGGCTATATCCCCCCGCCGCCGCCTGTCTGTCCCTCGAAACTCGTTTGTGGTGGGCGGCGGGCGACCTTGAATTGCTGCGGGCCCAAAAGCTAGTTTCGATTGGTTATTGTTATTGGTTGTTTTGATCACTGGCTTTATAAATAGAATAACCACAAGAAACGGAAGTCTTCTGGCTGACAAAGACTGCTTGAATACTTCTGGGGGAATATTTAGTAATATCACCCAGTGCGTCACATAAATGGCCCCGCATCTGATTCACATATTGAAAGATGATTCAGGGCGCGGTCGGAATGTTTCTTTGACCTGATTATGGTAGAAAAAAAAAATTAAAGAGTCGGAGTCATCAAAATGGGGCTTTACTTTCAACCTTTAAATGTGGAAATAACCAAGAAAAACAGAGGAATTTCGTAGTATTTAAAAGCTTTAAATGCTAATACTTGATGATCACTTAAATTTTGAGTTAAGCAACCATTTAAATGAAGCTTCCTATGGCTTTATATTTAAGGAAGTTCTATAAATGGACCTTGCACTGCATTTTTGTGTTTCTCAACTCATTTGCGATGATATTCACTTGGTTTGTTAGCGTAGTTGCTTTCAGGTGCTGTTTGTTTTGCTAATAAGCAGCCTTGTTTGTATCTAGTTGGCCATGAAGCAGGTTAAACGCTTTAAATTGCCCCTCAACTGGGGTTATTTTCGTATGCAGATTGAGGATGACTACGATGACTTTGAAGGCATAATGAGTAAATCTGCGGCATGCTCTTCGATTCCTTGAACTCTTAACTAAATCTACAATTTGATTTCTTTGTGGTAGCATCTAAAAATAGTATACTCCCGATCCCTCATCACTGTCAGCTACTTGGAATCCTCAGGCACCACCACCATCTGGAGGCAATTGTCTGGGCTTTATTTACGCCTTGTTGCCATTTCCTAGTTCCTCTTCGAGTGCCTCTGTTAATGTTTGCTTAGTTTATGTCATCTATCACGTATTTGTTTACACGATCTGAAGTTTCTGTTTTGGTTATTCCGCAAGAGAAGGAGAAAGCCAGCGTCTAATCTGCTCTCCCACCGCTCTTCAGTGGCCTGGGTTTTCTTCTGTTTCGTTCAAATTATAAAACTAGCACAAGCGTCCGTTTGCTCAAGTGTTTATATGTAAGATTTGTGCTTTTCATTTGCTCAAGTTTTATTAATCGGGAACACACACACATTACTCTGTTGTGGAGGAAGTGTGAACAGATATGGAGTACTATAGAGGGGCGTTGTTTACCCCTTTAAAGATTGTTTGCCATTTGTTGGGGAGGGAAAAATGCATTAAAACTGTAAGTTTTAACTTGAGAGGCATAGTATTTGGTCATATCCACACATCAGTACTCTATTAATTCTTTACAATATTCTCTTTTTATTACTCTTTGGTACGATGAATATATATATCGAAAGCCTTGATTTTGCGAGGTCACTCAACAAACATCATGATCTGTAAAACGTTTTCTGTTGGATTAATGTATAATTAACATACAAAATATGTTTGTTGTACGATTCTTTTGATGTTTCTCGATGGCCCGAACATATTTCTTGATCTATTTACGTGGTTTACCTTGAGGCACCACATCGATTCCCCTCCGCTTGTAACCTTGTGTGTCTGTCCGCGCGATTTGAATTCAAATGTGTCACACGCCGTCGTCTAAAGGTCGATTACTGCTCAAAATAAAATATATATTCTCCAATGTCGATTTTATCCCAGTGTATGCTCTTGTACAGGTTTGGGGCGTATGTTTTTAGCTCAGCAAACAAAGTTCGTTAAACGCATTGACCACGAATTATTTCGAAAGGAAAGCAAATACAAAAACAGGGCGGAGTGCAATGCACTTGCACATAATTACTGAATTAATTTGCATGCCACTCATTCCATTGACTCCATTTTGAAACACTGTAATAATATTTTAATTTCACCAAACCCTTTGCAGCTCGTAAGTTTTACATTTGAATTAAGCACAAGGCGAGATTCAAAAGCTATACACTTAGCTATAATACACAAAATTAGCTTAGCGCAGGAGTTTATTATCGTGAAAAGCACTGAGCGAGCACATAATAAACCGCACTGTTTAGCGCTTTGCACAGAAATTCATTTGGTCTTCCGAATTTCTGAATATATATTTTTAATTAAATATTCGAGCGAGTGACTACTGCAAGATCAGAGTACGCCAGACAAGCCATAACCAATAACGACTGATAGCTAAAGCCTTGAGAAGTCCTCTTTGGAAGCGTTGCTATCGTTGATCTTGTCCCTTGGTACACTGCAAGCATTAAGTTCTCGTCTCTTAACCATTGTCGAGGGTTCGTTTTGTTTGTTTGCTGTTTGCAAATCGTTGAAAAGAATTGCATTAAGGTCACTGAACTGTTGGTGGTATTTCGAATTGCAACCGGCCAGGGAGTCTGACTGACAAGGATCCCTGAGTTCTGCGACCAGTGTGTGCATAACAAGTAGCAAACAGATTCGTTTTATTTTCGGTGGCACTTTTGTCGAGGAAAGAGAAAGTGTTTTCCCCCATAAAGTGCAAGGTGTTTTCCCTGTAATTAACCAGCACAGATCTTGAGCTGTAGATTGAGAGTTTCCCCGTCGAGACTCGCTGATATCGGCCGCAAAGGCAAGTCTCTGAGATCTGTGTGTTAGCTGAAAATAAAATCAAACAATTTGGCGCTAGGATAGCGAGAACGAAAGGCTGAATTCTGCTCCTTTCCACTTCTCCTCCCAGCGAGAGTTATCTTGGCCTAGTTTTTCACTATTTCTTGCAATTTCCCGACACTTTTTGCAACTCTTGAGTTAACGAAAGTGTTGTGTCTAAAAAAACCTATTTCCAATTTGCAACCAAAATATAAAAATACAACAGGTACTAGGCCAGCCCTCACAATGTCTGTCCCTGTACGCTACTCTGCTGCCGCCGACGAATACGCCGCCGAAGTTGATTGTGAGTTGGAGTTGGAGTTGGAGAGCTCTCTGCATCAGCAACAGCAACAGTTGCAGCTGCAACAGCAATACGCGGAGCAGTACCAGTACCAGTACCAGCAATACCACCACCAACGGGAGCAGGATATCGCCTACTATTGCCACTTGCAGGCGGCGCGGCAGCAGGAGCAGTTGATGCAGCAGAGGACATCGATGTCGTCGTCGGTTATGCCAGGACTCGACTTGCCGCACCAGGACCACCAGCAGAACGCCACCAACAACAACGGACTCGGACACGGACAACTACTCCACCACCACGCCATGGACGCCAACAGCATCAATGCCATTCTGGTCGATGACGAGCAGCCCTCGACTTCGGCCCAGGCGGCTGCCGCTGCTGCTGCTGCTTCCCTATCTGGAGCTGGAGTATCCGGTGTTGCTCCTACGACTGGTGGTCCCAATGGTGGCGGCAAGCTGCTGACCAACGGCATTAACCACAATGCAGAGATGCCAACTGATTGGATGAGGATTGCGGACGAGGGCCGGTATGGGACACCGGGTGCTGCTGGCTTGGAGTATCAAAAGTACGATCAACAACAACAACAACAACTCGAGGATCTGGAGGACGAGGTGGCAGGTGCCGTCGGAGGCGTTGCCAACAACAACAACAATGAGCCATCGCCATCGAAGAAACTGGAGGATGAACTGCACGCCCTCACCTCGGACGAGCTGTACGAGACGCTCAAGGAGTACGATGCCCTGCAGGACAAGTTCCACACAGTGCTGCTGCTGCCCAAGGAGTCGAGGGTGAGTTTACTGCCTAAATCTAATCAAATGATGATACTTCCATGCACCACTCTGAACATAATACCCGTGCAGATTATGGATTTTCTGAATTAAATTTGATTTTTCTTTGAATCAGAGCCTTCCCACCATCCCTTGGCCTAGCTCTTGACTAACCTCGTTTTCTTTCTTTCTCCCGTAGCGCGAAGTGACCGCCGGTGGACGAGATGGCTCCGCCTATGTGCTGCGTTGCCTGAAGATGTGGTATGAGCTGCCCTCCGACGTCCTGTTCTCGGCCATGAGCCTGGTGGACCGTTTTCTGGATCGCATGGCCGTCAAGCCCAAGCACATGGCCTGCATGAGCGTTGCCTCGTTCCATTTGGCCATCAAGCAGTTGGACCTGAAGCCCATACCCGCCGAGGATCTGGTTACAATATCTCAGGTGGGTTTTCCCTCTCCCTATCTCTGCTTAGTAGTCTCGTGTATTTATTGTTCTTATACTTCCTTAGTGTGGTTGTACCGCTGGCGATTTGGAACGGATGGCCGGGGTGATTGCCAACAAGCTGGGCGTCCAGATGGGCCATGCACCGATCACATCCGTGAGCTACCTGCGCATCTACTACGCCCTCTTCCGCAATTTGGCCAAGGAGATTGGCGGTGACTTCTTCAAGTTCTACCAGCAGCTGATCAAGCTGGAGGAGCTGGAGAATCGCCTGGAGATTTTGCTGTGCGACGTGAAGACCACCGTGATTACACCCTCGACCCTGGCCCTGGTGCTCATCTGCCTGCATCTGGATTTCCACATCAAGGAGTCGTACACGCGCGGTAGTCCGGAGCTGAAGCATGTCTTTGAGTACATTCTCTTCCTGCAGCAGTACATGAGGGTAAGTTCTAGAGAGAGTCTCTCCAGGAGGATTGCTTCTAAGCTAATGTGTGGTTCCCTTGACAGATTCCCGATCGCGTTTTCACCTGCGGCTTTAGCATTGTTTCGGGCATTCTGTCCCACTACAACGGGCAGAACAAGGCGCCCTACAAGCAGCGGCTTGTCTGGAAGTTGTCCAGTCGCACGCTGCGCGTCCTGCGCCCGATCAATCGATTCTCCTCCGACCTGCCCACCATTGAGGAAGGCATCTCCAATGCCCTCGACGATGGCCTGCGTTCGAGGTGAGTTTTCGTGAAATTTCCTTTTTACTTTTTAGTTTTCTAAAGTCTACTGATAGATTGGGGATAGAAATGTAGAAAAACAAAGGTCTGTGGGGATATGAAAGCTATATAATAACAGTTAAGAGAAATATAAATAGTCTATAACAATTCTTTAAATTCCTTATGAAAGCTTGCGGATCTCTGGATCTCTTGCTTTATTTTTAGTGACTTTCGTAGGTATATGTATAATCTGGGTATGTAAGGCAAATGTGTCGATGACGATCTGAACTTTTTTGGCGTAAACAAGTTTCTAGAATATTAGCGATTCCATTATCAGCGGCAGCAGCAGCAACAACACAATTGTCATGAGACTGGCTGGCTCGCCCACTTTTCGTCGCTGCCGCCGCCTTCCCCTTCATCGCCCATAAAAAATAAAACGGCTATATGTGTGTGTTTGTGTTTTATATACCTATTTGTTATTTATTTTCGCTGCCCTTGTTTTTGCCTGCCTTTTCGGAAACAATCTTATCGTTCGCACGCACATAGACCGCTGCGAGGGTTGCGACAGGAATATACCTAACATATATACATATATATCCGCTAGGTATTTGTTCATTATAGGAGACTTGGCTATATCTATAGGTACACCTACCCATCACACAGCTGTTGGCCGTCCTTGAATTCTCACATTGAACTTAGACTGCTGCAGAATGTCCAATGACATTGAAATTAATTTCTATTTTCATGTTTGTTTTCTAGCTTTCTTTTTCCCTTGTACTTAGGTGCTATCTTATCGCTATTATCGCAGTTCTTGTGGTTTAGTCATAAAAACTGTAGAGTTCAATGCACCATTTGGCGGAGTTGCACCTGAGCAAAGGTTCCATTTCTTTCTTTTTTTTATCAGCTGATTTTTAAGCTTTTTGCTAATTACGAGTGGTTTTTCGGGGGACCTTCAACTTGAACTTGTTTAATTGATTGCATGCCTGGAAGATTAATGCCAGTCAAGGTTGCTAACAGGTTGCACAACAGGTTGAATAACATGAAATTGCAATAGCAGGGTATTAGGGGAAATTTCGTAACAGATTTCTATAGTTTTTACAAACTACCAAAGGAGCATAGGTATTCTGTTAATAATTAGATAATAAAAAACTTGTAGGTAATACTGAAATTTAAGTGAATGGAAAACTTAAACTTAAAAACTAACTGCTTACTTTACACATGATTTCTCCCTTGCAGGACCGAGAGTATTAGCTCCGAGGAGGAAGAGGACTGGCCCACTTCACCCATAATTCCAATTTTCGAACAATGTTAGTATCCAGCGGCCAGCCAGCCAGCCAGCAGCAATATAAGCAGCAGCAGCAGCAGCAGGGACCACAGTTGGAACTGGAGCAGCGGACAAAAAGGAACCAACAACCAGAAGGCCGCGCGGCACACAACAAAAGATCCTGCGGTCGCCCGTCATCCATCCTCCAGGAGAGTCAACACATATCCCTGGAAAACAAGACACGAGCATTAGAAGCAACAGAAGGAGGATGATGGTGATGGGTGGCAGGACTTGCAGGATGAGATCGACATCATCATCGAGTGTCCGTGCGAGCGGCGATCCGTGTGCTCGTGTAGAGTAGGTAGCAGTGTATGTGTGTGTGTATATTTTGCTAAAGTGCATCATAATTATTTTGGCATACGTGTACACGTACGTGTATTAGCGCTGGTTCTAACATTTAAGAAACATTTGAAATGCGGATGAGGTCCGCTTTCGCCGCGTTTTGTGAGGAAAGGTGACCACGGCAAGTGGCGCCCGCAATTTTTTTCGATTTATTTTTGCGGCAGACAAAAAAATACGTGAAAAAAACCAACAAAAGCTACCAAGAGAGCATCAAAAAAATATAAAAACAAGAAAATAATGCTGCGGACCATCATACAAAAGATTGATGCCGTTCCGGATCATATTATTCGAGATCAGTGAGAGAGAGAACACGATTTATGAATTGCGAACCCACAAAAACCTATAATCACATCTGGAAAGGGACAGCAATTTTTTGCGTGAGAGACCGTAAAAAAAACCACTAAAAACCTTCGAAAAAGCAAAAAAGAAAATTAATTTTCCATAGAGACAAAAAACCCAATTAGTTTTGTAAATTCTTTATGTTCTCCATGTTTGTTCCACTCTTATATCAGTTATGTATATCCCCGTAAGAAAAAAGCGTCAAGAAAAAATCATAAAAATCTATAAAAAAAAGTACAAAACTCTATAGATGTATAGACCGAGCCTAAAAGATAAGCTGAACCAATCAAGCCACAAAAACAAGGTCAGATCACATTAATCAGTAATTTTAGCCGCGCTCAAAAAAAGAAAAATCCTAAAAAAGCAACAAAAACAACATAGAAAAAGTAATAACTATATAATTCGCCGCCTATATTGACTAAGAACTCTTAACAATAATAATAACATTAAACATTAAACGATAGCATGATGATGAAAACCACAATATTGTAGTGTGTGTGTCTAGTAGATTTTCTCTGTATAACAAAAACTTTAAATGAAAAACATCAAAACAAAAAGCGAACTCAATTTCCGCCCCAAAAACAGTACATTTTGTTATTAATTATTTACATAAAATCAATCATCCATTGGAAGGCATTGAGATTTAGTTCGTTCCAAGATGAGTGATTTTTTTTATAATTATACTATACCTTCTTTACCCATTCTTCTCTTTTTTGTTAAATAATATTATGCTCTATTTATTAAAACAAAAGATATTGTAAAAACGAAATTCATTCTTATGTTGTACCAACTAAAACCTAAGTTTAAACAACCAGCGTTGAGACAAAAAAACAACCAAAACAATATGAAAACTCCAATTGAAGCGCGGCAGCTTTTTGCTCCGAAATTATGATGCAACATTTAGCAAGATGTACGAAGTTAAACATAGAGTTTGTGTGAGAGGGGAAAGCATAGCAGGAGAACTTACGCAGAGCATAATCACAATTAAAATTTGACAAGATTCTATTCACTTTTTTTCAAAAACTAAACCAAACCAGTTGCTGACGATCAGAATGTGCAAACAGAAACGATCTTTTGTCTGTAAATTTGAATAAAAATGCGCTTGCCAGCCTCTCCATGGCGCTGGCATGCAGTTTTTCAATGAATATTTACAACAAACCTAGCCTGTTTTATTTATTTATTTATTGTTTGTGTTGTGTGTGCAGTTTGCAGTCCAGTCCAGTCAAGTCCACTCCAATGGCAGCCGCTGACTCCTCTCGAACGAAATGTGAGTACCAACCACAGTTTCCATACTCCCCAGATCCCAGATCCCCAAAACCTGTGCACACGGACAAATGTAAATAAATAAAACCCAGCCAGGGCAGGGACTTTGCTGTAAATATTCATATATACGCATCACTTGATCTTCAACCGCAGAAAAAATTATTGTGCAATAGCTTTTTTTGTATCCTTTTAGAACGCCAATAACTTTGTAAACACGGCGAGTCGAACGCATAAGTAATTAACAACTAATATTTAAGCGATAGAGATCAATGTGTTCAATTGCCTGGCAGAGAGACAAAACCTAGGAAAAGAGAAGATAAAGAATTTTTAAGCTTAGTCTAACCTTTTAGTAAGAGCCAATTGACAAATAAGCGAGAGGTGAAACGGAAGCGGAAGCGGAAGTGCGGCCACGGCAACGGAAGTCTAGAACTAAGTTTTTCTACAAAATGCCCGTCGACTGCCACTACTGAGATGAGATTTCATAATTTTTAAAAACTAGCAAATTTTACATTGTATTTAGCGACGAGTTAGTTAAATATTTGCAATGAACACATCAAACCAATCTCAATTAATGTATAAATATATATAATTTTACCCTTAACATTTTGTCGCCAAGTTTCAAGCTTCATTTTTACCATACCATTGGTTTAGGGTTTTTTATCTATTAGTAATTTAGTCAAAAAATCGAAATGAATTCATTCTGTACATTATTCATTTTAATTTATTCGAAATTACCAGAACCTGTAATTAGATTATACATTAGGCGTCCAACAAGAATCATTCTTAAGTAAAATAATGGATCATTGTGTAAGAGAAGAGGAGAGCAACAAAAGTTGTTAGAATGCAACTAAAACTCGTGATTTAAATCATTGTACACACATTACAACAAAATAAATGGAAAAAAGTATTATTAAATGGTAAATGAAAATTTGTTTCTGTTATATGGGCTGGGCATGATTAAGATCAATCAAGTCATGGAATTATTTCAAATACATTTAATGGATTATATGTGTTGTTAAATTTGTAATGGGAATTCGCTTGGGAAAGTTTCCGTTATTATCGAAATAAACACTGTTCGCTTTCCAAGAGATAAAAATACAGGATCCTTGATCATAACTATGTGAGCCTTTGTCAGGAACATGTTATAAAAAAATAATTTGTATTTTATTACATTTAATAATAAATTAAATAATTTATAGAAAATATATTTTATATTTAAAGTTTACGATGAATTACCTGATGTCTTGACCGTGCCCATTAATATTTATTGGTCTTGTCAGTTTCTATCGCTATTCTCCCTGGAGGTTTGAAACCCAGCTAAATTCCATAATTTAGTTAGTTTTAATTAAATCAAATAAATTAAACTAATATTTTTTAGTTTATTAACTATTTGTTAATGATCTTAGCTACTCACACCATAAATAAATGGAAGATACGCACTTCTGGATTCAACAAAAGATCTGTCGTGCTATCGATAGGGAAACATTTAATGTTGCTTATAAGATAGTATCGAACATATCGAAAGTATCTTTATTAATTCCAAATAATTCCTATGATTATTTTCTTCTTAATATAACAATAAGAAAAAAATAAATCCCAATTCGCACAAATATGCAAATATATGAACCTTGTTTAACTCTCACCAATAACAACCATCTCTATACAACTGCGATAGCTTCCGAACAATTGCTGGAACCTAACTATCGATAGAGCTATCGAAGAAGTGCCAGCTCTTTTGAACATAACCTTCCTTTTCCATAATTTTTTGTGCTGTGTACACGTGTTTCCACAATGGCACCCGTCGAGAAAGCTAAAAAGTTGGCCAAATCGGCCAAAAAGGGCAAGAAGCACCCGGTCAACTCCTACCTGAAGGGCGGCATCCTGCGTTACTCCAAGGCGCAGGTAAATATAACTGAAGACGGCGTGGCAACGGCTTCTGGCGGTGTGACGCCTCCTCCTCTAGCGGAAAGAGACAAAAGCGGCGTGGTTTACATATGGCTTGCCTACTGGATTATCTTAAAATCGGAAAATAATAACTAATATAACCTGTTGAATTGTTGAGAATGGCCTGGTTTTAGGGTCAATACCTTGCCTGAAAATGTGTGTTGAAAATGATGATATTTCCATGCACCACTCTGAATGCTTCTAACAAGCAAAGTGCAGATTATGGATTTTCTGATTTACAATACTATAAAATAACAAATTTATGGAGTTTACAACTAGTAAACACAATTTAAAAACTATCTGTAATGGATACCTTTCAACAGTTATGGTTGTAAACTCTATATTTTGATTAACAAAGTACCTATGATGATATTTCCATGCACCACTCTGAATGCTTTTATAAGCAATGTGCAGATTATGGATTTTCTGATTAAACTACAACAAAATAACAAAGTAATAGAGCCTAAAAATAATTAATATAATTCAAAAAGTAATCTGTAATGGATTCCTCTCAACAATTTTGGTTTGAACCTTTGTATTTTGACTGTGATGATATTTCCATGCACCACTCTGAACGCTTTTATAAGCGAAGTGCAGATTATGGATTTTCTGAACAAAAAATATAATGAAAAAACATTGAAAATCATTTATAAAAAATCTATTTCCCACCCACAAACACTTACTAATAGCTTTTACCCCCTTACAGATGTACAAGCGTCGTGCCCTGTACCGCCTGAAGGACAAGAAGAGCCCCGTGGTGGAGAAGGTCAAGGTGCCCATCAAGAAGGTGAAGAAGATCGGCGGCCCCAAGAACGGCGGTGAGCGTACCGTTTTCCTGAACAAGTCCAAGGCCACCTACCCCACCAAGACCTTCGTGAAGAAGCGCCCCTCCAAGGCCAACTTCAGCGAGCACAAGCGCAACACGCGCCGCAACCTGAAGCCCGGCACCGTCTTAATCCTGCTGGCTGGTCGCCACCAGGGCAAGCGTGTCGTTCTGCTGAAGGTGCTCGCTTCGGGACTGCTGCTGGTCACCGGACCCTTCGCCCTCAACTCGTGCCCCTGCGTCGCGTCTCCCAGCGCTACGTCATCGGCACCTCGTCGAAGGTGGATCTCGGCGCCTTCAAGGTGCCCGAGCATCTGAACGACGCCTATTTCCGTCGCCTTAAGGCCAAGAAGGACAAGAAGAGCGGCGAGGCCGATATCTTTGCGGCCAAGAAGGAGCGCTTCGTGCCCAACGAGCAGCGCAAGAAGGACCAGAAAGAGGTGGACGCCGCCCTGCTGAAGGTGATCAAGGCCCATCCCGAGGGCAAGTTCTTTGCCAAGTACTTGCAGAACATGTTCGCCCTGCACTCCTCCCAATACCCACACCGCATGCGCTTCTAAACGTTGCTGTCTGGGTGGTGAAAACAACTTCAGTTTAAGGATTTCTAAACACTTTGTACAAGCAGAAGCGAGCCCATTCAACGCTGCTGGTTAGACAGAAACAGAATTTGTAAAATAAATCTTACAAAACGGAACAACTATAAATTAATTAATGCTGTAATAGTCCATGGATAGAGCAACTTTATTAGGATTTGAACAATCCATAAAGACATCATTTTGTGTTCTATAAAACAACAAATCACTTCAAATTTTGACGAAAATATTAGAGCTGAGTAATCCATTGGTTACGTGCTTATATTAAACTCATTTTTTATAGGCGGTGGATCGGGGTACTCCGGCTGCAGATTGAGAGCCGCCAGCAGTTTCCTTCGGCCGTGGATATGCCACAACATCTCGCGGTAGGATCGCGGCAGCACCTCGTCCAGTATCTTGTCCGCCCGGTAGGTGAGATAGAAGACATTGGTGGTCTGGACCTTATCGACGCTTTTGAGATCCCACACCTGGGCGACGGTCATCAGCTGTACGTAGTTCTGAGCGGTGTAGACGACGTGGGCGGTAAGCTGGAGAAAGGTGTTCACATGCACAGGATGCATAAAGCTGATGTCCGAGATGCACTTGAGGATGGGGCGGTCTCCCAGGTAGATGCTGGCCATAATGAAGCTTATCTCGACGGCCTGGCGCATCAGGTAGCCACCGAAAATGGTGTTCTGGGCATTCCGGTTCTCCGGAAACGGGGCAATCATCGTCGTCTGCAGGGAGTCCTCCATCCAGCGGCATTTCGGCGGAAGGACGCGCTTGTTTAAGTCCATCCCGTTTAGAGGCGTCGTCCTCTTGAGGATCTCGTACATGATTGTCTGTTCGTGCTCCCTGGGCGGGGAATTAAATACAGAGTCCTGGGCCGTTATACGCCGCGTCTTCTGACGCTTCTCCGCCGCCTGTTGAATCAATGCCTCCGTCTCATCACCCACCTGGAGGGGATTTATGGGTGCCGCACCCGTATTCGTGGCATTCCTGGCCACCATCACAAAAATGGCCTTCGTCACATCGATGTATTCGCCGTGGGCAAGCTGTCTGACATAGATGATGATCTCCATTGAGCTGCGACCCGTCCAAGAAACGTGTCCACTGATCTGGATGTCCTGGTTGACCTGCAACCTCTCTAGGTTGATGAAATCCACCTTGTCCACCAGCAGGGTGACGAAGGTGTAGGGAAGCGGGACTCCTTCGGGCAGGGCCGGTAGCTTGACATGACGATGGCATATCCATACGGCGAACATGTCCAGCTCCTCCATAATACGTCCCAGCCTAACCCGCCCAAGGTGATTCACATACCGCTCACGGATCAGTTCACTGGCACTCAGAGGCAGAATGACCATGGTATGGGAGTCGAGCATTGTCCTCGGCGGCAGATCCTCGTGCTTTGGCTGGTGCTTCAGGAGGTGGTCCCGCGCCTTGGGTATGGTGTGGTAACCTACATCAACGCCGGATTGCTCTTGTATTTTCTGGATCACTGTTGGACGAAGGGACGACTTGAACCTTGGAGACTTACTCTGGCAAAGGTGATGGCCTTACTCACCCTCTGCCAGCGTGCCGGAGCAGTGATCCGAGGTCACTTTAGGTTCCTTGTTCTGGGCAAAGTTCCTGGTAGGGAGTGCGGCGCAGCAGCTTTTGTTTATAAGCCATTTCCTGGTAGTGCTGGACGTGTTGCTCCTCACCAGCAGCCTTCCCAGTCCGTAGGGCACCATACGCTGCATCCTACCACGATTAGGACAGGCGTCCTGGTGAAACTACAACTTCCTGGGCGAGGAGAATTCTTAATACGTAACAAGGTTCAGTTCGTTTGCATTAGCATCGAGTGTTGGCGTTGGCTGGCACTTGGACGGCACTCGAGAGAATGGCACTGGGAACCGAGGAGAATCGCCAGCAGAGCGTGTTCTGGGTTACATGCCTCTCACCATCAACTGAGCACGTGTCCACTTGGATGATAGTTTGAGTGAGAGAATCGCTACCTCCACAGAGAAAAACAAGGCGAACCTGTTTTAAAATTAATAAAGACTTATACCATACTAAATTAATTAGTAGTATTTTATAACGGAAAAAGAACATATTTATCTGGTAAGAAATTTCCTTAATAAAGTGTAACATATTTGTTTCAATTAACATAAAAATGGCATTTTAAATGCCTACTTATACGAAATATACGTCATTTATAATTTTGAAGGATTTTCTCTAAATTCGAATATTTTTGTATATGTTAAATTATAAAGTAAAGATGTATGAATATGGTTTAACCTAAAATCTATACAAAAAACAAATTATGAATTTAAAGTTTGAAAAACCGTTTGAATTTACGAATATAACTAAATTAATATTTATTTACTATTTCTTTTGCAGTTGCTCTGTTCTAAACCTGAATAGATTCGCTTTGCAATTTAAAAAAAGTGAGAAACTTGTTTGAAAATTGTGAATATAAATTAAGTATGATACATATCATCTAGTTTTTCAGTGCTTTTCTAACAAGTCACAATCTAATCTCTCAACTGAAGGTGTACGGATGAGCTCGCAAAGGTGTGTAAAGATTTAGTCGGGGAAAACTACATATGGAAAATTTCCCAAACAAAAGTTGCCCGATGTCAGTATTTATAATCATGGAAGTAACTTCCGCTCTGTCACATTTGTAGTATAAATATAGTATTAATTTAATAATTGGTAATTCTAGTGAAAGTAATTCTAAGATTGTTTTGTTCTAGTTTCTTGTTTTCAGAATCTACACTAATGGCAGTCTTTGCTTTGTTCCTTGAAAGCTTCGGTGCTTTCGAACCTACGCCGACCGTGGGTATACCAGATGGTTTCGTGAAAGGATAAGGGCAGCACCTGCGGCACCACAATGTCTTCCGACACGGCAAAGGTGAAGTTAAATGTGTTGGTCGTAACCTGGTCGCCTGTGTTCTTGTCGATTACATCGCATACCGTTCTGATTTGGAGGTAATTGCGCCAAGTGTAGACCACGTAAGCGGTCGTCTTGATGAGGCTGTCCACGGGCACGGGCTTCTGAAAAACGATGTCGGAGATTTGCTTCAGATAGGGACGACTCTTGCTGTACAGAAATACGGCTACCCAGCTGATTTCAAGGGCTGTCCGCATTAGGTAGCCGCCAAAGACCCGGTTATGATGGTTCCGATGTTCCGGAAACGAGGGTGTGGTGTTCGTCTGGAAAGAGTCCTTCATCCAGCGACAGTTCTCCGGCAGATTGCGCTTATTCAGCTCCAAGGTGTCCCTGGCCGAGGTCGTCCTGTGTAACTCGGACATAATCGCTATCTCCTCAACCGTAGGCTGGAATTGTTCGGTGCTGCTCACCCATTCCTGACGACGCCGCTTCCTCTCGGCACCGCCCGCCAGGATCACCTTCTCCTTCTCATTAGACGGTTCAATGGGATTCACCGCAGCCGCAGCTGTGTTGGTGGCATTTCTGGCTCCCATCAGGAACAGCGCATGGGTGACCGGATTGATCTCACCATCGATCACCTGCTCCAGCCACACCACAACCTCCATGGAACTGGAGCCCACCCAGGAGACGTGGCCGGACAGTCGGATGTCATGGGTACCAAGTGTATGGTTTGCGGCAAAGTCAATGTTATCCACCAGGATAGTGACAAAGGTGTATGGCAGGTGCACTCCCTCAGGCAGAGTGGGCACACTTAGATGTCCATGACAGCACCAGGCTGTGGAGAAAGGTTTAGATGATCGATTGGAAATTGATATGAAGGCTGCCCCTACCCGCAAACAAATCCATGTCCTCCATGAGCCTGCCCATGCGCACGTGGCCGTAGAAGTTCATATACTTGTCCTGCATCAGGCGGTCCGTACTCAAAGGAATAATGGCCGAGCTGAAGGAGTCCTGCATGGCTCGCGGCGGCAACTCCTCTGCCTTGGGTTGGTACTGGAGTAGATGCTCCCTTGATTTTGGCTGCAGATTGTAACCAGGCTCCAGGCCCAGCCTCTGCATCATCTTCTCCTTGACTGGGGAAGAGAGAAAACCCGATGCAGTAGGTGTTGCCTAAATGGACATGGGGTACTTACTTTCAACTATGGTTTTTGATTCAATCGGTTCCTTCGATCCCTTAATGTGCATTGGTGGCGGCGGTGCGTAGTAGCGTCTATAGGGGACCTGGCATTAGGCTGTCAGAACGAATACTTAATACTCACTTGTTGGACCAGACCTTCAAACGGATCGTTCCCCTTTGAACCCCACACAAACAACGATGCATTTTAGTAATGAAAACTATAGAGGTTCAGGTATAAAAGGTACAATTTACAAATAGTCCATCCAATTCCGGTTTCGAACAAGAATTTGATTTGGACCTTAAACTTTCAAAAATGTAGTAAACTTTCAGGAAGTTTGATTAAAAAATCAAATAAATAATAGATTAGTAAGGAAAAGCTTTTCAAATTAAAGTTAATGCATTTTTGGCTAACTTAATATTGTTTTAAAATTCGGTTTCTAATCCAAAAAAAAACTGCAAGGGTGTATGCATGTTTGCATATTGCAATCAAAATGTATTAAGGAAAATCTCTGATCTATATTGTTCTTAAAATCAGTTCTCCATTAATTTAACTCCTTTATTTACTAAATTGCATATATTTTCGGTGATGGATTGTAATATTTAATAGTTTTTAGAAACAAAATATTATAAACACTTCAAAGTGGGACAATCAAATTTAGCTTTTTTCACTTGCTGCCTATATATTCATCGGATTCCAAGTTATCTAAGTTATTTTGTAAACACAGATCTGCTGTAATATCATAATTCTCATGCCATAGCCTCGCATAATTATCATTTGGGGATGGGAAACACTCACAAGATGCAACTTCTGACCTATTTCAGACCCATGCTGGCCTCGAACTTCCGACGTCCCTGGATGTACCACATGGTCTCGTGATAGGATCGTGGCAGCACTTCAGTGACCGTATCAGGAGCAGAGAAGGTGTAGTAGAACGTGTTGGTAGTCACCTGGTTGCCTGTGTGTGTGTCCAGGACATCGGCCACGGTCATGATTTGCACATAGTTGAGCTTGGTGTAGACCACATACGCCGTCATCTTGATGAAGCTGTCCACTCCCACCGGCTTCTCGAAACTGATGTCCGAGATGTGCTCCAGCTTCGGACGCGTCTTGCAGTAGAGGAAGGCTGCCGCCCAGCTGATCTCCAGGGCACTGCGCATGAGAAATCCTCCAAAGACCCGATTGTGGTGATTGCGATGCTCCGGAAACGAGGGAATCGTGCTCATCTGGTAGGAGTCCTCCATCCAGCGGCAGTTGGGCGGAAGGATGCGTTTGTTCAGCTCCAAGGTGTTACTCGGCGTAGTCCGCTTGTATAGCTCGTACATCAGCGTCTGCTCTGGGTCGTTGGGCTCCACCTTGAACACCGATTGGGCGCAGAGTATCTGGCGTTGTTTCTTCCTGTCTGCCCCACCCGCCAGAATCACCTTCTCCTCCTCATTGGCCGGCTTTATAGGATTCACAGGTGCTGCAGCCGTATTGGTGGCATTTCTGGCCGCCATCAGGAACAGGGCACGGGTCAGCTTTTGATAACTTCCGCCAACGAGCTGTTCCAGCCACACCACTACCTCGATGGAGCTAGTACCCACCCAGGAGACGTGACCGGATAGACGGATATCCTGAGTGCCAGATGCCAGCACGTTGGTAAAGTCAATGCGGTCCACCAGGATGGTCACAAAGGTGTAGGGGAGATGAACTCCCTCCGGCAGACTGGGCAACTTCAGGTGCTTGTGACAGCACCAGGCTATGCGGAAAATCGAACATTATTAGAACCAAATATGTAAAGCTTTGAATAAATTCTAAGTACTAACCAGCAAACATATCCATATCCTCCAGGAGCCTGCCCATTCTCACGCTACCCAAATAGGTCACATACTTGTCCTGCAGAGTGCGATCTGTGCTCAAGGGTATAATGGCTGAGGTGAAGGAATCCTGCATGGCCCGTGCTGGCAGATCCTCCAACTTGGGTTGATACTTTAGCAGATGCTCCCGGGACTTGGGCAGCGGATTATAGCCGGGCTCCAGACCCAGCCGAGTCATCATCTCCTGCTTGACTGCAAAGGGAAAGCTGATTAACATGGATCTTATTGGGTTTTGGAATTTCCACTTACTCTGCGCCATGGTTCCAGACTCATTGGCCACCGCCGACTGCTTAATGTGGGTGGGAGGAGAGTAGTGACGCCTACTGGAGCGGAGAATATTTATTCACAGAATACACAGAATTAATATTTATGGGACACTTACCTGGACGTCGCCAAGGTAATTGGAGACACCTTGGCGGTCACCTCCATGGAATTTCTGACCCGGACTAAGCCCCAGCACTTTCTTGCCCCCAACATGGAACGCAGCATTTTGTTTTAATTTAATATTTGAATTATTTGTGCAACTTCTAGATTTGTTGTGTGTGTAACTCGCCTTTGAAAAGGTGGAATATCAGCTGGTTGCCGAAACAGCTGGTCACAGTGGATCGATTAGGAGCGTGGGAGTGTCAAAAACGTAAATTCAATTTAATGAAATTAACCACTCACACCATAGATATTCGAATAACTATATTGATATATTTATTATTTGTTTTTTCAAAGTATTAAAATTAAAGTTTGTTATTGAAAAACTTGAATATAAATCATATATGTATTAAGTAAATATGTAGATTCTCTTATTTGGCAGTTAAATAAATAATTACAAGAAAAGAATATATATTTGTAAATTAATTTAAAAAAAATTTTACAGTAAATAATAATAATCTTATTATTAAGTTATTTTTATGGCCATTTCGTACCCTCTGGCCCACTGTGGTTCATGCGTATGATATATACATACCTCGTATGACGTCACCGCGAGCATTGCTAATTTTTTTTGGTCACTGGATCCCCCGAGATAGCGTCAGCCAAATGCCTTTCTGTTTAACACCTTTTAAATCTGGGTCGTTTTGGAATGATTGATCATTTAGATTGTGAATGAGAGTTCCCCTCATTAAAATTATTAATTGATTATTTGACAAACCTTTACCCTGATAATCTTAACAGAATAAAAGTTGAATTAATTGGAAAATTAAAAAACCACACATTAAAATAAAACTATATGCACTGAAACAACTTTAAGTTAAATGAAAGGAAAGCTAGAAAAAAAGAGCCAGAACATCTATAAAATAAAATAACTCTAGAGAAGTATTATCTTAAATTGTCTAGCTGTAAAAACATAACTTAATTACAAAATTAATTCTTTATTATAAATATAACTTCATTATTTATACAACTAAAGTGTAAAAAATATAAAAATATGACAAACTTGCCGTTTATAGGTTCAATTCCTTAAGGGCAAAGTTCAGCACCACCGGCAGCAGGCCGGCATCTTCCAGATCCAAGATCTGCTGCCGCAGATTATCCACTGGACGGGAATGTATCAGCTGAAAGCAAAGGAATTAAGTAAGGATCTAAAATGGATCCAGAGGTCATACCGCTTTGATCTTAGTCCTTTCCCCCGAACTCTCGCAGAAGCTGAGGATGGCGGCGGCCATGTGGGGTCGATGGATGACGACACAGTACTCGGCGAACTGCAGCAGATTGAGGGCATGGACCACGGGGCAACCCTGCAGCCGTAGGAGGGTCTTGTGCAGCTGCTCCTCCTGGGCGAAGGAGCGTGTCTGCACGGCATTCTTCAGCGGATGACACAGCACATAATCCCAGGCCAGGGCCAGGCCGTCTATGTGTAGGAGATGAGGTCGGCAGCTAAGCACATCCAGCAGAGCGTTGAGTTCTCGCACCATATTGAACATGATCATGCGCTTGAGAATCCCGTTCCAGATTTTGGGCAAGTGCACGTCGAAACCGAGGCATATGTTGGCCATTACTTCCAGGGAAAGGGGATTCTGGGCGTTGCGCTGCCAGATCATCTTCAGAATGTCAATCTTGTTGCATTGCTCGCCGGCGAACTTCTCAAGGTTCGACTTGTAGCCGAGCGTCTTCAGGTCGTTGACGCATTTGATGCTGATGAACTGCTTCTGGTTGATGGTGCTGGTGAAGGAGTTGCTGCCATCGTTGAGCTTCGAGTAGCACTCGTACATCTGCAGCTGCGTAGAGGTGTTCGTGGAGCTAGGGATAAGCTCATTAGCTGAATTAAATTTTCGATTTTTTATAGTTTCTTACCCGCCCTTAAAGATCAGGCCTACCAAGAACTTGACGGCGTCTGCCTTCGGCCAGCTAGACAGGATGTAGAAGGCTCTGTTCACATTCTCGCTGGCATTCTGAACGCCAGCGCCGCCATCTGCTCCGCTCGGATGCTCCGCCTCCTCCATGAAGGTCTCCTCCAACATTGTATTGTCCGCCGGCTCCATGGTGACCGATAGCCACTTTTGCAGCAACCGAAACTGTATGGTGTCCAGGCAGAGGCCGTGAAGCTTGGCTATCTCTCCGACCAGCGCATTGATGTCCACCTTTGTGGACTTAAGAATGAGCTCATGATGGTACAGGCTGTTGATCAGCTCGCTGGGATTTTCCACTTGATTCAAGAGTTTCTCGTCCGTCAGGCCGTAGACATGCAACAGATGTTGCGTCTTCTGGATGGGATAGCGTCGCCTCACCTTCGCCATGTGCTCCTTGTCGGTGATGAGGTCGCCCTTCTCCTGCATGAACTTCCAGCACTCGTAGGAGGCCTCCACCTGGTCAGCTCCGTCCCGCGCATAGTTGGACACATAGTAAAGAATCAGGAACGCCTTGTTCGGATTGTGTATGTTCTCGACGAGACGGAGAATGGACATGAGGAAAGCATTATTCGTGGGATGCAAGCTCCAGGACTCTGGCTCATTCCTGGACTTGTACTCGGCTATTGAGTTCTTCACCGCCGACATGCAAAAATAGTCACAGTTTTGGGCACTGTCCTTGGAGCCCTTAAGCGAGGTGTGCATCTGAATTAGAGGGAACCAGCCCAGGCAGTTGTCCACGCAGAGTTCGCTGACTGGAAGGTATTTCTTGAGCATGTTATGGAATTGAAAGAAGATTCCCTGTACCCACCCAGGATATCCTTCAGCGGCTGCTCCACAATCGCCTTGAAGGGCAAACGATAACGCGAGATCTTGGGCAAAATGCCATTCTCCTTGTGCGATTTTAGCCACATGTCCGTCTCGAATTGACTCGGACGATTACGACGCCTGCCGGTCATCTTGTAGCGCAGAAAGCGCAGGATATTCTTCCATATCTCCATCTCTTTGGGTGCGGCATTGAAGAACATCAGGATGTTGATCACACACATGTACAGCTCGTAGAAGTAAATGTTTATCTGGACAATGAAAGAATATAATGTTAGGGCGAAAACCATTTGCTTTCATCGAACTTAAACTTTCTTGAGAACTGATTCTTATTAAGTTCCTTCGGAGACCAGTTACAAGAACTCACCTCCTCGATGAACAGCTTCAGTTTTGAGGTAAAGAGCTCTACGTTCTTGATGGCATCGATGTAGGGCTGGCACATGTCAAGCATTTCCTGGGCGCTGCACAGCATCACCAGCTTCTCGTCGCCAAAGCTATCGCGATGGATATCGAAGCGCAACTCCTGGCCACTTAATATACTCAGTATCTGAGTGATTAGGATCTTCTGGAAATCAAAGCCAAAGTCTTTGCTTATACGCTCCAATAGGCGCACATCCAGCTGCTTGTTGTGGAACTCCTTGAGCAGATCCTCCACACTGTCCATTTCCGCGTTGAATTTGCCTATGATGCGCGGGTCCTGCTGGCAGAACTCCAGGTAATAATACAGTTTCAGGCGTCTGCAATGATTTGTTATTGCAAAGGAGCTCGCATTTATGTTAATTTGTATGTATACTTGGCTCGTATCCTCTCCACAGTCTCCACATCGTCCAGATGCTCGCTGTACATGGCGGACAGCGTTAGGCAATTGATCATCTGCAGGTCGGACTTCACCTCCTTGGAGAGTTTATCGAGCAGGGCCATGGCATCGCTATTGACCGCCAGCATGGTGAAGAGCTCTATAAAGTTGACATTCTTGTTGCTCATTGCATTGCGCAAAATGCGGCGCAACTGTAAGGTGATGAAGCCCTCGTTGATGATCCGCTTGCTGAGGCAGTTTTGTTGCTGGTATTCCAACAGATACTGCAGGATCACATACCAAACGTCGTGCTCCTTGGTCTTGGTCAGCAGCTCCATCGATTGAAAGAAGTCGGTCTGAGCGCTGTCTATCACCTCCGAGATGTTCTCCGCCAAACCCTGGCGTATGTGCATTAGCAGCGAGTTGTTAGGCTCACCCTCGATCACCATTAGCCGCAGAGTCCTGGCCAGAAACTTGACTATGGGCAGGTGAGAGCCAAGGATTTTCTATGGAGCGTAGTTAGAGATTATCTATTAGCATATCCTAGGGACTTGAAGGCGTTATTTCCTTTCATACGCTACCTTTTTCTGCGGCTGCTGCACCGGCTGCACCTCCACCTCATCGAATATGGACACTGATGGGCGCTTCTTCGTCGATGGCACCTGCAGTACGGGCTTTGTGTCAAAGGAGCCGTTGACGGCGCTGCTAAAGTTAAGTGTACTCTCGCCAAAGGCCAGTGTCGTGCCGTCCAAAGTGCGACAAATGTGCTCGTTAACGGACTGCTCCTTGCCATCGTAGTGTTTCTTGAGGGCATCCAACGGATAGTGGATCACCACCACCCTCACATACTTGATTACCTCGATAAGATCCCGGCGACGACTCTGCTCGTGAATCTGGGCGGCTGTGAGCAGCTCGTAGGCGAGTGGAAAGCTTAGCGGATCGCTGTCAGTAATCAGCTGGAGAGAGGAAGGGAGATCTGACCAGGAGAGAGAAGTCATTAACTCGACAGAAATACAAGGAATGAGATCAGTACCCACCATTGTCGGTGCCTTTGGCATTCTCAATTTGCTGGATGATCAGCTCGAGTGCAAGGTTGATGAAATCCTCGGCATTGGCCGGCAAGCAATCGATGAACTGCGTCACATAGTAGGCAATGGCACAGCTCAGTGGCAGGCAGGATACGCGCTGACAAATGCGGTGGAGGCCAAAGACCTGCGTCAAGGCGAGAGCCGTGCACAGCTCCAGCATTTCGCTGACAATGAAAGCGGGCATATTTAGCGTGGCCTGAGCACGCTCCACGATTCTTTCAATGGTGTCGTCCAGCAACTCGTGACGCTTCTGCAGCGGAATGAGTTCATTGCTACAGCTCAGTTCGATGCCGAATTTCTGATGGAGCTGGAAACGATGCTTGATCATCAAGTAGCGCCGCTCATACGAGGCTTCCGCGTGCGGTAGAAAGAGCTTGAACAGTTCCATGACATTCTGATGCTCCTGCGCCTTGGTTTCATTCTTAAAGGCAGCCTGTGTCGTGTTCTCCAGCAAGGTTGCCAGTATCTCCACCACATGCTGCCCGTCCTCCGAATACTTTTCCTTATTCAGCGTCTTGAAGAACTCGTACGCCTGATCGATTTGGCCGCGACGCGCCATCTGGTAGCAGCAATGGAGGTTAGCACTCACAGAGATGTCAGGCGCCGCCTTGGTCAATGCCTGGATGTCATGCAGCATATCGGGCAGGTTCATCTTAACGATGCGCATCGCAAAGAGCTCCACATTGAGCTCCGAACTGTCTGCCGGCCAGCCGTACTTGGCCTTCATGATCTTTATCACCTGGATTTCGTACTCATCGTTGATCTTCATGGCCAGCGGATTGGTGGAGTTGCGTAGCCGGATGAGGGGAGCTAGTGATTCGGGCCAGGGAACTGGAGCGTTCCTGAGCACAGACAAGGCACACTCCAGACGACTGTCCTCGTTGTGCAGCAACTCGATGCAGGCCATGGCCCGATCTAGCCAATTGCTCGACGATTGGCGACTGGCCACCAACTGGGATATATACTGCTTGATCACTTCCAGGGGATGGCGACCCTTTTCCTGAAAGATCGGGTACAAGAAGTTCTCAACGAGTCGCTTTAGTTTGTCGAGCTGCACGTGCTGCAGGATGCTGAGAGCCGTGGCATCAATTGAGTCCTTCATGTAGTTGTCCAACGTAAAGCCCATATTGTAGTGGGTCTTAAGGACCGACAAATCCTGTAAAGCGTTGACCAGGTCTCGTAGTTTGCCCATATTGCGCTCCTGCTGCCGTCGGACGTCCCTAGAAAGGTTTGTAAGAACATTATCAAACCAATTCATGGAGATATACGGAGATCAACTCACGAGTAGGTAAACTGTATCTCCTCAAAGATCTCCAGTATTTTGGTGGCAAATTCCAACCCAATGTCCGGCCAGTGGGGACTATACTGCAGCTTGCGTGTCATCTCAATGCTCCAGTCGGTGATGAACGGCATAATGCCAGGATGCGTGTTGCTCACCAAGGGTATGAATTGGCGCAGCCACTGCACCACATTGAAGGGCTTTGAGTTGCCGGGTATGAAGCCCAGCAGTGTGCGGAGCTCATCCTCGTTGAGCAGCGGCAAAATGCTGCAGGAATGCCGACGCCAAATGAGACAAGCCGTGGGCATATCCGTATTGAACAAGGACTTTACCATCCTGACAAGGTTCTTGTCGTAAATAAACTTCTGCCAGTCTGTATTGCACTCGTAGGGATCGGTAATAGCCAGTGTTTTCAGGCGATGCAGCTGTTCATCGATCTCAAGCATGTCCTCTTCGTCGTCCTTAAGGAGAGAGTAAAGATTATCTGGCATACTCCTGAAACAAGCCTCACCTCAAAGCTTAACCGCTTCTGAATTTCGCGCAGGTAACGCTCCAGGATGTGTCGCGAGCTCAGGTTGATCATGCGATGACTCTTTATAAAAGCCTTGTTCTCGATCTGCGCCAGCAACTCCAACAGGCTCTGGAACTTTTTATCCAGCATTTCATTGCTCGACGAAGAATTGCAGAGCTCGACGAGTATGCGCTTGGCCTTGGCCTCATAAATCGGCTGCAGGCACAGTTCAAACTGAATGCCAAATTCCTGGGAAGCAAAGAGGAAACCGTGAGTAAATTTCTTAACTAAATATATTCATGTTACCTCCGCCTCTTCCAGACGACCTTTGGCTATTAACTTCTTGAAACGATCACTAGGATCGGTTTCGGAAACAAGCATCATCTCGACCACCGTGGGTATGCTTTCCCGATTCACTTCCTTGGCGGCCAGATAATACAGATTCACCGCACACTTGGGCTGGCGCACGAGCCAGGCATGCGCCGGCACCTCCACTTCGTTTTTGCATTTCAAAGCTAAGAATTCAGAAGTTAAATATGGTAACTAATGAGGCAATAATACCTACAAGGATACTCCACAATCTTAATGAAGCGACCATCTTCCGTGGGCTTTGTCAGCAGTAGCAGCTCTATATTCTCCTCGCTGCACTCGATCACCAGCAAATCCTCGATGAGCAGGCTCTGGCGCTGAGCGGTATGGCACATGTATACAGTGCGAGTGTACGGACAGATGTCCAGCAAGTGTCCAGAGTTGGTTAGCGCAATCCTTCAGGGATTTTTACAGAAAACTATATATATTTTAGGGCTAATAAAAGTGTCTAATTAACTCACACGCAGTGCTCAAGATTGTAGATTTGCTTGAGATCACCGAAGTGATCAAGCAAACTGATACGTGTGAAATCCGAGCTGGAGCTCGTCCTGAAGTTCAGTGTACCATGATCTCCTGTGATAATTAATCCATGATCCAAGCCCAAATCCTCTTGGTTGTTCTGGACATTAAGACTGCCGATCCGATGCTGCAGCAGAACCACACAGTCCACATTGGCATTAGAACGTCCCGTCGATGTACGCTTTATGGTGACATCTTCGAGAATGGCTTTCTCGTTGGCAATGGTTTCGTTTTCCTTCAGTGTCATATTGGAGAGTGATTCTAAAGAGCGCTCATCGATGTCACTAAGACTGAAAGTACAGAAAATACGAATACGAGGATGTTTGTCTATCAAATTCCTTAAGAATACCTTAAGGCTATAACTGACCTCCACAACTTACCAGTATATGCTGCCGTTCTTGCAGGTAAAATAAAACTGCTGGCCCAGTTGATGGATGCTCCGGAAGGTGCCACCTGTTACGCTTACGTCTTCAAGGTTGACGCACACGGCGAATAACAGCAATCCCTTGATGGACACCCCGTGGACCTCGCCATCGCTGAGGCCGCAGACAATAAGGTTTCCGCTGGCGGAGATTCCAACCGCCTCGATCGTGGCCCCAAAGTTCAGGCAGGCACACTCAGCCACCAGTTCGTCCTCGAGAAGCAGCAGGCACTTGTCGATAGCTATCACCATTTTTCCACACTGCACCGAAGCCAGCACTACTGGATATTTAGTCACCTAAAAAAACAAAGCGAACAAAGGACAAACTTGAACCTAACTGTAAGTTACATTTTACATATATTGCGGCGTCACCTCCTCTTCGCTGCTGATTTGGAATATGCCCCGAGAGGAGAACACATTGGATATGGTCTCATCCTCGCGGGATGATGCCTCGAAGTTGCCCCACATCCTTTTGTATCCACTTTTGTTTATATTGTAAGTCGTACAAAACACAATTTTGTAGCGCCAAATTATTAAGCGTCTCTTGATTTCGATTACGATTCCGATTCCGATATCCACCACAATCATCTGATTCTTTGGGGCTGCCAACTCGGTTTTAGTACCTTTTATTTAATTTCTGTTAAACATTGTTTTAAACTCTCTCTTTAAATGAATGCATGCCCTAATCTTTATCTTTCGTAAGCTTAAACCTTATCAAATATCGTTTTCAATTATTTAATTAAATTAACAAAATTAGGTATTTAAAAAAACTACCAGTCCACCATCTGGTCACACTGAACCGCAACTCTGGAATTCCGGCGTTTAGCTTGCGTCGGCACACGGTCACACTGGCTGACTTGCGAGAAAATTATTTATATTTCTCTTCCTCGCATGCAAAAATTGAACAAAACAAACACGGATTAAAGTGCTATTGGTAAAATACGGTAGAAAACGAAAACGGAACGGCGAGTGCGCGCAGACGGCAAAACGCGCGAAGGCCGCCTCCCCCGCAAACCCCGCTCTTGATAAAAGTTGATGCTGCAGCACCAGTGCAGCAGCGGCCATCAACAAAAAAGAAAACCGAAAACGCGAGCGAAACGAAACACATTTTCGCACCCCAGCGTCCGGGTCCGTGCAGCGCGCAGCATATAAAGATTTAAACACAACAATTATCAATTGCAGCGTGCAATTAAAGGCAAAAACGCAGTGAATTGCTGCCGCGGCGGTGCGAAGAGGACATAAAATTGCTGGCAAGAAGAAGAGGTCGCGAGTGTGTGCGAGTGCGAAAGAGCGTTAGCAAGCGGAGCCCAATCTCCGAGGATAAATCGGCCGATCGGAGTGCGAAATAGTTATAAACAAAATCCCTGGTTCCCCCCTCCCGCCCGCTTCCCCACTGTTTGTTGCAAGCCAGCGGCGGCAGGTGCTTGGCGCTTTTAAAGCGAGACAACACGACGCTGCAGCAGAACCAGCAGCGCTGAGTTGCCTGCGTAGAGTTGCCAACCCAAAAAAAGAACCGGGGTTGCCGTTCATTGCGCCGAAAGTGTTTACTACCTGCGGCGGCGGCGGCCGCTCAAGAAACTCGAATTTTTGTCCCGATCCTGGCCAAGAGATGATTTGGTGAGTGATGACTACTGAACCCGGCGAGCGGAAGTTTCATTAGGCGCCCTCTCTCCACCACCCGCAGGCTTTTAACCCCCTGGCGGACGCAGGCCGCGCCAAGTGGATAACCGGCAAATAGTCCCAGATACCGACAAGTTACGCTCGGATTTGCTTCCTGAGGAGAAGCCCGACGAGGAGGAGCCGCATTAAGTGACGTCTGCTACAGCTCTCTCCAAACCCACTCCACCCCCCATTCACCAGCGTCGAGATCTCCAGCGCGGGATTGGCGACGCCGCTCAGAACCGAATTTCTTGCCACCCCGTAGTTGAAGAAAAGCTGCCACCATTCGGAAGAAAAATACCTCGAATATGACCCATAATCTCGGTATGGCGCCATATCGTTTGCCGGGTCCAGCGGGAGGACTATGTCCGCCCGACTTCAAGCCGCCGCCACCGTCGGACATCATCTCGGCGCCGAGCAATCCGAAGAAGCGGCGGAAAACATCCAGTGCCGCCAATTCGGCAGCAGCGGCAGCGGCTGCGGCGGCCGCTGCAGCAGCTGCTGCCAACTCCATGCAGCAGCAGCAGGCGCCGCCGACGCCGCAGGACCTGCTTCCGCCGCCACCAATGGGCGGCTTTGGCGACACCATTATTGCCTCGAATCCGTTCGACGACAGCCCCCAGGTCTCGGCGATGTCCAGCTCAGCGGCCGCCGCGATGGCGGCGATGAACCAGATGGGCGGCGGTCCGGGTGGCGGGCCGGGAGGCCACTTTGGTGGCCATCAGCACTGGGAGGATCGCATGGGAATGGGCGGCGGACCGCCTCCACCACAGCACATGCACCCGCATATGCATCCGCATCATCCTGGCGGACCAATGGGTCATCCGCATGGACCGCATCCTCACATGGGCGGCCCGCCGCCGATGAGAGGCATGAGTCCCATGCATCCGCATCAAATGGGACCCGGACCTGGTGTGGGCCTGCCGCCGCACATGAACCACGGAAGACCAGGCGGTCCAGGAGGACCCGGTGGCCCTGTGTCAATGGGCAGTCCCATGGGCGGCATGGCTGGCATGGGTGGCATGAGCCCCATGGGCGGAATGGGTGGCCCCAGCATATCACCCCATCACATGGGTATGGGCGGCCTGTCGCCTATGGGCGGTGGCCCCAACGGCCCAAATCCGCGGACCATGCAGGGCTCCCCAATGGGTGGTGGCCCAGGACAAAATTCGCCGATGAACTCACTTCCTATGGGCTCGCCCATGGGTAATCCGATTGGCAGCCCGCTGGGACCACCATCGGGCCCGGGACCCGGAGGTCCTGGTCCTGGTGGAAATCCAGGTGTTCAGCAGCAACAACAACAACCTCCGCAGCCACCGATGAACAATGGACAGATGGGTCCGCCCCCATTACACAGTCCGCTGGGCAATGGACCCACAGGGCATGGCGGACACATGCCCGGCGGACCTGGACCGGGTCCTGGACCTGGGCCCGGCGGCCTTGTGGGACCTGGTGGCATCTCTCCCGCGCACAGCAACAACCCGGGCGGTCCAGGGAACAACATGCTCGGCGGCAACGGAAATCCTGGAGGTGGCGTCGGTGGCAACAACAACAACAACGGAAGCAATACAAACAACGGCAGCATTAACAATCAAAATCCTCACCTCTCGCCGGCAGCCGGTCGGCTGGGCGGCGTTCCCACGTCGCTGCAGTCGAACGGACCCTCTGCCACCTCGGTGGCCACCTCTGTGCCCTCGCCAGCCCCGGGAGCCACGCCCTCGCTCACGCCCACATCGACGGCGACATCGTCGATGTCGTCCACGTCAGTGCCTACATCCTCGCCAGCGCCGCCCGCCATGTCACCGCACCACTCGCTAAATAGCGCCGGACCGAGTCCGGGAATGCCCAATGCCGGACCCAGTCCGTTGCAGTCGCCCGCCGGTCCCAATGGTCCCGGTTCCGGTCCCAACAACAACAATAGCAATAACAACAACAATGGGCCCATGATGGGTCAGCAGATGAACCCGAACGCAGTTCCTATGCAGCAGCAGCACATGGGCGGACCACCAGGCCATGGACCCGGTCCTGGTCACGGTCACGGTGTCCCCGGCCCCGGCATGGGCATGAATCAGATGCTGCCGCCGCAGCAGCCTTCCCATCTCGGTCCCCCGCACCCGCAGCTGATGAACCACCCGCACCAACACCCGCATCCGCATCCCCACCACCATCCCGGCGGCCCGCCACCGCCGCACATGATGGGAGGCCCTGGTGGGATGCACGGCGGTCCCGGAGGCATGCCGCCTCACATGAGCGGCGGCCCAAATCCGCATATGATGGGAGGACCGCACGGAAATGCCGGCCCGCATATGGGACACGGTCACATGGGCGGCGTGCCGGGACCAGGACCCGGGCCCGGTGGCATGAACGGACCCCCACACCCTCACATGCAGCCCCACCACGGACATCCGCACCAGCATCCACATCACCACAATCCGATGGGTGGCCCTGGGCCGAATATGTTTGGCGGCGGCGGAGGACCCATGGGACCTGGCGGTCCAATGGGCAACATGGGACCGATGGGCGGCGGCGGACCGATGGGCGTCGGTGGTCCAATGGGCGTAGGCCCCAAACCGATGACAATGGGCGGCGGAAAGATGTATCCGCCTGGCCAGCCGATGGTTTTCAATCCGCAGAATCCAAACGCGCCTCCCATCTATCCGTGTGGCATGTGCCACAAGGAGGTGAACGACAACGACGAAGCCGTGTTCTGTGAATCCGGTTGTAACTTCTTCTTTCATAGGTAGGTTCTTGGACCCCGAGCCAAATTGAATTAGCTTACTCATATTGAACTTTCATTGCTTTGCAGAACCTGCGTGGGCCTCACCGAGGCCGCCTTCCAAATGCTCAACAAGGAGGTGTTTGCCGAGTGGTGCTGCGACAAGTGTGTGTCTTCCAAGCATATACCCATGGTCAAGTTCAAGTGTTGAAGCGGCTGGAAAGCGGCGTAACTCATGCTATATCAATAAGCCCCAAGCACACCAGCTAGCACTCACTCACTGTATAAAAATTATCCAAGCATTAACTCGTATCTTAATTGGTAAGACTCTTCAGCTGCTCAATAGTCATGATCCCCTCCTGCCCCTAAAAGATCAAGATCAAGATCTGATCCCTGTAACCTGTAAGTGCCGGAGCAGTGTTGTGACTTTCAGCTCCGGGCTCCAAGGCTCACTCGCGACATCCTCCTGAAACTGAAACAGAAATGGAAACAGAAACAAACAAAAATAAGAAAAAGTAAACTTTAACGAAAAAAGTATAAACGAAATATGTTAATTGTAATATAATTGTAATATGTGTGTATGTGTCTGCATGTTTGGTATCACAGAAAACCGAGTAATGACAGAAGGCTAAGCAACAATATCTAGTTTGTATAATAAAGAGAAATTCAATGAAATTACGGAGAGCGAACCGGAAGGGATTATCCATTCGAATAGGGAAACCTGGAAACACAAGAACTCGTAATTAAATAAACAACAAACAAATCAACCATCAAACATATTATCTGAATAAAATCTCAGTAGACCATAACATTGTAAGCGATATCGCAATCGGATAGGAAAAGGACAATTTGAGATAAAAAAAAGTAGAAAGTAAAATGAAGGAAGCACTTGTTGCTGATTTCCGGATAGCTCTCGGCTTATATCCTTTCTTTGTGTGTTCTACGAACATTTTGCGATTGTTTCGTTTTACTATTGTCTCATGGTCCACTGGGATATTTAACAACACAATAAGAACAACACACATTTTTGAGAATGAGAATGGATATGATGTGAAAATTAGTAACGAAATGAAATTATCAATTGTGAAATGGCTGCGTGTGAGAGACGAGAGTGAGAATGAGTGTTATTATATTTGTTATTACTACCAATCTTATTTTTTACATTTTAAATTTCTAAATACTGCGAAAGTGGCGTGAATTGAACGATACATTTTTACATACAAAAATATTCAATATATAGCCAGGAAATTAAGTAAAATGAACGAAGGAATCGATTGCGAACAAAAAACAAAAGAAAGCTTAAGAAATTATAACTTCATGTGCGAGAAAAAGAGGATCTAGAGGAAAAATTTGTAATTTAAGACGAAGAAGTATGTTTGAATAAAACAACAGAAAAACAAAACGATTTAAAAACAAAAGAAATTTGTAAAAATAGGAAAAACAAAAAGTACTCTAGGTTTAACTGCAACTTTAAGTTATTTATAATTAAATAAAATACGACATAAAAATATATAAAGGGTGAGTTAACGGATTAATCAAATTGGGAAAATTTAAGAGCTTTTTAAAGAAATGGTTCTTTTGAAGTTCGTATGAAAAGAAGAAATTCAAGCCTAAACGAGTCTTTGCTGTTTTTGAAAATTAAGATACTAACGAGTATATCTTTCTATTCTCTATTCATTGGATGCATATTAAGGGATGGCAAAAAACTTTCTTGAAGTTTACCCAATAACTATATGAATATATCAACTCTGATTGACAAAAGCAAAGTAAAGAATGGACCTGTTCTTTGATTGACTATAAATAATAGCTTTTTCCTGGTCATATTTCTCGAAATCAGATTGACCACAAATAAATACGGGTTTTTAAGCTCGGGTTTGCATTGCATATACACATGTATTTATTTATAATTTTCTTTGTTTTTATACTTAAGCTAAATGCACAGGCTAATTGTGGGGCATAAAGAAATGCAATACATTTTGATGGATGCATTGCCGTAGAAGCCACATAAAACAGTTTGGAAAAGGGCGGGCGTAGTAACAATGCCGAGGATAATTGTGGATAAGGTTATAAAATTATTACAGAGACAGAATTCACTTAAAGGTACAAATTATATTCTTTTGATTAAGTGTAGGGCTCTTCTGTTTCAATGCTTTAATCGTTTTAATTTTAGATTATATTGACGGCACGCAGGAACCAGACGAGTTTCCTGCATGGAGCGCTGTCTTATCCGATGGCTGCCGTTATGAGCTCCGCTATTTCCAGATCTGTGCTGCGCACGTTCAGGTTCAGCGTAACACCCTCGGATAATGCCAGTTTGGCTCGGACCAGAATCTCGGCGCCACCTCTGAACGTACCTATGAATAGAGAAGAATCCCTCATTAAAATCCAAATTTAGAGCAAGGTTTTTAATGAAGTCTACCTGAGCAGAGCAGCGTATGTAGATGCGTTCCCTCAGGTACATTTTCCGAGAGATTTGCTGCTCCGAGGCCCAGTATTTTCACGATCGTATTGACAGCATCCTGCAAGGTGGTGACCGCCGATAGCACAAAGGTATCCTCGGCTTGCAGCCATTCTGAAAGATTCAAATAAATTTTACGATTTACTTCATGTATTGGGTGCACTCACCTTCGCTGTCGGCCGCATCCCAGGCAACCTGGAAGTTGTTCTTCTTCGTTTTCTGTATCTGATCAGCCACCGAGATCTCTAGGTCCTCCAGCATGTATTCGTCGTCATAGCCCTCCTCCGAATCGGGCTCCCCAGTGTTAGGATCACAGTCCTTAACAACAAATCTCAAAGTGGCACCGAAAGTGGCTGTACGTATGAGAATATAATACAAGTGATAAAAAAAGAAATATTTAATTATTTTTGTGATCTAAAGTTGCTAGATAAAAACATTAATGTATTCTATATGTTGTTGAGTCGACTTACCAATGGAACTGGCTGCATCGGGCGGGAACTCCACGATGACGAATGTGGTCTGCAGCTCATTGTACGGCAACTTGGGACACGGAATCACTGCCCTGGCTGTGAATCCGTCGGGCAGCGTTAGTTCGACCCGCACATTCTCCAGAAACTGGTCGGACAAGGTGTTGAGGCAATCAAACTGGAAGACCACATGCTGGCCAAAGATGTGCTTGATGCACTGCACCGTGTACTCTGTCTCGCTTTCCGTGAGCTGAATGGGAGCGGTGCTACGATGGATGGGCCCAAGGACCTGGATGCCCGGCAACTGGGCCAGTCGGGCAGCACTCTCCTCCTCGCGCGTGATCTTTGGCGGCCGGGGAGCGCTGCTGGTGACCAGCATGACATCGTTATTTACCTCTGCCTTGACGATTGCCGCCTTGGGCACTATGGAAATATCGAAGCGAGTATCCAGGTCACCATTGAGATGATCCACTAGCGATTTCTCGAGCAGAGCCAGAGAGCAGTTCTCCCGCTCGATGATGTAGTTTTTGTAGAGGTCCGCCCTCTCCGAGTTCAAGATGCTCAGGTAGTAGGTGGCTCTGTCCCGCACCTCGTCATCCGGATCCATCTGACAGCGGCCGAGCAGGACCAGAATATTGCTCAGCAGGGCCGGACATGAGGCTCCGAACTGGGCCAAAGCCGTCACGGCAGCAGCTCTTACAATTGGACTCTCCAAGATCACGCGATTGTAAATGAACCGTATGTACTTCGAGGGCGTGGCCGCGAAGGGTCCCTCCTTGCCCAGCAAGTGGAGAATCCTCACCGCCAGCGACACGTGTTCGCAGTCCTCGATAAACTCACAGAGATGTGACAGCCCGGACTCCTTGGCGTCTGCGTTCTCTTCAATAATAGTGATAATCGTGTCCACAATGGAGGTCTTGTACTCCAAACCGCCCTCCTCGCGTAGCATGCCGCTAAGGAAGTTCATAAGCACTGTATGCTTTCGCGGATACTTGGAGCAGAGGGCGCAAATCGCTTGGACGACCACAACCTTAAACTCATCGGAGATCTCAGCCACAAACGTAGAGATCTGCTTCATGAGACGTTCAACCGATGACTCGGCGCCGGTCTTTAGGAGCGTGGTAATGGCCAGCGTGGCAACCGATCGATTGGAATCGGTGATCAGACCCTCCAGGTCTAGGTTGCAGGTAGTCACTGCCGCCGGATGTGTCATGGCCACCTTGTTGAGCGTGCGCACAGCCGCAAAACGGAGAGTGGCTTTCGGCGAGCTACAGAAGAGCTGAAGGATGGAGAATGCCGGCGTGAGCATTCGGGGATTAGTGTTCTTCAAGTTGACGATAGCATGTGCTGCTTCATAGATGACCATTTCACTTTTGTGCCGCAGACAGCTCTCAATAAAGGTGAAGAGAGGCGAATCCGATAGCTCCTCAGAGGGAATGTCCTCCTCTTCGATAAGCTTGCAGGCGATGCGTATCTACGGAGAAAATATTCTTTAATTACTAGGGACGAAGATTCTTTTGATGCTCTAAAAGCAACTCACCAGCATGCAGACGGCGTAGGGACTCTTCATCGAACCCCGGGTCAGCTTGTTGACCAGCTTGGACACTGCCAGACGGTCCGACTTGCGGATGTGGTAGAGCAGCCCCAAGGCATGATACTGCACCATAATGTTATCGCTATTCATGGCCTCCTGGGCCTCGTTGGCCCACCGCTTTACCACTTCGCCGGAGGTGCTGGCGAGGCGCAAGGAGCTAACCAGAGCGGCACACGACACGGCAGCATTCTTGTCCACGATGCACTGCTTCATGTATCGCTCCACGGCCTGCAGCATAGTGTTGTCCGTGATGCTGCACAGGGCACGAATTGCGGCTGCCCGATACAGATCTTCCTTGCCTGTCATATCCTTCGTTAGCGAGCTGGTAACAATGATCACGTCCTCGGCAATGGAGCTCAGCTCCTTAATGCCCAGATAGACCATGCGGCGCAGTACCACGTCCTTGGACTGGAAGAGCTTCGTCATGGCGAAGAAGCAGTCGGTAGCTTCGCGGGCGACCAGCTGCTCACCCTGGTTGATCAGATATAGGATCTTGGTGAGGATGTGGATGCACTTGCGGGCGTTGACCGGCGTCTCGTTGAAGGTGCGCGTCTCCTGCAGCACCGACGTCTTCTCCAGGTTCTGGTAGGCATTGACTGGTCCTGTTTTCGTTGAAGTTCCAAAGCCGCCGCCGCGATGTTTGTGCGTGGTGAAGGAAAAATAATTCATTTTCTCGATCAGGTTTTATTTAATTTTCTTTTGGGGACAACTCGATACTTTTATTTTCTCTCTGTGTGAGTGGGGGGTGTGTGTGTGTGCTTGACTTAGTGTGTAAGTGTGAGAGTGTGATGTCTCTGCCAGCGGAGCACCTTCCAGCGCGCTGGAGTTTTTCGCAGATTGGACTCCTCTGGCGTGGGATAAGTAAGTCTCGGGCGTTAGGGAGCGCTACTCACCGTCCTCCTCCTCATCTTTGTCGCGGCGGAAGGAACCCATTTTCGGCAAATTCACGAGAAATTGATAAAACAAACGAAATGGTTTTCTGCTTACACGTCACTCAGCGGGGCCAGTTGGTTCATTTATGAACCAGTTGGCGATTGCCGACAAGATTCTGGTTCCACTTGCGGCACGAAGCGTGTCAATCGATAACTTTTAGGGCGGTTTCAATGCCGGCTTCAACTTGTTTTAAAATCTTTCATTTAGGTTTAATTTATAGAAATATATATATTATCTACTATTACAATAATACACATTTTGCATTATCTTGACATGAAAGATACTTAAATAATCATAAAACTGTCTTATATTTTAATAAAAAAACGAAAGCGGCTTTAAAACTTCTTCGTTGTTGTCATTTGAATGTTTTTATCGCGTTGAAATTAAAAATGTTCTTTAATATCTTTTATTTGTTCTTTAAATATATGTAAATTAAGAAGCATTTAATTATTCGTCCCATATAACTTAAATAACATTTATTTAAGTGAAAATCGGAGTGTCAAGTCACTCTGAATAAGAATCAACAAGTATCCAATGACGGCTGAAAAAACTGTATTAACCAAGGATGTATTTAGCTCTAAGAGACCCAGAGGCATCAATTTGTAGTCAATCGTGGAGACCTGTAGCCAGAAGGCATTAACGACTTGTTTAAATCGGATATCCGCGTGCTGCAGATCAAAGCGTTGCAAGAGATCTCCGGTTCTCCTGGTCTAAGGAGTGTAAAGGGGAATATGAATTAAATATGAATGGAATTGAACATTTTTAATTATAAACCCACCTCCTGCAACATTTGATTGCTTATTCTGGCAACCATGAAAATTTCCATGAAGGGAACTGTTAAAAACACCAACTGATCAATGGCCAGAAAGAGATCGAAGGACTCCTCGTTAATATAGTAATCAGCAATGGTCAGATACTGATTGTACAAGCCCAGCGTAATACCAATTAGGTTCATTGACAACATGGACAGGATCATAGACCAGTCTGTGAACCGCAAATATTCCTTGGAGTACCAGGCAGTCAGGCCATATTTCTTCGCCAGTTCATCCAATTCATCGGCCAAGTCGCAGAAGCGACGCATTCGATAATAGGGTTTCTGCAGATTCATTTGGCCAGGAGTTTGCAGCATATTGGCCTCCTTGACTATGCTGAGTAACTTTTTATTAATCGCTGCCACTATTGAGTTGGCTATTACCAGACCTCCAAAGAAGCAGTTGTTTATCTGATTGGAAACTATCAGTGGCAGCATCGTCCTGATATTTGCAAAACTGGTCCAACTAAGGTCCGGTTGGGCCCGTCTTTGGTAGAGAATCAGGGTTATATACTCGACCAGCGGACAAACGAGAATTTTGAGGACAGCGTAGATAAAGGCCCTCCACACTAACATCATGGGAATGTCAAAGGAATTAAGGACCTCAAAGAGAGGTACACTATTTTGGAATTGTAGAACTGGCTTTATTATCGGCCACTGGGTGATGAAGTTTATGAGGCAAACGGCGACATTCATGTAGCAATACGTTTCTATAGTATGGCGTAGGCTTATATATCCCTCCGACACTTCCTTATAGATGTGCCAAATATAAAACAATAAAAATATCGAGGCCACTGCGAAACAGTAAGCCGCAATCACTTTAGAAAATACAAACTTTCTACGTTTTAGAGAAAAGAGTCCGGGATAAAATCCATAAAGGGTATTTAACGTTATGGTTATACTAAGGCACACAAATACCAACTGGCTGTGGTGCTTCCACCGCCGGAATTGTCGGGGGAGGAACCGAAGCCATAAGGTCCTTATACGACGTGTTTGCTTGCGCACGAATCTCATGGTACTGATTTCGGCAGCCTTTGCTGCCTTTCCAGGGCAAATTGCCGATTAATTACTTACTCTTATCAAAGATTAAATTATATAATTGGTAAGAGCTATATGAGTGGGGTGAATTGGTTTTTTAATATAAGGGTATTTTAATTTCTATAGAGTCTTTAAAATTGTTTCTCTCTTAGTTTTACCAGAATCTGAAAAATAAGTTATCTAAGATCATACTTAAGCAATTTTTTTGTAAGCAGGCAAATTTAATATAATAATTGTGTCATGATCAAAGATATTTCCAGATATCCGGTTAGCAATCCCCTGATAACTAGGTATGTTTTGAAGACCACTACAATATCTTAAATCACCTGTTTAATTTTCAAAAATTCCCGAACAGCTGCGGCATGAACCGCTTATAGCATAGCTCTCACCGCGAACTAGTTGGAGTCAGGTAAGCATGAACCGTTGCGAGCGGAGCGGAATCGGAACCACACAAGGTGAACGGAACTGGAGCTGGACGCGACGCAAATGGAAAAGGAAAACATTAACGCGAAAAGCAGGGAAAATGTGCTGTAAAATCCGCGCCGTTAGCCTGCAGGTGCAAGTCCGCGACGCCCGGGAGTGCCAGTGACAAGTGCGCGATGAAATAGGTGCGGGAAAACAAACGGAAAACAGCAGCGAAAAGCAAAGCTCCGGACCCAGTACACCGCCCCCTCCGTCGCCACCCCCGTCCCACGTCGTGCAGCCAGCAACGTCAGCGGGCCAGAGAGCGGCGGGCGTTGCTAAATAATTTCTCCGGGGCGCTCCGCTGGACAAAAGTGCTATTCGTTGGCGTGCGCGTATAAATAAATAGCTGAAAAAGGCGAAAAGGCCAGAAAATCGGGCAAAGAAGGCTGAACGAGAAAATCTGAAAAATCAGCGAATAGAAAGTGTATACAGACTCTCACACATGCCTGTGCCGCCGCCTGCATTTGTGTTGTTCGTGTGATGTGTGTTGGTGTGTGGAATACCAGAAAACACAAGGTGCAAAATGTTTACCAAAAAGTCCCATGCGGATGTGAAGAAATCCACGGCCAAGTTGCAGGACTGCAAGAAAGATTCCGCTTCCCGGTTGCGACACCTACGCATGATATTAGGTAAGGTTTCTTCCGAATGGCTTTTGTAAACCATGTTTGGGCACCGAATTATTAAATCTGAGCTTTGGGTTCATGTGAAGTTTGATTTTGTACTCCTAACTCTCGGCTTTTTCCATAAATAGTTCAAATAATTTTAAAACTAGTATTTTATGCTCCAGTTAAGGTACTTCATCGTGTTTAACGTTTTGTTACGACTTAACATTAGAGCAAGGTCCTGCGTTGGCGGTTTTGTTGGATGTTAATTATTTCATAATTTATTTGCATTCATAGCAATAACAATGAAACTGGTTGGCTGTTTTTATATACTTTTGTTTTAGGTAAGTGGGCGTCTTTGTCGAACCATTTTCGCTCCACAGTGGCTCGCGCTCACTCAATGACGTTCTGCCCACAGTCCACGGTTGGAGCAGCAACAACAACAAAATGTGGGGCCACCGCGTTGGCCATTTCCTGTTGGGCGCAAAAGAACCTCCATATATTCCATGCCAAACCGAACCATAATGTGCCATACTCTATACCCCTTTTCTCTCCACTAGAAGCATTAATTTATGCAAAAAGAAACGGAAAAAGATAAGTAAAAAATCAACCGACGTACACATGCTCCGCTATGTGGCAAGCGAAAATGTGTGAAAAACGTTAAATGATAAAGAAACGAACAAGTGGAGCTACAGTCAGGCTTCCCAAAGACAAGTTTGATCTACTTCGACATTGTGGGACTTCTTATATGTATGATTTATAAAAAAATTAGGTCTCATTACCTAAAGTTTTTAATTTTAAACATACATAGTTGAGTTTATGTTACCACAAACCCTTTGGCTTGTGCTCACTCTAAATAATAAACTTGAACTAAAAAACGAAAAAAAAACTTATTTATTGCTCATTATTATAATTATAAGGGTAATTGGCAAATACTAGAAAATTTGTATGATTACTAAGACTATCATAATTTTATTTTTTGCCTATTATTTATTTAGAAATGAATACCTAAAATCACTAAAATCTCCCCTTGCATTTAGCTTAGCCAAGTTGTACGGTATTAACACAGTATGTACAGCAAGTGCGGGTTCGAGTACGAGTCGCAGATATGAGCAATCTCCCACCTTCCCCTCCTTCAGGTGATCCCTCTTCTCCTTCAACACCTTCTCCTCACCTCGTTTCAGTGGCTTTCTTTTTGTGTCACCTATTCGAGCGATTTCCAACAGGTGCCTATGCTTCCCTACACAATTTAACAAATCACTAATACACCTGCCTGCCGCCACCCGCCGGTGGTGGTGCACCATTGTTGATGGTGTATGGTATATCGCTTTTGTTGTTGCTTCGTTGCCCCATTGTCCCTTGGCAAATTACACGCATTAGACATTTAGACATTCTTCCCAATGCCTGTGCGCTCCCAATTGTTTTTTAACCAGTTCATCAACAATAGGACACTGGAAAAAATAGTATATTTGCTACTAAACTATATATCAAACTTAATATAGAATACGTAATTATCAACTTATTTATATAATAAGAATATGATTAAATGATTTACCTAATAACCTTGATTTTAAACACTAAATTCACCATTACAGACGTTACTTCTTTGTGAAGATTGTTAGTAATACCTTCTTTATTTCCCGTGCACTCGTAGACTCGTCTTCGCTTTCTGCGTGTTGGCCTTCTGCTGGGAAACCGGTTTCAAAACGTTTCTTACCTTGCTTTTATCTCGTTGTTTAGCTTTCTTCTGCTTTTGCTGTGTGTTTTGCTGATGACAGCAAGCCGGCAATGGCAGTGAATACCCCACATCTCTCGCTCCCCGCTTTTCCCCTCTGAATCATCACAAAGCTGATCGCTGATCGCGAGCACCCATCATTCCGAGTGTTTTTGTTGTTGAGATTTTTGTAACTTGACTTTAAATAGCTATAGAATAGTTTGGGAATATTGACTGGCTGGGGGCTTCGATTTGCAGCGTTATCAGCAGATAGTAAATAGCACCGACACAGGTGCTTCTTGATGCATTGCGTCACTATCTTGGTTGTTGCCCCCGTCGAGGCAACAAGTCCTTATCGCAATTGCACAGAGAAAAACTTTAACACACTTTTATCCAAATATTGATTTGGTTACATTACGGAGACACCTAAGTATCTTAATTAAAAACAAAATAGTCCCAGTCCCAATGGTTTGAAGATTAAAGGTTGAAGCTAAGCGTAGAGTCGAGCCTAAGCGTAGAGTCGATCCCCTTGTATTCCTTACCTAAGCCTCAGATTTACTGATGACCTATTGTTTGTTTATTTTTCAGATAATGTGGAGCTAGAGGAGTCCAAGTCGTTGTTCGAGACCAATTACAGTCATGTATATTTTATACTCTACGACACCTTCATTCAAGCCGAGGCCAATCTAAAGCAAAAAGGTAATTCAACTTGCACAGAGGAGTCTACATATGGACTCTTATAATACTCCCTTCAGGGGTTTAACTAATGTTATATTTTACTTATTTATTTGTAAAGAAGATGAAAGTCTTTGTGGGTTTTCATTAGATTACACTTCCAAAACTTAAGTTTCCATGTTTGTTTGTTGTTTCTTAATACACTTGCAGGGTATTATCATTTCAGTTAGAAGTTTGCAATGCAGTGAAGGAGTCGTTTGATGCATTTTTGGCTAAGTTATGAGTTTTTTAAACTTTGATTTATCATAAAAATTGCCATATTAAAATATCAATAAATATCGGCTTAAACAATGGTATTATAATTTCAGTCAGAAGCTTGAAATGCAGTGAAGGAATGTTTCATATATATTCTTGATCAGCATCAACAGCCGAATCGATGTAGCCATTTTTTGGGAGAACTTTTTTTTCGTTTTTATTTTTAAAATTTTGTGACTAAATTTTATAGTTTCAAATTGTCAAAATTTGACAAAAATTTAATTTCTTAAAATTGTAAAACTAAATATGCAGATTTTTTAACTCTATAAAAACTAACACAGAACAGCTTTCCGAATTTAAATTGATGCATTCTTGGATGTGTTATGAGAAAAAATTGTCATATAAAATATAGATAAACATTGGCTCAGAAGCTTTTAGTCTATTAAAAAAATTTTAATTTTTGAAATTTTATATTTTATAAAAGTCAAGACAGATCTGAATTGAAATGAATGTATTTTTGGCTTAGTTATGATCGACTTCAAATTTGAATCCATTATCCTTTGGCTAACTAGAATGTTATACAAACTTTGTCTTCCCAAAGTTAGCTTCCTTTTTCGTTCTTATTTTGATGAGTAATGTATTATTTATTTTTATTTTTTTCTGAATATGTTTTTAAGAGTATGTATCCTTCGAGGCTTTGTTAAAAAACTGTATTTTTGTTAATTATCTCATATCGTTTCTGAAGATTTAATTTCCACCAATTAAGCAAAGCAAACAGCGGTGACATTAAGTCTGCTGCCTGGTTTGGGTTTCGTTTATCTTTATGCTTTGACCCATTTTTGTAGAGATAGTATTTGTCATCAAATATAAACAAAACAATTAAAGAAAGAAAACATGATGTTTTAAATTTCCAACCCTCTTCTATTTCTCTATTTTACACCCTTTTTTCTCTCTGTTTTTGTAAATTCCCTATCTGGCAGAACTTCCGTTTCACATTGGTAAGTTTATGTGGTTTCTAATTGACATTTTTGAATTGACCATTGAACTGTAACCACCTCCACTTGCTCCAACACCTTCTCCTTCTCTTTCCCGCTGACCTTGCCTTCCAAGTCAGTTTACCATAAAAAATCTCATGTCCACTGACCATTTCCATTTTCGAACTGCACCACATGCATCCCTCCTTCTGTCTGTCTCTCTGTCTCTTGTGCTTGTCCAGAATGCATCCGTAGTGCAAGCAGGAATATACCTACCTTTTTCTCCATTTATAAATATAACTAAGACATTCATTCCTATTCCCAACACAGTTCACAAGGCGCATCGCGAGGAGCTGGACGGTTCGCTATGGCTTCTCGAGAAGATCTTGTGTCTGCTGCCGGAGCTGTTGGCCCGTCGTTGGCAATGCCACTCCCTCAGTCGCATCATGGCCAAGCTGCTGCATCTGGGCAACTCGCCGAAACTAAGACGCGAGGGCGTTCGGTACTTTCTGCTATGGTATCAGACCCTGGGAGAGAATGCCCCCGGCTATGTGCACGCCATGTACGCGGATCTCATACCCGGCCTCATTGTCCCCCAGAAGGGCGTCACCGGCCCGGACACGGAGTTCAGTGCCTCGGACTTTCTCACGCATCCCAACATGAAGGCGGACGGAGGCATGGCCTCGGTGTTCCACGACAACGCCTTCTCTCACCCGGTGCAGAGTTCGGAGGTGGTTGCTTTACTGCCGCCATCGTCCAGCGAGAAGTCAGCGCCACCGGATCCCCGGGACGGGCTGGAGGTGCTACTAAACAGCATGGTGCATACGGCGGCCTGTCTGCGATGGCGTGACAATCGCGCCCAGAAGGATCACCGGGCGTTTGCCTTCCTGCTGCAGCGCTTCATGGATGTCTTCCTGCCCGTCTTTTCGCCCAACTTCGATGTTACCTGCTCCATCTACAGTCCGCGTCTAGATTTGCCCGTGATGCGGTCGATCAACAAAAAGGAGGAGGTGATGGCCTCTTGTGTAGTAGTTCTCATCAACTGGGTGTCTCGATTCACACACGAGCGCCTGTTGAGTCACCGCCTGGACTGCACCCTGCACCTCGAGGAGGTGGATAATGTGCGACTGCAAGGCTACCAGCAGGGACTGATCGTCCGGGATGTGTTTTACGTTAGTCGGGAGAACATCAACTTTGTGCATGAGGTGTATCGTCAGGCGTTCCTCCTTAACTTCACCTCCAAGCCGCAGATCGAGGCGATCCGGACCGCCATCGCTGTGTACAGGGATTGGATGACGGGCGAGACGCCTCCACCGTTCCTGCTGGAGCCGAATGACGATCCACCGCCTCCGTCAACGGCGGGCGGGACACCGCGTAGTCAGCGATTGCGCACACCCTCCTATGTGGGCGCCATGGCGGGCTCCAAGGATCAGCAGGCAGTGCGTGCTGGACGGCAAAATGTTCTGCAGGTAAGCACGAATCTGCCTTTATTGAGTTGTTGTCCTTATTAATCCATCTCTCTCTCTTCTCACAGGTATTCGTGACCAATGCGGCTAACGTGTTCCTGGTGAGCACAGCCAACCTGAACATCTGTTTCCCCGGCCGCTCACGCACCTATCGCTCCACGCCGCTGGAAGAGCAGACGGAGATCTGCAAGAAGGTGCTGAATGTGTACCGCACCATGGTGATGAACACCGAGATGGACTCGCGGACCTGGGAGCAGCTGCTGCTAGTGCTGTTGCAGGTAACCTCGGTGGTATTGCATCAGAATCAGCCAAACGGCGGTGGCACCCCCAAGAGCGGTACCCTAGGTGGGATTTTAGGGTCTGCAATCTTCCAAACCCTGATTGTCACCTGGATACGAGCGCACACAAAGGTCCCAGTGAATGTACAGCTGTGGGAGAAGTTCCTCAATGTCCTGCAATCGCTGACGCATCGGGAGGAGCTAATCGTGGAGTGGAACAAGACCATACAGACGCTGACGCGGGTCTTTTCGCGATACAGTTACGGCATCAACTTGTTGGACCTGCCCCTGGATCGGGTGGCGGAGAGTCGGGCCGAGAAACGGCGTCGCATCGGCAGCGTCTGGCAGGGATCGGGAGCTAGCACTGGCGGAGGCAATGCCGCTATTTCGGCAGCCAACTCAGGCCAAAGCCGGCAGCGGGAGTCGCTGGCAGAGTCGAATAGCAGTCGTTCGGAGGAGACCTCGTCTTCGCAGGTGCCGCTCCAACACCAACCAAACCGGACGCATCACCAACACACACAGTCACAAGGAGGTGCGGGCCAGGGCTCAAGACCCGTGCCACTCACGCCCATGCTGAGTCGAAGCTACAGCGAAGGTAGCCTGGCCTCGGCGGCCAGGAATTCGGCGCGGATAAGACGCCGCAGGGCAGCCCCTCCGCCAAAGCCCAAACCCCTCCAACAGCAGCAGCAGCCGCCACACGGAGAGAACCGCATAAACGCGCAAGACTTGCGCCGGGCCATGTCCCTAGACTCGCTGGCCAGGAAGAGCAGTGATGCCGCCGAGGAGACTGACTTGGAGGGCGACAACGAAAGCGGAGCGGGCTCCCGGAGTCCCTCGCCCACCGCCAGCAGTGGGATCGAAGGGGGTTCCATCAAGGATGCCCAACTGCAGATCGATGCCAGCTTGGATGACGCCAATTCGGGGAGCTACGGCAGTGGCAGCAACTCGGGGAGCCTTTCCGGCCGTCGCTGCATTATCCTGGGTGGCTCGGCGGAGGGCTGGCATCCCGATTCCACCTCCATTATGTGGAAACGCATGCTGGGCGCTCTGGGTGATGTAAATCGCATCCCCAAGCCAGAGCTGCATGCCCAAGTCTTCATGCATCTGCTGGAGATGACACAGAATCTGATCAAGATCAAGCAGAACCAAGGCATATCCTCGGATAATCAAAGCACGCCACCGCCTCCGACTTTGGTTCCACCGATTGGGATCGTGGCGCCCTGGTGCTACGGCTCCCTCACGCTGGATAGATCCTTCAAGAAGGGGAAGTTGTGGGCCCTCCAGCTGCTCTGCTCGCTGGCTATTCAAGGAGGCACCGTGGGAATGCAGCAGCAGTTACCGCTTTTCTATCACGCTCTCCACCAGTTGCTGACCGGTGAGGATCGGGATTTGATTTATGCTATCCTCAAGCACCTGGAAGGTCCCCGGTTGCTTAGCCTACTGCTTCCCGGGCACACCCTCCTCTTGCTGGACTTGGTGCACGCGAGTGCTATACTTCTCACTTCCCTGGAGGTCTCCCGGAGCACACCCCGGGCCGAGGTGGCGGCACTGCTGGGCTCACTGCTCTGCTATCCGTCCTCACTGCTACCGCGTCCCGTGTTGCAGCCCTCGCCTCAGAAGTTCGAGCTGATGGAGTGCCCGGATCTGCAGGATCACATCCTAAACATTGTGCTGAGATGTGCCAGGCGGGAGCCCTCGTCCAGGGCGCGGTGCATTGCCCTCGCCCAGCTGGGGCAGTGGCTTCTTCTGCGTCTCTCACAGCCTTCGTTGGGAGCCTCAACTGCCGGCAAGGGCCATCTCTTCCAGCAGGCGGTACCGCATCACAAGGATGTCCAGCCCAAGGAGACGCAGGTGTTCAATCCGCGCATCAAGGAAGTGCTTCAGGTGCTTCTGCAGGCACTGCAGTTCAAGCATCATACCATCGCCATGGTGGCCGTAGATTCACTGAAACTCTGCGCGGAGCGTGGCCGTCAGCTAGCAGCCATCGAAAGGGTTCCTCATCTTATAATCACCGCGCTGTGCAAGGCCCTAGAGATCCAGAACGTGACCAAGCCCAGGGACTCGGACAAGGTGGTGCTGACATCGCTGATGCTTTGTTTGGGTGAATTCTGCATGGCAATACCAGTAGCTATACTGCTGGCTCCGTTCAATGATCAGGGCGATACCCTAGTGCTTCAGGTGCTTCGAGTACTTCTCCAGGTGGCCTCCGGAGCCCCACGCCACGAAAGAGTGAAGCTGACGGCGGACGACGACTTCGACATGCACATTACCCATGATGATTTGCAGGGTGATGGCCGTCTGCCCGAAGCCACTTATCAGACGTCGGAGACCATCTACAAGTGCATCTCGGCCATCAAGCTGTGCGCCAAGGCGGTTTCCATGCACCTTGTGACCCACATCGGTCACTTTCCCATGGGGATCGGGGCCTCTCGTCTCAGTTCTATGGTGGAGGAGCAGGATGACATTGGAGGCGCCGCTTATGGAGGTTCGGTGGAAGCTAGACGTGATTCTGTGGAGCTGCCTTCAGTGGTGAGTGCCCAGAACATGCAACTCTTCATGCTCAACTCGGGCCTAGTGGCCAGCTTCATAGAGTTGCCCACCCTGAAACTTCCTGGAGGTGGAATAACTGCTGGTCTGGTCACCGCCGAGAAGCAAGTGAGGGTCCTGATGCGGGATCTCAATGGCAAGGCCTGCTGGGATGCGTCCATTCTGTACTCGGAGCCTCGTAAGTCGGAGGAAGCGCCTCTTAGTAGAGCCACTCCGAAGATTCAGCACTCCCATCCGCTGGATTCCATGGTGTCCTCCATGGTGGCCCATGAGCTGCAGGCACCGCGCCACACTTTGCGTCATCGCCCAGCTGGAGTGCTGCCCTTGGCCCAGGATATGGCGCCGGATCTAGACCAGCTTGACGATATGTTGGCCTACATCGGACACACCAGCCCCGAGTGCGTGCCGCCCACAGTTGGCCAGCTAAATGCACCGAGTAGCAGTCCCCTTAGTGGCAATCAGGAGGCGCAGGCCATTTCAGTGATCCTGAACCAACGCCTCCTCGAGCAAGAGTATGTGACGCACTCGGCGCAGGCTCCCTTGCCCGCCCTACGGCATGCCAGCTCCATTACTTCGTTGCCAGACCAGAGGTCCATACACTCGGCTAGCGCCTCCTTTGATTCCCTTCCCACCCGCACCGAGATGCCCTTCCAGTACTGCCGGCTGCTCTTCTCCCATTTGGGCCTGGCTGGTTGGGAGCGACGCTCCCGAACGCATCTGCTGCAGAGGAGCGAGAAACTGATGCGGGAGCTGCGTAACGTGGACCTGCAAAAGTGCCGGGAAACGCACAAGATGGCGGTGATCTATGTGGCCGCCGGGCAGGAGGACAAGGGCAGCATCCTCCGGAATACGAGCGGCAGCAGCACCTACGAAATGTTCGTCTCTGCTCTCGGCTGGGAGATCGACCTGGAGACACACAATGGCTTCCTGGGAGGATTGCCTCGTCAGGGATGTGGCGCCACGGCTCCGTACTACGCCACACCCTTCCTGGAGGTTGTGTACCATGTGGCCACGCGGATGCCCTCGGATTCGTCGGAGGCCATGCTGCTGAAGACGCGGCATCTGGGCAACGACGAGGTGCACATCGTATGGAGCGAACATCATCGCGATTACAGGCGGGACATCCTGCCCACCGAGTTCTGCGACGTTCTCATTGTGGTGTATCCCCTGAGGAACGGCCTCTTCCGGGTTACGGTTAACAGGAAGCCCGAGGTGCCGTGGTTCGGGCCGCTGGCCAACGAAAGCGTGGTGAGTGGCGCCTGCCTGGCCACCCTGATCCGGGCCACGGCCATCAATGCCAGTCGGACGAAGCGCGCAGCACTGCCGCTCTACCAACAATTGTAAGTTTGAATGGTTGCTTGTTGCAGTTCAAAGTGTAATTTAAATAATATCTCAACAGCTATGAGGAGCGTAACCGTTCACTAGACAGCGTCTCATCAAGGTACAAGGAGAGCACCACCTTCGAGGACTTTGCCAGCCGCATATACAATCCCATGCCGCTGTCCACGCTGGGCACTTTGAGGGAATCCAATGCCAGCAGCACCTCGGCTGCTCCCCTAGCCTCGGCTCTGCTGGATCATAATCGAGCTTCCGTTAAGGGTAATATAAAAATCTTAAGGCCTTATATCGCTATTATCATTCGTTGCAAACTTTAAAGTTGTTCCCATTTTTGCTTGAAACCATTTATTTTTCAACATTTTAAAGTAAAATCTCTTTAATTATCTCTATTATAAATACTAATACCATGCGTTTTGCAGGTTGGGTTCAAGCCTCCATTGATTCCGCACCGATAATGGGAATAGTGCCTTCGGCCTCCGCTGGATCAACGGCTGCAATGGAGGCAGCCACTGGAATGGCCTCCGCTTCGCCGCGTGGGCCCCGAAAGTTGGGAGCGCCGTTCAAGAATGTGACCAAGAAGCACTCCCTGCAGCAGATCGTCGTGGGAGGTGGAGCCGGCGCCGGTGGTGATACGCCACCTGAGAGTCCGACTTTGCCGCAACGACGTTTTAAATAAAACTTGTCTCTTTCCTCCGATTCCGGTACTAACTGCACACCCATTCCCGCCCTTTCACCGATGCAGAGACAAATGGAGAGAGAGTTATAAATGCAAAAACGAATAGTATTTTCGCTCTATGTTAATTATTGTAATTATTATTTCTCGGTGTATTTAATTTATTCTCGCTTCTACTCTCTAGTTTCCATTTCCCTCAGATAACACTGTGTTGTATTTGCTTTGCGAATTTTACCTAGCTTAAATGGTTCATTATTCTTTTTACATATTTATTGATAGATCGATCCGTTTGCTATCCGTTAAGTAATCGGAGCACCTATGTTGTGATGTTAACGAATTATCGGAGCTCTAAGCATTCGAGTGCATTTACTCTGCTTCAGTGCTAAGCGTTTAATCCATTTGCAATCTGTTATCCATAATTAATTATTATTATTAGAACTATAATATTTTACCAATGTATGTCATATATTTTACACAACGTTTGGCAGCTTGGAAGCTTCGAAAAATTCGAAATTTCTTTTAGGTCTCTATTCGCACAAAATTTATAGATTTTGCTTTTTTTTTATTTTTTTTTTTTCCTAAAATGTCATTGTGTCAAAAAGTAATAACTTAAAGTAAAAAAAGAAGTGCATTAAATATTTATAATTAATAATCCTTGTTTCTAACATTATTGTAAAAGGTATTACTATGACACATTTTTTTTATTTAATTAAATTAAATCTATATTTGATTTAAAAATGTGCATTATAGTATTATGACATGTTTTGTATATGTAATAATCACATTTTTGGTAGTGATAACTTTTAGAATAATGAAAGAAGAAAATATGCAAGAATAATCAAAATTCGAACATAGGAACCACAACTTGCTCTGCCCATTCAAAAACAAAACGTCAACTCCTAGTATTATGTAATCGAGCTATATTAATGTATAGGTAGCCTTAGAGTTAAGTTTCCTATATCCCAACCCTACCAAAATGTCGATGGCAATCGTAACTAGGAGTGCGAGTCTTAGAGAGAAAAGCAAACCAAGCAAAAACAAAAGAGTAACTACAAATTGTTCAAACCAATCGCCTTTTATTTGTGTGTAAAAACTGAAATTGTTACCTTAGATGATTTATTAAGTAATATTAATCAGTTTTGTATTCTCACTGCGAATTGTTTTCAACGAAATTCGATCAAATTGATAGATTTACACGATATATTTATATATATTTACACCAACCAGCGTACATACGTATATGTTAATTTTGTATTTATGTAAAGCGGGCAACTGAAAGTTAATTGCAATGCCTTTTTGTTGCACAAATGTTTTAATATATGAGAAATCCGTAGGCTAATTACCACAAATAACCGTAAGCAAACTTTTTTGTATAAAACCAATAAATCGAAAAGTAAATTAAAGCTATGTGAAACTTGTAACTAACACCAAGCATAAACGCATTATATACAACTACCATTTATAGTACATATGTATATTAATTTACTAATTTATTTCGAGAAACATTCGAGTATTTTTTGGATAATAAATAACTTGAATTTCAAAAAGAGTTGAAGATGTCGAGCAAACCTCCCTCCTCCCTTAGGACAGATGTTGTCCACATGTTGTAGCAGTAATTAACTGGGCACACGCAATCGCTCTACTGACACTCATTTGTTGTCTTGGTTCCCAGGTGGCCGAAAACGTGTGGGCCCGGCCTGTTCCGCGAGAGGTCATTGCCTTCACTCCCGTTTCGTGGGTTACCTTCTTCTTTTAGGGGTAAATCAACCCCCTGCTTCCTGGCAGGCGGGGACAGTCGATAGTGCGGTTGTCTGGCTGAGATCGGTGGTGAGCATGGGTATAGTAATATGAGTTATTAATGTTTCAGCGTAAAAATAAATTGTAATAAAACTAAATAGCATACAAAATAGTAATGTAATGTTTTTTATGTACCATTTAATTTCCATTAAGAATATTTATAACCAATTTATATTTGCAAACTTTTTATATTTTCTTATTTTCATGATTGAATATATCTTATATTTCAGAAAAAATATTGAATTAGTAATTGTTTTTACGCTAATAGTTGTGAAAGGATTACGATTTATTTACTTATTTCATTTTATTTATTTATTTTTATACCGTTGCAGGGTATTATCATTTCAGTCAGAAGCTTGCAACATAGTGAAGAAGTCGTTTTAGACCCTATGTTTCATATCTAGCCATGTTTTGGAAGAATTTTTTTTTCCAATTTATTTTCGAAATTTTATGACTAAATTTTATTATTTCAAGTTGCCAAAATTTGACAAAAATTGAATTTTGTAAAATTGTAAAACTAAATATGCATATTTTTTAAACTTATAAAAACAAGCACAGAACAGCTTACCGAATTGAAATTGTTTCATTTTTGACGTATTTATGAGTTTTTTAAACTTTGATTTATCATAAAAACTGTCATATAAAAATATCAATGAATATCGGCTAAACAATGGTATTATAATTTCAGTCACAAGCTTTAAATGCAGTGAAGGACTCACTTCCGACCCTATGTTTCATATATATTCTTGATCAGCATCAATAGCCGAATCGATCTAGCCATGTTTTGGGAGAATTTTTTTTTTCGAATTTATTTTCGAAAATTTTATGACTAAATTTCATATTGTCAAGTTCTCAAAATTTGACAAAAATTTAATTTAGTAAAATTGTAAAACTCAATATTCAGATTTTTTAAACCTATTAAAACTAGCACAGAACAACTTTCCGAATTGAAATTGATGCATTTTTGACGTAGTTATGAGTTTTTTAAACTATGATTTCTAGAAAAATTATCGTATGAAAATATAGATAAATATCTACTAAAATAATGGTATTATAATCTTAGTCAGAAGCTTATAACTTACGAAGGAATCATTTCCGGCCCTATAATATATATATAAATTCTTGATCAGCATCAAAAGGCGAATCTTTCTAGGCAGGTAGAAAAGGAAAAAAGTCAAACTTTTATAGAGTATGCGAATTTATTAACCTAATAATAACGAACATAGAAAATCTTTCAGAATTAAAATAAATCCAGTTTTGCCTTAGTTATGATGGTTTTTCTGTGCAAGGATATAAAAATTTGGGTTTCCCAAAGTTGGCTTCCTTTCTAGTTTGATATTAATTTTTTTTTTCCTACTAATTTTTCACTTTCGGATAAAACAAGTGCTTTTGCTGGTACTGAAACGTTTTACAACTGGCTGTAACTAATCTTTTAAGTGTAACATTGAATAGATTTGAATAATATCTAATTATTTGAATAATATATTCTAAGGTGCCGTAATATATACCTTGCATAGGATCTACTGGCTCACCTTTTCCACCACTAACTGGGATCTAGGAATGCTCTTTGGGCTGCGAGTGTGTGCGGTGTTGTAACCACCACTGACACCCAGTGACGCCATCGAATTTGAATTTTCCCCGGCGCGGAGCAGCAGCAGCAACGGAGCAAATACCCCTAATGGCATTTAGTTCTCGTCGAGCAGTCGTGTCGCATGAACGTTCCTCCATTAGACTCCGGTGACTCTGCCCGACCTCTTCCTTCGGTTCGTTCTTGCCAACCTCCGGTTTGTTGCCAAGTCGTCGTGGCCAACTTGGGCAGCACTCAAGAAAACCCTCCAAAAATGCGCACTCAAGTGCTGGGTTTCTGTTTAGCCATTTTGCTAATTGTTTGCCTGATGTAAACAGAAAGCCGTAATTAGATGCGGGTGCCAAGTGCTGGCGGAGATCAGAGAGATGGGGAGCCGGTCACCGCCGCCGGCGCAGCGGATACGGCGGATTGGCGACAGCCTGCAGATGCTAACCCGGGAAGCTAGGAGCGAAGTGGTGCGCTGTGAACGTGAGTTTAAATAAATATTACTGATAAATAAATAAAGATTGGAATGAGAAGATTAAATCAAGTGAGAGAAAATTCTGTAACTTAACTTAAAACAAAATAGAGATTGAGAAAACACAATAAAATTTACAATTTAATTGTTCAAATTCTCAAAGAACTTAAAAGTATATCTATATATAATTACATATTTGAAAGTATTTTTTATATGGTAAGTTAAACTTGTAATGATAATCAAATAATACCCTAAATAATTATAGCAAAATAGGGTTGTATTTTAAAAAATTTAAAACGAGTATGTTCTATTTATAATAGAATATTTTCTTCCTATAAATATGATATTAATATTTCAAAACATTTATTACCCAAGCCCCCAGTCAAGGAAAACATGTTCCAAAAACTTATTTCTTAACTTTTGTTCTAATCCATAATCGATTAATCATCATATTTCAGAATATAATTGTTATTGTTTTCTTTCCTGGAGAAATATTTACATTCATGTAATAAATTCATGAGTGTCGCATTATCTTCCCTCGATTTGCATAAGCGGGGAAGACGACGTCATCGCCAATTTCAACATGGAAACATGGCCAAGATTTGTTTGTTTATCTGTATTTCTATAGGTAGCAGTGGCAGTGGCAGTGGAGGAGACCTTATTATGACATGTGTGGAAATATGTGGAAATGTGAAAATGGTTTGTGTTCGCTAGGGCTGGGCAATTGTTTATTGCGTGCCACAAAAGACCAGTGCTAAAAGCCATTATTGTTAATATTGGTTTCAATGCGGGTTCTGAAAATAAATTCCTTTTTCGTCCGGTAATTGTTTAGGTTTTTTTAGCCTACACTAATAGGACATATTAGGAGAACGTGGACTATTTGCTGATAGAGATTGAAGGACAAAGGTCTTTAATTTCTCAGAGGATATATAATGATATAAATCCATTTGATGATTATTTGATATACAGTTTAAAGGTTTTTAAATTATATATAATAGACATTTGTATCGTAACCAAAATCCTTATAGAGATGGGCCCCGTGAGAAATTATTGAAATTTAACCTGACTATAACTCCTCCGAGTCCTCAATAGCTCCCAAGCGATAAAAGTTGTTGTTAGACGGCGTTGAGTTTCACGTTTAGTTAAGGAAACCTAAATAAAGCCAGATGCCTGCCAGGCACGCGATTTAAGGTCCTTCGAAGGCTTCTTCTGGCCACTAATTAAGTTCACCTTGAAAGGGAAAGGCGGCGTGTTCTCCCCAAGGTCATCGCCGATAATTGCGGCCGTGGCAACTGCCCCCAAAAAAGCCAAATGTCGAGAGTCGAAACAATGCGAATGAAAATAGAAATTGAATTTCTTTTGGGAATTGATGCTTTTGCCTCTAATCGAGGATGCACAATAATCGACTATGTAATTTTAGGTGTATTTATGGAATGTTTTTTATAAGCGTATAAATAAACAAAAGAAATAATCACATTCTTTTATTTATTTATACGCTCATATATATAAAGTTAATTAGACAACAAATAGTGGTTGAGAAATCAAATATTTTTTAGGATCATTTACTAAATCTATTTTTTGTAATCGTTAATGGAATTTTTATAATCCCAAATTATGGTTCAAAGGCTTAAAATGAATCCAAAACAAAAACAACTTGTTTATAGCTTTCAAAATCAATTTCCCATATTAAAATTCCATGATAACTGCGTGACATAATTATTTGTAGGACCAAAATTAGCTGCGAAATAGGCGAACCTAACAATAATAAATAAATAAAAAAAAACCAATCATTCTCATCCCACACAGGCCATACCTAGAGCCCCTCCCCCTTTCAAGAAACAAAACAAAAAACAAGTCGAAATCAAAACAAAAAGAAAACCAAAACCTGAGCAGCAACCAGTTGCAAATGTTCGAAATCAAAACAAAACCGAAAAGAGAGAGAGAGAGAGAGAGAGAAGTAAATAAAATGAAGACGGATAAAAAAGAGTAAAGAGTGCGCTCCGATTCTCGGCTGGAGAATTATGGCCTGGTCGCCTCAGTGTCTGAACAACAGCCACGAATGTCGGACGTCGCCGTTCGGAAATCCATCGGATTTTGTATCTCTTGGATGCGTGCCCGAGTGTCGCGTGGTCGCGGTACCTTATTCGTCAATTAACCCGCTGGGCGATGTGCGTTTTATGCAAAACCATATCCAAATTTGAATACCAATCAGTGTAGATGGGCCAAAGTATGTTCGAAAACTAAACGAAACTCGTATGCCCAAAGACGACCTTGAACTCGCTACCTGGACGGATGTCAGTTTTCCCAACCGAAAATTCACACAAACAAGCTGAAGGGGTTAATTAGAATAGAGACTCTAGCGCATAAAGGTGTTAATTCTAATATTACGTATACGTAATGTGGCCTGGAAATAGGAATGGAAATTTAAAACACAAACTGTGCCTGGGTTCTGTGTGCCAAATTGTAAACTGATAGCCAAAGTGTTGGAAATTCATTTGTCTTTCTTCCCAGCACACACACACTCCCCACCCGTTGGTAATTTTAAATCAATTAATCTTAATTATTCCGATCGGTCAACTGGGCACAATCGAGGCGAAAAAAAACAACCAACAAAATCGGACGAAAGTTTTCCCCGCTTCATTGAGTTTTGACCCATTGAAAATCAGCTTTATTTATGATCAAAATTCTGTTTATTGTTTTGCTAATAAATTTTCTGTGCTCCCACAGTTTGGCTACGTGAAATATCTACATAAAAATTCTCATAAACTATGCAAATGTGAAATACGAAATCAATTACTGTGCATAATGTGTTAAATCTCTCATAAAAAGTACAAAATAAAAGGAAACTGTGTGATAAACATAATCTGCGAAATTTGGAATACTAAAAAACATGAAATGGAGCTGATAAAAAAATACAAACAGGGAAAGCTAACCACCAGCGATATACGTAATCTGAACAGTATGTTGACTTACAGTCTCTCTCTAAATATGTATCTAACTTTTTATTTATACATTTTACTAAGGCCCTTGGTTATATTTTTAAAATGACCCTCGAGTTGGCGCAAGAAGGTGAAACTAACGAACAAGTTTTTCAATAGAACTTCCATTCGGTTCGGAATGATCCACAGTGTGACAGCACCAATTGTTTTACTTTTTGAGGTGAACTGTTCTCGCTCAATGACAGCCGAAATGTTCGAGTCAATTAAAGGCATTTCACGAGTTTTGTCCATCAGTCACGGCTGGTGATCTCGGAGGGGGCGCGTCTTCTGCCATCGATAAATGGTCTAAGCATCATACATTCGAATGTTTTTAAAAATTTGTAAACTCGCCCACTCAATGAATCTTTCGATATTTGTAGACAGTGGGACAGATGTCTATCTTTTAAAATATTATTTCCAAAACTATAGTCTCAAGTATGTATATAGGGACAGTACTTTCTAAAATCTGTTTTTAATGTATACCAAGAAATTCTTGAGATATTTATTATTTACATTTAACAATAAACTGTCGGTATTTATGTACTGATGCAATGCTGGAAACAAACCATAAATACACTGCAATAATTAATAAGCATCCTGTAAGTCTTTACAATTTATTTCTAGCTAAAAGACAGGTCTCAGTACCAAGTTTTAGTTTCCAGTTGAATGTGCCAAATTTAGATTTATTTTTATAGCGTCAATCACATCTCATTAAAGGTGCTAACTGGACCTAAAGCCTTTGGGCCAATGTGCTAATTACTTATAAACTTCGATTTACGTTTGTTTATAAACATTTTAACACTTGGTTCCCGGGTCTACCGATCTCTCTGCTTCCTCTGGGGCTTAATAAATATTATCCAGTCGGTTGCAGTTTTATTTTGGCTGAAAGATAAGTGGAGAAATGTTTGTTTGAGTGGGCGCAGACCATAATACGTATACGCCATGTGGTTCCTTTAAATGGCATTCACAAAATTAACTCGGTGGCTGAGAGCTTCCGGGAGCCATCACAGATTGTAAACAAGCACTTAAGTGTTCAATTTTGCAAAAGGGAAATTGTTAACTAGACATTGAGTGCTGTTGAATGTAAACTTCCTGAAGGGGAATGTTCAAGGAAAACTATAAATAGGTGTCTAGGAAAAGTTATAAATCAAAAGGTTTACAAGTTTTTATTGCCACCTCTTGTATGGCAGATTACATCTTTCTCTCTCTTCCGAAACCAATTAGTAATATTTATTAATAGTTTTTGCCAATGAGACTTGGCCTCTTTTGAGCCTTATTCAGCTGTGAAAAGTTGCCCAAAAGCGGTTCCCTAAACCAAAATAAAAAAATGAGCTAACGATTGTTGTTAACTCTCTGCTGAATAACGTCGCTGTTGAATGTTTTTTTGTTTCCAGAGCTTTGGGTTTGAAGGGGGATCCGTGAGAATGATGTCATACCATGATGGCACTCAGGGGCGATGGATCATGCAACGCGGAACGCGTAGTAAATCGCTTCAGACACATATAAACATCAGAATATGTGTGCACATATTTTATGTGCTGAATAAGAGAAAAGTCAGAAAGCTGAAAAGCATTCCGCTTAATGCGTTCAAAGCACTTGGGGCATGACATTTGTGGTGGCACGGCCCCTGATCTATTCCCCCAGTGGATCTATATACTCTATAGAGAGAACATGCCAACTTTGTAAAATTCAGCCATAAAATGGGCATGGTAATATAACATTTTCCGCCGTTTGACAAAGCTTTTCCTTCGACTTTTATTAAGCGTACAGAGCAAACTCATATATTTTCCGACACAAATCTGTTTGTTGACTCTGCCAGGGGTTTGTTTTCCCGCATTTTCTCGTTGAATACCAGAGAAATAATATTTGCATCAATTGAAATGGATTTTATTGGGAGGCAGTCAGCCGGTATCGACGTCATCTGAAAATGTTCCGTGGAGACTCGTTAGCCGCGCTCCACAACATTTGGCATGATATCATACTGTATATAGATATCTGTGTATAAGCTCACACAAAGGCATTAAATGCGAGGCGAGACCCGATTCTTACACAAAACAAACAAATTCAGACATAACATAATATAACTAGAAAGCCATAAATTATCGACTGCCTAACCTTCTAGCAATAGAGTCGTTGAAGTCGTCGTCGTAATGGCGTAATCCATTATCCATTGTTCGCCACAGTGCGTATACTTGATCTGCGGCTCAATGCAGATCCATAAAATAGTTGATTGTCCCATATATAGTCATGTCTATGTGCCATTAATTTTAAATTCATATTACTCGGTGGTCCGTTTAATAATAATGCGGCATTAGAGGTTATTATTTCATTCTAATGAAAAATGTTATTAAACTTTCTCTTTTACTTCAGACACTGTCATGTGCCTGATGGTCTTCATTGCCATATTCTCCATTATTTGGAGTGTATCCCTGCACATGATATCGGGTGACCTGTACGAGGGAATAGTCAGTGCCAAACTCATCTTCAGGGAGCGCAACTTTGACCAGATGGATGAGCACAGCAGGCAGATTCTTCACCGGGACTTTATGGCTGTCACACAACGTGGCTATGGCCAAAAGTACTCCGTCCAGGAGCAGGATGTCACTCCCGAATCGCTGCAGAGCGAGAGCCGTAAGAGGAGTCTATGGATATATCTATACATAATGATATATAATATAGAATATACGTTTTAGAAACCACCAAGCCAACTTTCAAGATTCCGCACATCTACGAGTCGAGCAAGAATCGACCCACGTTGGAGCGGCTGATAGCCGAACAAGATGTGGAAAGGGTGACCACCACCACCACGAAGGCTCCAACGCCAAAGATTGTGTTCAATGCCGAAGCAGATCGTCAGTTCTTGGGCACCAGTAAGTGACTTTTCTTGCTTAAATAATGTGTATAATTCTGTAAGCATTATTTTTCCTCAGTGTCCCTGGATGACCATGCCACATTTTGGAGTCGCAGCATTGGAGCCCAGTTTGTGTATGCATTTCCTCCCATATCCGAGATCGTGGCCATTATCTGGACAGCCATGTGTCTGATCTTTCAGACGGGCAGTAAAAAGAGCTCGTAGGCATTCATATAAATAATTGATTAAATAATATTTAATCCAATTAATCTATATCCCTGCAGAGTTCTGCCTAAACCCTGGCGCATTGTGGTGCCCTCCATCGTCATCTTCTCGGTGATGAGTCTGGGCAGCGTGATCTATACAATCCTGACCAATGGACACCTCAAGCGATTATGTGGCCAGCTGAGGGAGAATCTCACCAACCCGACGGCCATCAGCTGCGGCGATGCCATAGCCCTGCTGCGACCTATTGTCCACGATCACAAGGTGTCCCATGATACCTACCTGGACCTATTCAGGTCCAGCTATGTGATCGGCATGGTGCTGTGGATTGTGGCCCTGCTGGTCATGGTGCTGCGCTTCATTTTCGCCGTGGACTTCCAGCTGGTGGACATTGATGATATGTTTGATCAGCGCAAGAACGGGGAGATCGAAGTGCCCATCCAACCGGTTTACACGGAGGTCATCCAGCAGAGCAGTCCCCAGAGGCAAGTGCGCCCGAGGTCCGAGGATGACTATCAGAGTGCCAGGTCACACATCAGCGATCTGGCGGTGCCTCTCCTGGAAGTGCAGAGTCAGTCCCAGGTTCCGCCAACGAATTTGGCCTAAGTTCTAGGGTGAAGTGTGTGCAATCTCAGGTTTATTTTTATACCAAGTGCTAGTTAGTTTAGCAAAGGCCTAAGGAATACTATATCAACTAACTCGGAGTTTAGCATAAGTTTTAGCGTATAATGAATCGATATTTAATTGATATTTTCCACTGTCTTAGCTTAGCGAACTGGTGCCTCGAAAACTAATTTAATTCGATATAAATGTCACTTGCTGTGAAGTTTATTTAAGAAAAGAGGGAAGATTATATTGTGGTCCGAGTATAAAAATGTATTTTTAGAGGCATTTGACCCTACTACACTTATATCCTAATCAAAGCAATCAAACCCACCTAACTCAAGCCAGTGGCATATTCCCCAGTCGTTACCTCGACTATAACCTCTTGTAACTTAAATCCAAGAGTTTTATACTTAGAATGCAATAGTCTAACAATTGACAAAAACCAAAAAACAGTGCGAATAAAGTACAGTGTCGTGTATACAAAACAAATCAATCTTCGATCTACATCTTCAATCTTTGATCTCCCATCTTAAAGCAGCTTCATGGTGATGGTCTTGGTCTCCAGGTAATTGTCCAGCCCGTCCTTGCCCAGCTCCCGGCCAATGCCAGAGTGCTTGTAGCCACCGAAGGGCGTGGAGGGCAGCACGGCGTCGTAGCAGTTGATCCACACGGAGCCGGCATCCACGCTGTTAGCGAACTTCATGGCCTTGTTGATATCGTTGGTTATAACTCCGGCTGCCAGGCCATATTGCACATTGTTGGCCCGATCGATCATCTCCTCCAGAGAGCTGAACTTGAAGATGGACTGAACAGGGCCAAAGATCTGCAAGAGGATATATTCATATAATATCAAATAATAACTTATAAATAGCTGGCGAACTCACCTCCTCCTGGGCAATACGCATATCGTCCTTCACATCCGAGAAGACAGTGGGCTCGACGAAGAAGCCCACGTTGCCGATCCTTTTGCCGCCGGCCTGCAGCTTGGCACCCTCCTTCTGGCCACTCTCGATGTAGCCAAGGACCTTCGTGAGCATCTCCTCGTCGATCTGGGGACCCTGCTGCACGTTGGCCTCGAAGGGATTGCCCACCTTGCGCTCCTTGGCCTTGGCGGCGGCCTTGGCCACGAACTGGTCGTAGATCTTCTCGTGGACGTATGTACGGCTGCCGGCACAGCAGCTCTGGCCGTGATTCGAGAACAGAGCCTCGTGGGTGGTGTCCACGGCGAAGTCAACTGGAGGAAGAAAATCGTGAGTTTCAAGTCAACGAAAAGCTTGATTCTACTAACTATCCGCATCATCGAAGACCACCACAGGACTCTTGCCACCCAGCTCCAGGGACACCCTCTTCAAGTTGGTCTTGGCCGACGCCGCCATGACGATCCTGCCGATGTCCACAGACCCAGTGAAGGCCACCTTGGCAATATCGGGATGCTCACTGATGGCAGCTCCCGCCGTAGGTCCAAAGCCATTGATCACATTGATCACACCCGCCGGGAATCCCGCCTCCTTGGCCAGTGCCGCCATATGGAGGGCCGTGAGGGGCGTCTGCTCTGCCGGCTTCATGATGATGGTGCAGCCAGTGGCCAAAGCGGGTCCCCACTTCCAGGCCAGCATGAGCAGGGGATAGTTCCAGGGAATGATTTGACCCACCACGCCCACGGGTTCCTTGCGCGTCATGGAGGTGAAGCCACCAGCGGGAATGGTGTCGCCGAAGAACTTGTCGGTCCAGCCGGCATAGTACTGCAGCGTCAGCATGGAGTAGGTCACATCAAAGAGGGCTTCGGCGTAGGGTTTGCCATTGTCCTGGGTCTCCAGGCTGGCCAGGAAGTCCTTGTCCCGAGCCATCAGGTCACAGAGTCTGCCGGAGGATAGTTGTGGTGAAACGGGAGGATGGTATTATTAAAGGAATAAGCCTACTTGTTCATCAGGGCAGTGCGCTGGAGAGGACTCAGCTTGCGCCACTCCGAATTCCGATGGAAAGCCTTCTTGGCCGCAATCACAGCCAGATCGACATCGGCCTGGGAATAGTATTGAAAAGTTATATCAAGTTTATAGTATGAAATTATAATAATGTTAGGCTTTTATATTAACAAGAAAATAAAGATGAATCCCAAGTAATTTTGTAACTGAAGAATCATCATCGAAATTCAGAAATAATCCACGAAGCACTGTTATAGATTCCAGAACTTTATTTAAATTGTAATTAATTTAAAACAATGCATTTCTATTTATTTAAATATTAATTCATATATACTCTTTGCACTTATTTTCAAAATCCATTTATACATATTTTCTTTCCCAATTAAAAATGTACAAAAGATCCCACCTTTGGCTTGGATCATTCTACTCACCTTATCTCCCTCGGAGACCTTAATAATCTCCTTGGACGTGGCCGGGTTGAAGGTGGCAAAGGTCTTGCCCGAAACGGAATCAACGAACTCATTGTTGATAAAGAGCTGCCAAATTAAAGAAAGTAGAAACCATGATTACGTATCTTCCAAGTGAGAACCCAGCACATCCTCCAGACCTGATAATAATGGGGCCTACAATTCGCATAGCTATGATCACATCTCATCAAGAGCCATCTGGCTACCCCAACTTCAATAAGTAATTTGTGTAATTTAAGCATTATTATTAGCCCAGTTTGTTTGTGTTGTCCATTTCAATTTGTTGGCTACACGCGACAAGGCAAACAATGTAGTTTTAAATTCTAGGCACGAGTTTTAAAATTGTCGAGTTTGTGAACAACTCGAAACGTTTGACAAATAAGTAAAGTCATTCGGAATCGTAATGGGTCATTGAGCGATAAAGGGTCATAAATGTGGGGGGTTTTTTACAACCCCAAAGATTAAGTAGTTAGTCAAGTGTAGACAACGGATTAACCTTAACGGATTAACTTAATTGGTTAATTAATTACTTATACTATTTTATATTTTTATACCCTTGCGGGGTATTAAAATATCAGTCAAAAGCTTGCAATGCAGTGAAGGAGTCATTTCCGACCTTATGTTTCATATATATTTTTGATCAGCATGAACAGCCGAATCGATCTAGCCTTGTTTTGGGAGACCTTTTTTTTCGAGTTTATTTTCGAAATTTTATGACTAAATTTTAAAGTTTCAAATTGTCGAAAATTGAAAAAAATTGAATGTCTTCAAATTGTAAAACTAAATATGCAGATTTGTTAACCCTTTAAAAACTAGCACAGGACAACTTTCCGAATTGAAATTAGTGTATTTTTGGCTTAGTTATGATATTTGAAAAACTTTGATTTTGGCAAAAAAAAGTGGCATTTAAAAATATCGATTTAATATACCTTGAATACACATAACCGACAGGATATACATACTTAAAGTTCTCTATGTTAGCTTCCTTTTTTGTTTTTATAATAAGTTTATTGGAAATAAACTAATACTAACTCCTCCTAAGCAGACTCTTTTATCTCTTGAGATTTATTTTTCTCGTTCCCCTACAATTTCGCAATTAAAAGCTTATTGAACTATATAGTCTCTATATGAAGGTCTCAAAGTCTCTTCTCTATCTGGACCCCTATGCCAGTTTTTACCTTATCAACTTAGAAGACCGACCTCATAATTATTATGGCTTTACGTGGGGCGAATCTGTGTGTTTACTTCGCGTCAAACTTTGGCTGATAACGAACACCCTGTTTCTTAAGAATCAACAACTAAATAGCTGTGTTTATTTTTTTTTTGTTTTTTTGAATAAATAATTGAATTAGTGTGTGTGTGGGAAAGGCAAAAGCGACTGAGCCAAGAAAAGAGCGAAACCAATTGAAAAGATTTGTAAATTGCGACACAAACGAGTTTAATACACAACAAAAAATATACATTTAATCGTTGAAAACACTATTGATAGGCTTTAAATAAATAAATTATATTTTAACCGTCAAACCTTTTTTATTTCATGTTAACGTACGTTATATACATATGTCACTTGAATTTATTATTATCTATGTATGTATTGCTCTTTATAAGTACCTTGTAGAACTTTAAGTGCAATTGACAACAAAATAAACTTACTTTTGTGTACTTGGGCTTGGCGTTGGGATCGGCCATGTTTATCTCTGGCTTTATATATGAATATAATTTAATCAAGAACTGGAGGACCGACTGGGAGTCGCTGAGAAACTGAAACTGCAAATGCTGCCAGATGCTGCTTATATAGCCACCGATAACTGGCTATATATGTTTTGTTTTTGCAAAATTATCGCAGCTTTTTCGCCGGCCGGCTGTCTCACAAATAAATGTGTATGTTTATGGGCACCCTGCAGTCTGTAGAGGTCGGTCTATTGATTAATAAGTACGATTGATATTGGGGATTTTAAAAACTTTTAATTTTTAATCGCTCGATTTTCTTAAATTAATTAAATAAATTAATTATTAGGAAATTTTCAGTACATCAAAATTATTAAAAAATACTTTTGATATTTAATTTGACCTTTTAAATAGTATATGATACATTGTTTAAAGTTCTAATTTTTGTTTTCGAATCTTTTTTTGGATTTGTGTCTTTAATGTACAAATTCTCATAATTTTTGTACCGCAGTAAACAGTGCACAGTGCTTCTTTTTTAAAATTATATTTGTTCCCTTTTGATCGTTGGCTTTATCATTAAATTCGTTTTGTGTTCTGCTTCGTATGTTTGCCAAATTAAGCTTTTGTGTGCGGTTGTTGTCTTGGCTATGTACGCTTGACTCTTATACTGATGGTGTTTTGGTTAGGGGATTATTAGTATCTTTACAGGGTGTAGATTTATTAAACTAAATGTATTAAAATAATTATTATAAATTGTTGATTAAATATCTGCGAACATAGCAGACAAAATTACAAAACTTTAATACAATTTTATGCCAATTTTAATGACAGTATAACTGAATAAGTTTTTGCATAAATACAAAGTATTTTAATATTTAAAATTTCAAAACTTTGCAAAAAAAAAAAACAATATATATTTGTTCCTTTCTTAACATGTTCCTCCGGTTATTTGGTCTTGTTTAATTATTTATTTACTTAACTTAACAACGTGGTAAAAATAACAATTATTTAAACAATTTTTTTAAAGTAGAAATTTAAAATTACAAATGCACTTTATCCTTCGACAGACTTAAAAACTCGTTGTTTTGACAAGTTGCCTCCCATTATAGCTTTTGAGCGGGAAACTCTCGTATCGGTAGGTGCGTTGAACCAACCCATGATCCAGAAACTTCAGTTTGCTCAGCGACTGTGCAATGTAATTACTGCAAGCAAACACAAAACTAATTATAGATTCGGCAGGCAATCACCCGAAGACGCACCTGTAGTACTCGTAGTCGTAGCGCAGGTAACCGGAGAAGGGCTGCAGCTCCAGGCCATCGGGACAGATCGGGTTACCGTGGAGGCTCAGATACTGCAGATTGGGAAAGAGCCTCCGGATCAGGCGCATGGTCGTGTGCAGGTCACTGAACTGGAAGCACGAATAAGAAAATGTGATAAGGAATTGAAATTCGGAAGAAGAGAGCTTGGAAATGTGTTAAAGTTATATTATTATATTAACATATTTATTCCCACCTCATTCTTGTTCAGCATCAGGACCTCCACTTGTGGCATTGGTTGTGTCAGGGTTCTTAAGTGGGCCTCGTGCATACGATTGCTGTCCAGGACCAAGTGATGCAGCTGCTCGAACTCCGGCAGCCAGGACAGATCCTTTAGGCTGTTGCAACTCAAGTCCAGCTGCTCCACATGGTCAGCATGGCTCTTGACCAACTCCTCCGGCAGAGTTCGTAGATTCTGTTGCACTAAAATTAGCTAAAATAAAAGATAGCTTGTGCTATTTCCAATCTCGCGTAGATAAGTCATATTTGTGCCCTACCTGATTATCACTGTCACCTGGCGTTCGCATTGCTCAGGGGTGTTCCGTAAACTCAGCCTGCCTTCGGATAAGGGATATAGGTTGTACCTCTCCGACAATCTTCGCGGGAGCTACTAAAAGTAAGTGTTTGTGCCAGCCTTTGCTGCAGTCGATAGCCGCCGAATGCTTTTGTCTCAACGTTATCTCTTTTAATTTTTTATGTACCCTGTATGAAGCGGTAGCAAGGGTATATTTATTTTACAGAGATTACACAAATTTATATTTTAAATCTTTGTGTGTTTACTGTCACGTTGTTTAAGCTTTAATTTATTACGTTTTATTTGTGGTTTATATCTTTTAAAACAATGGCAATGAAATGAATAAAAAAGAGGAATATTATTAGATATACAATTAATGTATTCTAGGTATATTAAATAGATATTTCTATATGCTATGTATAAAATTATAATGCAAGTGAATATAATTGTAATAATTACTATGTTGTTACAATATTAATAAGCATAGTTTTTAATTAAAGATAATACATCTTCTAAACTAAGAGGTATAGCCTAATATGAACCCTAATCCCTACTAATCTCACCTATACTCCATGTGCTTTTTGTTTGTCTTTATTATTTGTTTGGCTTCTCCCAAGCTCTTTTTACGTTTTATTTATTTTATTTTCCGTTGGGTAATTTTCTTTCAAAGACTAAACTTGCTCAAGGCAGAAGAAGAAGAGTGATAAGACGTCGATCGGCCTGACATGTAGATGGCGCCAGCGGGCGACTATGATCGCGCATCAAGTATACGACAAGTGGGCTTAAAAACACGATTCGCAACTTAGTTACGGCCATTTAGCGGACGAGCGAGTCCTTCGACTGGCTTTAGGCCCTCAAATACGAAAAGAAAAAAAAAAGCGGAATGGGAATGGGAACTGGTCAAGTGTCGTGCGATAAGTGCCCCACAATGGCCGAGTGCGCTCGCTGGTAAATACATTTTTAATTGCCAGCCGGGGCAAACACAGATGACGGCCCCCGCCGAAGAGCAAAGGCAGCGGCCTGACAAGCGAATTTGTTAGTGACTGCAAATGGCTAACAAATGAGGCGGAGAGGGGCCAAAACTAGTGCCAAACAATGGGAGATGACAGCGTAAATAAACAAAAGCGCCAGATACAAATTGCGGCCCACAGAGCATTTAGCCGGGCACTTAATTCAATGAAATATATCTTCGAGATGCCCAGCAGCAGCAGCAGCAATTGAAGTAATCGATTTGCAAAGATATCTCTGACCGACAGCTGTCAGCTGCTTGTGCTGCTGCTGCTGCTGCTGGAAAATCCAAAAGAAAAGCCCTTAACCCTTGACCAGCCACCGAGCGTAAGTGACATTCGTTCGCCTTTGTTCGCCGTTAAGCATGCTATTATTTCCACCGCTTACACACCACTTTTCGGTGTGTAATGAGTGTGTGCAGTGTGTGCCCCTCTATTTATAGGCCTCTGATTGTTGTCCGTCTCAATGGGCATAATAATTCAATGTCAATATTTGGCCACATGTCGAAGACAATTGTTCCACGCAGAAGTGGGCTTGAATTTGGTTTTTGGTTTCTGACCTCTGAGCGGCAGGAAAAATTACCCAACCTCGAGCAACGTTTTATAATGGGAAGATCTCATCAATATATTGGGGAATTACGTGGTTTTAAATGGCTTTAAAAACTGTATTAATAAAGATTGAATTTCTTAAACTGCTAAAATACAAGAATTAATATAATTATTCAGAAATTTTTGTGAAGCCTTTTATGAGTACTTTGTATAATAATTAACCCGAAATTCCCGCACAAATTGAAAACCACTAACGAATTTCCCGAGTCCTTAACGGTCTGTAATTAAATTTTATTTTTACCACCTACTTTGGTGACTAAGCCACAGCACTTAGCTGTTTATGGAAATAAAAGGAAATAGCACCTAAACTCAGCCCCTAAATCCAATTTGTTACCTTCGCTGCTGGCCAGGACTTGGCATTAGCCTCATTAACATTGCCATAGGAACCTAGCCACGGCAACAGCCCACGAAAATGCAAAACAATAAAAAACGGAGTATTCCACTTGCTCCAATTTTAATTACTGGCCGCAGGTTGTGAAAAGGCAGATGACAAAGGGCCCCCCGCTCCGGGAGGTGTGCTAAAATCGAACGACCTTGAAAACTGTGCCTCCCCGTAGTCTTTAATTAACGAGATAATCGATGCCGCCGATCGGTGTAATCATCATCATTATGCTCCTCCGGGCATGGCCATTAAGTCACTTGGCCAAACGATTTGTCAACGTGGCTTAAATCCGCGGAAACGGAGCAGTCAGTCGGCCAGTCGGACACACATTCATTTGTCATAATTCACATCTCGTGGGATGAAAATCAGTCAAAACTATAACACATATTTGCTATTTTTGTTTTGGAACGTGATTTGCATGATTTGTATTTTGTATTTTATTTTTCTCTGTTTGGCATTTTGTGTGGTAAAAGTACAAAAAATACACTTGCCTCTGGAGTGTAAGTAAATTATTTAATTCGGCTGTTCAGGTATTTCTGGGAATTCAGTGAATGATTTTGATGATGTGCAAGTTAAATTGATTAAGAGCTGAGCTTAATTTGTGTCTTTGTTGAGGTGAAAGAAAACTGAAAGTGAAAATTTATTTCCTTATAACGCATATATTTATTAAGCAATACTACTAACGTTCCCATAAAATGATACTTGTTTTACATATGATTGGTAACTGAGATCTATTTGGCCTCAAGTAGAATCATATTATTTGAAAATTATATATGACATCCGTATCATTATGTCCACTTATGCCACAAGGTTTATCTCAGCATCTGAAGCTCTCACTCGGTTTTTAGCGCCATTTGACCTACACATTCTCCGGCGAATGGATTGGAATGCGACGCCTCTCCTTAGCCACTGCCATTGGCCAACTAATCGACTTTTGTGGGCTCACATCTCAATGACAAAGCCCCAAAGCTTCTGCCCCCTTTGCGTTGGACTTCTTTCTTGGCTCTGTAGCCTTTGTGCTCTGAGCTCTGTGCTGGAGCTGCGTGCGTGGCACTTGAGTGCAACAAGTGGCAAGTCGAGTGGCGCATCCCCCATCCGCCGCCTCTATCTATCTATTTTTAAGCTGCTCCAATGGAAAACCCCATTCGAGACTCCAAGAGTCAGAGACACGGACGAAGGGCAGCGGAGACAAAGCCAATGCCAAGCCAAGTGGAATGGAGGAGTTTCGGAGGCGGCGGGGATCTTCGCTGCGAATCATCGATTCATCATCGATGGGCTACTGCACTGTTGACCTGGTTTTCACCCAACTTCGAATCATCGATCTGCGGCAGCTCCTTTGTTTTTTCCTACTTCCTCTCTCCTTCTCTGTGTCTTCTGGCAGGGCTGAGAGGTGAATTTAAACAAAATCTAAAGGAGGGACTAGGAAATTTTTAAATATAATACAAAGTATACAAAGTCCAGAAAAAATAATCAAGAGGCTTGTACTTTATAGGTTTGTTTAGGAAACCCTTGGGCTTTTCAGCTCTCAAATTAATTACTTAAGCTGGGTTAACCTTGATTTAATTTTCATTCAAATAAAAAATAGATTGCATCCCTGCTCTCTTTCCTGGGATGTCTCTGGCCCTTCTGGCCGCTGTCATCGCCGGACGACTCTTTGGCTTCTTCTCCGGTGGCCAAGTGCACCAATTTCCAATCGATTCGATTCGATCGGTGACGTAAAGCCATCACAGCAACCTTGTTGCCAGTATATATACAAAGAAAAAAAAGACGCCCCCCAGCCTCTGTTTTCGGTGGACAAGTACGAGTACCTACATGGGCACTCGACATTTCTCCGATGCGTCGGCTGCAATTACGATTAATGATGTTGATGATGTTGATGATGATTTTTTTTATTGTAATGTGATTTCTTGTATTTCTGTGTGTGGACAGCAAAGTGTACAAGTGTCTCCACTCGGCGGAACTCCCGATCTGTGGGTCTCCGGGTCTCTGCATCCCCAAGTCAAATCCAATTAAACGCCGCTCGCTATTCACTTTATTTGGTTAGCTGCTGTTTTGTTTTATTACTTATTACTTGTTGCTTATTGTTTCCATTTCGTCTTGTTTGGCTCCAATTTGAAAATTGATTTTGATTTTGATTTGGATTTTGATTTTGTTTCGTAATTGTTTGTCGTGGGTCGTAGGTGTTGAAAGTGCTCGTCGTCGGCGTTCACAATTCGGTTGACAGTTTGGGGGAAATTGTGTTTTGGCCTTGAAAAGCCCTTCGCTTTGATGTTATTTTTGGGGTTTCATTGACTATGTTTATTTTTAGAGGGGTTTTAAGGAATTTTATGGCCAAGAATAGACCGAAAAGAGGTTTTGGACAAGGGCTAAAAATAATAAAGGAATAGCTTCTTGTGGGTTAAAGGCCAAGGTCAAGGAAAATTCAATGCTGGAATATACCAAAAGGGTGGAGTATGATAAACCTCAATGTTCAGCAATTTAAAAAAGAATTTTTGCTAAAAACATTATACATAAATATTGATTCTTTTCCAGCTCTAGCAGATCCCTTAAACTTTGTAAGGAATCTATTTAAATAAAATTTAAATTTGCTTAATTTCCCAAAACTTATCCTGTGATATACCGGATTATTTTCCTGGCTCGTAGAAACGATTGAATGGGGGAATCATAAAGATCAGAGATCCAAACTGGTTGGAAACAAGTTCCTCGAGGCGTCACATGAATGAAGTTCATCAATGGGACTCGATCGAGTGTGTAATCGTGGGTCACTTTCCATTTCCAGGCCGAGTTTTAAGTGCGCTCCAATTGTGAAAATAACACTTGGTGTACTCGGCCGAAGGTTGCGCCGGCTGCTGCATCTTCCAGTTACGAGATGGGAGCCATGAGATACAAAGCAAAAGATACAAGATACTTGCATGAGAGTGATGTTATACAAAACGGTTTGGGGGCCTTCCCAGCACACTTGGAGAAAAGTTGAAGGCAATTCTGAAATTTATGAGGTAAATATAACAATAATCAAATATATCATCTGTACTAGACACTTTCTTAAAGACTTTTACTAGACATAAAGAATAAATTTCTAGGTTTTTATACATTTAATCAAAGTTCCTAAAGTATCCCCAAGACTGCTTATAGTTTTTCCCTGTGTATGGTGTTGATTTTCAGAGTATTTGTAGGTGGATTTCCATAAAGGCCCCCTGTGGGCTATCAAGGGTTCGCTTACCGCTTAAAGTAACAAATTCGCAGCCGGGTTTTTGCTCTAATTTCTCGCTTGTGCACATCCAAAGACACGTGTCTCTCCGCATTTTGGCCTCTGCCGGCTCGCTTTTTGGCCAAGTTCAGCTGGCCAAGCTCTCTTCTCTCGCGTCTCTTTTGATGCTTAATTAAATCCACTTTTTCGTTTACCTTTTGTAATGAGATTTCGAGCACTCAGTGCCGTCGTCGGACATCGAATCATATAAATTGGCATCGCAGCGTCCAACTCGGCATCAGTCCACCGTCGAGCTTCTCCACCAAAGCTTCACCTCCAACTCAGGTCAAAAGGATTACGGGTTTTAGTCGCCAAAAAGGATACATCATCATGCGAGTCTCCTCCCTGTTCGCCGTGTGCGTCGCCTCGCTGGTGGCCTCATCTCTGGCCCGTCCGGAGCCTCCGTCGCCCTACGCCTACCACGGATTACCCCAGCAGCAGAGCCAGCGGGCTTTGCCACTAAATGGTGAGAGAATCCTGTTCCAGGGCAGTCCTTAGATTGTTTTTATAAAGTGTTTCCTTGGATATTAGTAATACTTTAGTTTTGAACATAAGTTGATATCAAAGTATATAGATATATTTTTGAACAGTATAATATTTCGGAATGATATTTACATAGTTTAGTTTAGTTATTGCGGCTAATGATAAATACTATAATAATTGTTTGTTCTTCAATCTTTTGGGAACTTGAATTAATCAGTAAACAAATTGTTTTTAGATTTGTACACCTAATAAATAATTGATGCTAGTGTTGGTTACTTAAAGTTAAAATACAGAATTGCAAGTTAATTAAAACTAATATTCACCATATTTTAAACCCTTTCCGTAATTAGTTCATCCTCAGGCACCGCAAATCTACCAATCGCTGCCCCAGGAGCAGTCATTTGCAAACTTCGGGGCACCCCAGCAATCCTACCTGCCGCCCCAGATGCACCTGGACGCCATTGAGCCCGTGGCTCCTACTGGACCCGCCTCTGCTGAGCCCCTGAATCCCTACGATGACAGCTACAACATGGCCCACCGCCTGTCGGGAGTGCAGCACGCCAGTGGCTATAACAACGGCCCCCAGGAGACCAAGGTGCACAAGCACATCTACGTCCATGTGCCGCCCAAGGACTTCGAGGAGGAGGATGCCATCCAGACGCGCGTCCACCACCAGCAGGGACCCAAGCAGAAGCACTACAAGATCGTGTTCATCAAGGCCCCGTCTGCCCCGGCGATCCGTCCGCCAGTGGTGCCACCGCCACCCCAGAACGAGGAGAAGACCCTTATCTACGTGCTGCACAAGAAGCCGGAGCAGGAGCAGGACATTGTCATCCCAACGCCGCCGCCCACCAAGCCCTCGAAGCCTGAGGTGTACTTCATCAAGTACAAGACTAAGAAGGAGGAGGCCCCTGTCTATGGACCACCACCCGCCGACATGGAGCCCCGCCAGGCCACCGCCGAGGACTTTGCTCCCCTTGCCGAGGTCGCCGACGTCCTGCCACCCACCACTCTGGCTCCGGAACCGGAAATAGAGCAGCCCGCCGCCGTCCCAGTGCCCGCCGCGATTTATGGTCCACCCACGGCCGCTGCCTACACCGGCGAGGAGGTGCAGACCACCCTGCCCGCCGCTCCTGCCAATCAGTACCTGCCTCCGGCCACCGCACCCACTGCTTTGGCCATTGAGGAGCCCTCGATGGCGCCCATCATCGTGGAGGAGCAGCAGCCCGAGCAGCGCCTAGCTCCCGCCCACGTGCCCGCCACGAACTACGGTCCTCCCAACCGCTTCTTCCTCAAGAAGCTGAAGTGAAGCCCTGCCAGAGGTCGCAGTTTGTCATAGTCTAATCTCCATTGGATGCACTTCCTCCCAGTCCCAGTCCCACTTCCTCTCCCCCTCCCACTCACCCTGCCTCCAAATTCACACATGCACACTTGTGTCACACCATGACCACATGCACATCGCATTGTTTGTTCGTTTGTAAAACTTGTTAAATTTGTTAAAGCTTCGTAGTTGATAAATAAATCGAATTTTATGAAAATATTCCCAGGTTTTAAGTTTTCTTTAACAAATAATATTTCAATTTGATATTTGTTTACGCAGAAGAGCTTATTTTTAAGAGGCAGTGTGATCCCTCAAGCGGCTTTGAAATGACCCATTCCAGGCTCTCTCGCTAGCTTCTACTTTGCCACTCTCACTCTCTCAGGAATTCCAGTCCGCTAGAACTTTCTAGACCGCTCTCCCGAATTTAAGCTTAAGTTATATGCACTAACTAGTTATATAGTTAGTACCGATATAATAAATAGATAAAATTGGTAAACAGATAAATTAAAGGGTTCATCCCACATAAGCACCATTGAATGTAATACTTGTTAGCATGAAGAGTGAGCATATTTCCAAGAGATAGTGTAATCCCCGAAATGTTCCGTTTCAAGCTCTCTTCCTCTCCTCCACTTCTTTCGGAGTTCCAGTCCACTAAAGCTCTCCGTTCTCCCAAACTTACATATGTTCCATGTAGTTAGTACCGACTTCCACGCGAACACAATAAATACATAACATAGATCCCACGCAAGTCGCTCAAAATCCCAAAAGTAAACGCGATGTTTGTTATTATACTTATTTATAAATATTAATATTTATAAATATTACCAACAACTGCAATAATAATATCCAAATGAAACACAACACACAGCTCGGGATGATAACTGACCTCCGGCGAAGACGACGTGACCTTGGCGAATACATGAACTGCTTAATTGCGTTACGATTTGTTAATTTCTGTGGTCGGCCTACTGTTTATGCCCCCCTTCCTCATTGCTGCTAATAATAATGATATAAATAATAATTGATGCTTGGAGCTGGCAACATGTTGCCAAGGCTGCTGGCTCAGTTTCCCGCCAAATCAAACAGTTGGTTGTGGCACCGTTCGGTGCCTGCGCAGAGTGTCGCCGGCGAGGCAACATGTTGAAAGGATTCCGGCGGACGCCCTCGTGCCGGCGCCTCGGCTGATCAGTCAGTCGGTCAGTGTGCCGGTGGCGCTGGTTGGATGAGCTGAAGTCCAGTCCGACGGCGCCCTCAGTTCGCTTTCTGTGCTCGAACGAGTCGCAACGCAGGTGGTCGTCGCTGAGTTCCTGAACTACATTCCTAAGCAGGCATCGCACCTCGTTGGCGCTGCCGTAATGGGACTTGTTAAACCATAAAAACGTGAATAAAAACGAAATAAAAATCCCATTCAAATCAATTAAACTCGTCGGGGCGCGATAAACCATTTATGAACCGCGAATAAATAGTGTCGTCCCGCGTTGCGTATACGCAGTACTGAGTGCAAGTGAAATTGTTCGCAATTGACATTGACATTGAGCTCCTGCTCGCTGCATCTCGCCAGGTGAGTTGTAATAAGCCGTATTTACCTGCTGCTAATCAGCTTGGCGGCCATCTGCCTGTTGTTTCCGTTCATTAGCATTCTGCCGTGTTTCACACATCGTTCTCGGTTCTCTAATTCTGGGTGGGATTAGCTCTGGAACACATGACCGAGAACTTGTAGCAAAACCCTACCACCTTTTTTTGCTTGTCTGATGTGTCAAAATTGATTCCCCAGCGGCTAGGGACAGACGCCTGTCAATTTAACTTTGGCGTCTACCCGCTTCAGGACCTCAATTAAAGTCAAAAGTTCGTCTTGGAAGTAAAGTTGAAAGTTAAAAATATCTAAGGACTTGGGTGGAGGAAAATAAAAGTGTTCCGTTATGATAATTAATTTTTAATTGCTTATTTTTGAAGACACCTTCAAATTATTTGCATGGAGAAGAATGAGCCTTATAAGCTATATTATTTACTATATGCTGAGCACAGCTAATGAAAAGAAACACTAAGTATTGAAAATAAAACCCTTTTATGACTACTTCTTTAACTAAATCGGATGCATTTTAAACCGATTAGGATGCTCAACCTCAACTAAATATTCTGCTTAATATATATAAACTTACTTGGAAACACTTTGTGGGCTTTGGGGAAGATGGTTGCAATTAAGCTTAGCGGGTTTAGGCCACTCTAAGCCTTGCTTTCGCACAATTTCCTTGAGAAAAGAGAGAGAATAAGGATGAAATACAATTTCATAATAATTTTGTATTTGTATTCGTCTTCGTCCGGGAAGCCGGAAGTACCATCAATCAGCTGATTTCCCTCATTCTTGTGCAGTTGAATAAGCCAAAGGATCCGCTTACAGAAAAAATAAATATAAAGCATACACAGCAGTTGCGTTTGTAGTAAATATTGCAGAAAATTGACTTTATCCTTGGCCTTATCCTCTAAGTTTCCCATCCATTCGCTTCTCGTTGACAGCGGACAAGAAAGCGCTGGCTGGCTTGTTAATTATAAATTATGCAGCTCCCTCTTACCCGTGTGTGTGTGTTAGCTTCTTTTTTGTAGCTGGTGAAACAAGGCATATTTTATCATCAATTTGCGATGGAATTTTCTTCTCTTTTTTCGGGGGTGTCCTTTGGCTTTAATTGGCTCTGGGCTCGATTTAAGCGTTGAGATTGCTTTGAGCCAGCTTTTACGGCTCTGACACTCTGGGCTGCCCGGTTTATGCGTTTGCTTTAATGTCGCCGGAGATTTATTGCCCGCTTTATCTGTTTGCCGTGTGCCCGACACATACACGCTTCTCCCGATATTTGCATCTGTTCCGGGATAATCACGGGGAGCTGCCAAAATCAATATTGGCATTGGCCAAGTACTCACTCGGCCACCCCCCTGGTAGCATCATCACAAGTAATAATAAACTCAATGTCAGACATCCGTTCACGCTCACACTTTGCTCTTTACTTGCTCTTATTTATTTTGATATTGACAGCCCATTTTGCGACACGAATTCACGACTCGGTCAGTCGCCCACACTTGTCACGCCCACTCTGGGTGATTTTTATCAGTTTTACACGAGAAACAAAAACAACAAATCGGAATTTGTGAATTTAAATGCACTTAAGTATGCTGGAAAATAAATTAAAATTAAAGAGCAGTCAACTTAATGGGATGGCAATTGGTATAACAGTGATTTTATTCTAGTAAACATTTAATTCCTGGAAATTTAAATATATTTAGCAGCTTAAGTAGCTCACATTCATGTCTATATAAATTTATATTCCATGTTATACTAACACTTTACTTTTAGGGTACATATTTTTATAATATATACATTATTCTCACTAGTTTGTTTTCGTTTGTATTCATGAAATAGGTTTTTGTGAATGAAGCTCTCGCAGCCATAACATATTGCCCTAAATCAGGTAAACAAACTATTTCTAAGCCTATATATGTAGGTTTTGTTATCGAGTTATATACATACATATGTATGTCCTCTAATGATTGAACACTGTATATTATTAAGGCATAAAATATTGTCGAAAAAAAAAGGATTTTCTTTGAAATACGTACAAATTTAATTCCCAAATCGAATACACTTTTAATTAAACAAAAAACATGTTTGTTTGGTTTTTGATTACGCCTTAATCAATGTACGTGGTACATGTTTCTACTCCTAGCATTCTGCATTGATCAATTAGTGGCAGGCCATTGTTTACACAAAAACATTGCCGAGGCGGCAGAGGCAGCGTAAACTTTTGGGAAATTAGTTTCATTTTCCATACAGCTTTCAGCGAATGAAAAATAAAATTTACTGTGAATTTATGGTGTGGTTTTATGTTCGCAGCGGTTGCATTAAAATTCTTTCATCAATAACCCAATAAATGCTTTAAAATTCCTGGACCAAAGCAGAGAATTCATAAATAACAAAAGGGGTGAAGTGAATTATGTGACCACAGCGTTGTTATGGCAGTTCCCCGTTTAGGAGTTTGGACAATCTATCCTGATTTCAGATATACCTCGGGAAAACGCAAACCAAACAAAATCAAATGGTGCATGGAAAAAATATACAAATAATAGCATTTTTGAGCGATGTGAATGCTGTTTCTCGTTCATTTGGACGTGTGCTCTTCAAAGCACTTAAAACCCGTACCAGATATAACAAGGGGAATGATGTGACAGCCACAAATTGAATTTGTTTATACTCGAAATACGCCCAAACACCATGGGCGAAACTTTTAAAACAGTTTACTAAGAACAAAACCAACAAAAAACTAGTCCTTTGGTGTTTATAAAACTCAATTTGGCCAAGAGGAGGTGGAACGTCGAAGAAGAGATTAAGGTTGTGTGCTCATCTCGGAAATAAACCCAAAAACAATCTGCAAGATGCAGCGAGAGTGATGCAAGCCGCCCAATATTAAAAATTCCTTTACTTTCCCCAAAGTTTGCACTTATCTCAGCCGAGAGTTTTGTTTGCCTGACAAAGAAATAAAAGGGAAAAGAGATACAAAGTTCCATGTCATTCAACGTTTGGTTTCCGCCACACAATGTTTCATTGGCTTTTCAATTTCAGGAATTTTTTCAGGAATTTCCACTCGCTCGAACGAGTTTGGGGCTTTTTAAAAAAAGCTTAAAAGCTGCTGAAAATTGTATGCAAATCGACGCAAAAATAAACGCATTATAAATGTTAGAGCTTGCCGGAAAACATATCCTGGGTCTTTTAAACGGGCGTATGCGTAATATTTATTCTAATATATCCCAATGGGACTTGTTGTGGGTAATATTTATTTGAAATATGTTAAGTAAAAGAAAAAGGTTAACTGATTTCATTTAAGGAGTACCAGGGTGTATTTGAATAAAATCGTTTAAAAAAATTAAATCATTTAAATAAGGTTTAAAGTAAAAGTGAAAGTAAAATAAAACTTTATGGTAAGAAGCGAAACTTAGTGAATCAACTAATGAGAATTTTATAAGTTCATGCAAAACTGCATCTTTTCTTACTCAAAGAAAACCATTAAACATATAAATTTGTGCCCTAAAAATATGATTTAAGAATTCCCTTCCCCCTAAAGTGATTCAACGAATTCAAATTTCCGCTTTCCATTGTTTCCTTTGTGGGTAAAAAACACTCTCAGAAGTGTTCAAGCATGTGGAAAGCCCAATCAGCTTGGGGCCAATCGCTTTTCCACCCTTTTCCTTGCGAAAAACGATAATAAAAAGTAATCAAAAATTAATTCAACCAAATTTCGCATTTTTCGTGGCGAAGTGAGAGTCACAGCTTGGCGTGTGCTTTAATTTCCATGGAAGTTCAGCCAAGCCTAAGCGAAAAATCCCATACGAGGCTGGATATCATTGGTCTTTGACATTGACCGGCCATGTGAATTATTTCAGCTGTTCTGGGCTTAGAGAGGGTGAAAAGGGGAGAGGTTGACTATAGAAATTATTTCATTATTTAAGGCAATTGGTCCGAGTAAATTAGTCTCAGAATGCCTTTTGTTCTCATTAAATGAGAAGCAGCACAGGGGGAAATGCAGTACTTATTAAAGAAGTAAGGAAATAATTATTTAACTTTTTTTATAAAAAGAGTTTCTATTTGATTTTTAATTAGTCATATTACCCAAATTTTATAAAATTAATTAAAAATAGAATATGTTTGTAAATATACTGATAGGAAAAGACTGCATTTAGTATTTCATTGAAAATTTGAATACATAATATTTTAAATATCTATGGTATTGAAAATGTATTATAATTTCAGTCAGAAGCTTGAAATGCAGTGAAGGAGTCGTTTCCGACCCTATGTTTCATATATATTCTTGATCAGCATGAGCAGCCGAATCGATCTAGCTATTTTTTGGGAGACTTTTTTTTCGAATTTATTTTCGAAATTTTATGACCAAATTTTATAGTTTCAAGTTGTCAAAATTTGACAAAAATTGAATTTTGTAAAATTGTAAAACTCAATATGCAGATTTTTTAACCATATAAAAACTAGCACAGAACAGCTTTCCGAATTGAAATTGATGCACTTTTGACGCAGTTATGTGTTTTTTAAACCTTGATTTATCATAAAAGTCGTCATATAAAAATATCTATAAATCTCGGCTCAAAATATAGTATTATAATTTTCGGTCAGAAGCTTGCAACGCAGTGAAGGAGTCGTTTCCGACCCTATGTTTTATATCTATTCTTGATCAGCATGAACAGCCGAATCGATCTAGCCATGTTTCGGGAGAATTTTTTTTTCGAATTTATTTTCAAAATTTTATGACTAAATTTTATAGTTTCAAATTGTGAAAATTTGACAAAATTTAGTTTCTTAAAATTGTAAAACTAAATAAGCAGATTTTTTAGCCACATGAAAGCTAGCACAGAACACTTTTCCGAATTGGAATTGATGCATTTTTGGCTTAGTTTTGATATTTGAAAAAGTTTGATTTACCCTTCGAATTATCATTTAAAAATATCACTTTACTATAATTAGAATTCAGATGTTTGAATTATTCATTATAAGAACCATTTATAAATCTAACCTATTGTTTAAATTTTGCTTTGGCATTCTTCTCATATGAATAAATATTTTATATTTTGTGTCATCGGTAGATAGACCCTAGCATGTGTCAGATTTCTCTTCAAATTATATCTCATTTTTATTTCTTATATAAAATTCTTGTTCTACTCTTTTTTCTCAGTGTGTGCACACTAATGGCAATTCAATTTACTTTCCATGGAATGTTCTTTTGCACTGTAACTTGCAACCTTTTGCAGTTTTGCTAAAGGAAAAAGTGGGGAAGTCCAGCAAAAGGGGTTCGTCTCCCAGAGCGGCGAGAATTGTTGACACTTTTTAGCTGCCAGTTGGCTTTACTTGCACAGAGTCCAGAGGAGGACTCCAGGTTTGGGGTCATTAGCCAGCACAAAGCGTTTGTTCTGTGTACCTTGTGGGTCATTGGGGAAATGAACCACCGAAAAACACACGAGAATGCGTGTTTCGACCAGCAAAATTACAAAAAAATAGAAAGGGGAAAGGCTGGTTGGACGAACGATTTCGCTTTGAACAACAAACGGAATATTTATTGCTGACGAAATGGGAAAATGGGAAAATGGGATAAAAGGGGGAGTTGACCGCAATACCGATGGGGTTTTCTGTGATGTGAATTTTCAAAATGTTTGCCTCTGAAAAGAGCTGAAATCATTTCAGCCTTTGTGGTTGTATTTTGATAAATTAGTGTCAAAGATACCGAAGCTTAAAGGCTTCGAGAATAATGAGTCCTAAGGCGACTGGCACATGTGTCTCACTATCTGAGCCAGTTGTCTGACCTTTTCGGGTTCCTTTTTGCTATGTTAATTCCAAGGAAAATATGCTGAAACTCAAGCGGAAACGGAAGCTGCCAAGGGAAATCCCAACTCGAACAAGTGTCGAAAACTAGCTGATGAAAATATGCAAAACAGCTGAGGAAAGTCACACAATGTGTAAATCGGGACATGCATTGTCATTCATGGGTTAAAGGCTGGGAAAACTTCTTTTAATTTTTGGTTTCCAACTGTGCTTAAACCCTTTCAGTTATCCCTTTTGGGGAATTCAAAATTTTACATGGCTACAAAATCATTTGTTTACCATTAGTTCACCTCTGAAAATACCTTCGTTCTCACACTATGACTCGTTCTCTTACATCTTGACATATGTAACATTTCAGAGATAAAGTCGTTTATCTTATCTGTGGTTTGTATTAAAAACTAATTAAAGTAATGGAAATGGAATATATAAGAGTAAAATCTAGTTCCGATTGCAAAGTTTAAAGCAAAATGTACGGGGAACAAGTGCGGATAATATTTTTTGGTGAGCTGGAATAACTCTATCGAGTAATTTGTAATTGCTGTGTTTTTAAACCAATTTAGTGACGTATCTTACACATCTGATACATCCTTCGGTATCGTCCACGACCAGAGAACATGTAAAGTGCATGGAAGGATCTATGACAGCAGATCCTGAGGATTGTGCCGGCTATTACCAGTGCCTCGACGCGGAATCCTTGCGCATGAAGTGTCCCTTTGGCAGTTATTTTGAGTCCCAAAACGAAGTATGCGTGGTGGATGAGCATGGAGTTTGTCCCACTTCCGAAAGAAGCTGCTTCGAAGGAGAGCTTCAAGAGGATCCCAGAGACTCGGCAAGCTACCTAAGGTGTCTAGAAGGGAGTCTGGTGAAGGAGAGATGCCCCTCGGGTAGTTACTTTAATTCTATCTCGAAGAGCTGTCGCCTGGATTGGATCTTAAAATTGTTCCCAACTCGAGAAACCTGTGCCGAAGGAGACGTCCAGGTGGACCCCACAAATTGTGCCGGTTATCTGGGCTGTCAGGATGGCCAGCTGGTGTCCAAGACCTGTCCCAGTGGGAGCTACTTCGAGCCAACGCTCATGACCTGCATTGTGGATGTGAATGGTCTGTGCGTGGAGCCCCCTGCCAGGTGCTCGGAGGGAGAGGTGAAACTAGATCCCAATAACTGTGCCGGCTACCTCAAGTGCATCGATGGCGAACTGCAGGAGGAGCTGTGCGCCAGTGGCTCCTACTTCCAAGTCGCACTGGAGACTTGTGTCCAGGACTACGAAGGCATCTGCGTCACCAATATATTGAGTTGCACTGAAGGCGAGATCGGGTTTGATCCCGAGGACTGTGCCGGCTACAGAGAGTGTATTCGAGGTGTGGTGGAGAATCTCAAGTGTGCTCCCGGCAGATACTTTAATGTGACCCAAGCGGATTGCCTCTTGGATGTGGAGGAAGTGTGTGTGAAGTCCAGGGAACAAGGAGAAGGAACTGGGGCTCAGAAGATGTCGGAAGGGGAGGAATACTATTTAAATAATTATATACACAATTCCAACACTGTAACCGAAACCTCAAAGGTAACCAAGGAGCAAAATATTTGTGGATGCAAAATGTAGCTGAAGGAGAACCATTGTCGCCTTCACTTTCACGATTTCGCATGAATAACAAATAAGCTCTCTCCACACGATAAGTTCGGCAATAGTAAATCAAATTAATTGGGAAGTAGACATTTGGTGGCCGGGACTTTTCGCCAACTTTGTTATTGACGCCATCCGCGGCAGCAGTGACTGGCGTTAATGCGATAAGGTAACTTGTTCGGACGACTGCTGCTCTTAATGTCTCAATAATTATCAGCTGCTACAGACTGATTAACGATAAAATATAACTTGACTTTTCTGATCAGGGTGGGATGTGAATCACACCGGATGAATGCTATTTCCACTGCCAGACAACACTTCCGCACATCAAAGGAGCTGCTGCTTAGAAAGTAATTAAAATCTAAACGGTCTTAACCGCCGAATCGAACACCCTCCTTGGGGCGTGTCCGCCCCTCAGCTATCCATTGGCTTCAGCGGAAATGCGATATTGTTTTGATTTTATTGCAAACTTTTCCACGCCCCTTAGGGGGAGTTCCACAACTCGGAACTACTTGCTAACTTTGACGTTCACCAGAAACACATTGAAGATGAAGACGTTCTTGGTGCTGCCCGGCTTCGAGTTATCATCGACGCTGGGAGGGAGTGTGGGGGTTACATCTGGGAACCAGGTGGTGTTAGGAACTTCTGTAGTTGTTGAAGAGGTAGGAACTGTGGGAAGGGCTGTTGTTGTGGTGACCTCTTCGGGTTCTCCGGTTGTTGTATCCTCCTCTGGGGCTGCAGTAGTATCCTCCTCTGGAGCAGCTGTAGTATCTTCCTCTGGAGCAGCAGTAGTATCCTCCTCTGGACCAGCACTAGTATCTTCCTCTGGAGCAGCTGTAGTATCTTCTTCTGGAGTAGCTGTAGTATCCTCCTCTGAAGCAGCAGTAGTATCTTCCTCTGGGGCAGCAGTAGTATCTTCCTCTGGAGCAGCAGTAGTATCCTCCTCTGGAGCAGCAGAAGTATCCTCCTCTGGAGCAGCAGTAGTATCCTCCTCTGGACCAGCACTAGTATCTTCCTCTGAAGCAGCAGTAGTATCTTCCTCTGGGGCAGCAGTAGTATCTTCCTCTGGAGCAGCAGTAGTATCCTCCTCTGGAGCAGCAGAAGTATCCTCCTCTGGAGCAGCAGTAGTATCCTCCTCTGGAGCACCAGTAGTATCCTCCTCTGGGGTTGCAGTAGTATCTTCCTCTGGAGCAGCAGTAGTATCCTCCTCTGGAGCAGCAGTAGTATCTTCTTCTGGAGCAGCAGTAGTATCTTCTTCTGGAGCAGCAGTAGTATCTTCACTGGGTCTTGAAGTGGTTGTTGGAACCTCGGTGGGCTTGGCAGTAGTCGTAGGAGCATCAGTTGGCGCAGCAGTGGTTGTGGAGACCTCTTCCGGAACTTCGGTGGTGGTAGAACCAACCGGAGCAGCGGTGGTCTCGTCGCCACCAGTATGCACTTCTCCGTATCCGTATGGGGATTCCTTGTTTACCGGAACGTAGAAGATGCCCTCGGCAACAAAGGTGTTTACGAAAGCTCCCATGGTGATGGAGCTGAATCTATCTCCACAGGCGTTCTTGTTGGCCTCCTGGTAGGTCTCGCAGGACTTGGAGGGGAAGTTGTTCCAGAGCAGCGCCTCCACGTAGTAGAGGACAGCTCGGGTGTGGGAGCAGCTGCCGGTGACATCGAGTCCGCATCCGGGCTGCGTCCTTCCGCCGTTCATGTAGAAGGCGGCCTTGCCAATGGGTTGGGTGAATCCTAGAATGGCGCCGTTCGTCTGGATAGACTCCACATAAATGGCGTCGTCGCTGGAGAGACGCTTCTCCGACTTGGAGTAGCTGATCAGGGGAGAGGCGGGGTCTAGTCCCACGATCTTGCCCGCCTTTCCGGTGGTCAGTTGCTTGCCGGTGTGTCCGGCCACATGTGCACCCAGGCTGAAGCCCACGATTTCAAGGCTGTCCAAGGACATGCCGTAGCCGGTAACCAGGAAGTCCACTAGGGCGGCCACTTTCTTGCCAGCACCCGAGGCGCCGGCCACAGATGTGGCGTACTCCAGGGAACGACCGCGGGACCAGTCCACGGCGATCATGTTGTAGTCACCGTACTGGAACCAGGCATCCGCAATCCTGGTGTTCACGCCATCCTTGTAGTTGGAGTTCCAGCCGTGAATGGTGATCCTGGGGTGGAAATTTAACCAAGTGAGACCATTGCTCAAGGAAACACTTTGAGAAAGCTAACCTTGTGGGGTTTTTGGGATTAAAGTTGGAGGCATCTATGGAGGACTGGGTGGCCTTGATCTCCTGTCCCGTGCTGGGGTTTTTCTGAGTGTACAGATAGAACTTCACCGTGTTGGTAGACAGGCGACCGTCCAGTTGATCCTGACCCTCGTAGAAGGCCAACTGGCGCTCTCCATCATCCTTGCTGACCCATCTTAGGCCTCCTTCCTTCTGCGGCACAAACCAACCATTGACGCCATGGACTCTCAGCGAATGTTGGTCAACAGGCCAGGCGCTGGCTGGGAATGTCGTTTAGATTTGAGATCACTTAACTACGGAAAGCTAGAGTGTTTTGGGAGCAAAGTCTTTACCTGCTATCACGCAGGCCAGTAGCACAAGGAAGCACAGTCTCATCGTGGAAGTTCAAGTTTCGGAATGGTCGAATGCTCGCACCTGCCGCTGCTATTTATACCTTTTAATATTCAGAATACGGTGAATGGAAACCTAAATCAGCGCACCAACAACAAGCGGAATGATTAGATCCGTTCTAATCAGCGCGATTTGAATCCCTGCACCTACAAAATGTGTTAATTTATAGGGGTATGACACTAGTTATTAAAAATAAGTAAATAACACGTATTAGCGGGAGATCCTTCTGCAGATACTTTTGTGGAAAAGTACTTGCATGCACTACATTCCCAGAATATATTATTTGCCATCATATTATATACTTATAGGGCTATGACTTAGTAAGTGGGCAAACTATTTCAACTGACAATAAACAAAAGATTCCTCTATTTGTTCTTTATTGAAATTCGTTGAAAATCTTTTAAAAGGTTTATTGATATTACATTTCCATTAAAAAGTACTGCCTAAAGCCTTTAGAGAGGAGGGGTGATTCTTTACTTCATATTTTTGTGTAATACTACTGTTGGATTTTGGGATCAATATCAAACATACTTATAGATACTACATTTCCATTAAATAGTACTCCTTAAATTAGAAATAGATTAAAGCTTGTTGCGATAAATAATTAAGTTATCTGCTTGTAGACTAGCACCATTTTAGGTGATAAGAGTGATAAGAAACTACTGTTTTCTGGCTAGCAAGCAGTGGCAAAGCTTTTTAAGCTTTTTTTGAAATTTCACTATATATATTCTTTGAGGTGTCATACAGGCATAACCCCACCGAAGCCCCTCGAAACCAACTCGACAAAACGACAAAGCTAATTGGTAACTGCTTTCGCTCACAGAGCTTTCTCTCAATTTATTGGATCAAAAGGGGATGGGATTTAGTTGCCCATGCCATAGGGAGCATCGCTGCGGACGGGAACGTAGTAGTCACCGGCCACCATGTAGGCATTGGTGGTGGCTCCCATCTTGACGGTGCTGTAGGAGCTGCCGCACTCCTTGGACACCGCCGACTCGTAGTCGCCGCACCTCATCGTGGGGAAGTTGTTCTGGGTGACGGCCTCGGCGTAGTAGATCACCGATCGGCTGTGGGCGCAGGATCCGGTCAGATCGACGCCGCAGCCGGGCTGGCTCTTGCCGCCGTTGGGGTAGAAGGCTCCCTTGCCGATGGGCTTCAGGAATCCCAGGGTTCCGCCGTTGGTCTGGATGGACTCCACGTAGTAGGCGTCGGTGGAGCTGAGGCGCTTGTTGGGGGTATCGTAGCTGAAGAGGGGCAGGGCAGGGTCCAGACCGATGATGGTGTGCACCTGTCCGTTTTTCACATTCTTGCCGGCATAGCCGGACACATGGGCGCCCAGGCTGTGGCCGATAATCATGGTATTGTCGAGGTTCAAGCCGTGGTTGCTGCGCAGATGGTTGATCAGAGCGGCGACCTGCTCTCCGACTCCGGGAACAGCCACCACGGAGGAGGCGTAGTCAACGGAACGGGCACGTCCCCAGTCGACGGCAATCATGTTCATGTTACCGTGGGTGAACCAGGCATCGCGGACACCGTAGTTGATGAACTCGTCCTTGCTGGAGGACCAGCCGTGGATGGTGATGCGGGTGGGGTTGTTGGGGTTGAAGTGGGAGCCCTTGATCGAGTTGGTCGAGGCGGTGATCACCTGGGGATCGTAGCGGTTCGACTGGGTGTACAGGTAGAATGTCACGGGGTTCAGAACGTTGCGTCCCTCCTTCTCAGTCTGACCCTCCAGGAAGGCCTCGGCCACATCACGATCCATCCACTCCAGACTGCCATCGGCCTGGGGCACGTACCAGCCATTCTCACCGTTCTCACGGATCTCGACGGCGTTAACTGGAAGTAACATATGTTATATTTGAACATTTTAAAAATATTTTCTCTAATATTGCCCTCTACTTACCCGCCAGGACACAGAGGGCCAAAGCCAAAAACAGTTTCATCATTGCGCCAAAGTCAACTTCAACTAACAGTTGTGGGTGGCCTGGGGGCTCATTTATATGGGTGGGCATCGTCCGATGATGGTCCGATCCGAATCTCAGACATTTTGGAGCACTCCACTCGAGATTGGACGCCATTCAATACCAGTGCATCCCGATAAGGAGGAGGTGGTGGCTATGGTGGTTGCGGGTTCGAGGAGCGGAACATGTTTTCCGGCAATCGGTCGTTAGTAATATGTCCATTTAGATTTAATTTGATGAACTGATTACTTTAGTAGCCGCGTGTTGGCCCTTTTGATGGAGTGAATAATTCACGTTCCAGATAGACCCAACGGTAGCTGACGTATTTTACAATCTTGTGTCTTTATCATGGTCTTCGTGTGCCCCGATAGTCTATCAATCTGTCAAATTCTAATCGAAAGATTGCCTTTGTCATAACATCAGGCCAGAATATATCATGCATAATGTACACAAAAGTTTTAAGGCAAATTGATAGACTTTTGTTACTAAGATCTTCTTCGTGGTTTCATTTATTGTTCTGTTCTGAAGTTGCTGTGACCAATAACCAGCACACCTGGGGTGACATTTAAACAAAATATTAGTCTTATGAAGAGATTAGCAGATATTTTAGCATACCTCAATGACTTGCTAATGGGTCTTATCTCCAAATTTCATACTTAAGTTTAGCTATTATTACTATAAATAGGTATTCAAATAAATAATCAGAGTTAATCACTGAAATTTCTTTGACAATCACCTGTACGTGTAGCCAAGGACTTCTAATCTTAACTCTTATAAAATTATTAAAAGAGTATTGTTTTGACAAATATATTTACAGATACCAAAGATACTTGTAATCAGCCTTGCCTCTCATATAAACAAAGTATTCTATACTTTCTTCATGCATTAAAGCCACTTTAAAGTCTTTAGATCAATCAATCGTCAAATCTCGTGATCGTGCTCGTGATTTGCTCGAATTGAATGGCCGTTCCTCATGAATGGCGACTCGACTGCCAAAACAGGATGGGATGGGCCCATCCTTATCCACTGACGTGCGACGAGCCACTTGGCACTTGATTAGAACCCCTGAGACTCCTATCGCGATGCAGATAGACTGACACAAATAGACTTATTTTTTAGCTGTGCTACACATAAACATATATTTCATCGATTGAGGAGATCGAGAGACTTCTACTCAATCTTGCCAAAGGGAGCCTTGGAGTTCACGGGCACGTAGAAGTCGCCCTCGACCATGTAGGCATTGGTATCGGCTCCCATCCGTACACTGCTGTAGTGGGAGCCGCACTCCTTGGCCACCGCTCGCTCGTAGTCCTCACACTTGATGGTTCCAAAGTTGTCCTTGGTGACGGCCTCCACGTAGTAGGTAACAGATCTCTGGTGGGAGCAAGATCCCGTGACATCCACCCCGCAGCCCGGCTGCTTCTTGCCGCCGTTCGGGTAGAAGGAACCCTTGCCGATGGGCTTGAGGAATCCCAGCTTGCCGCCGTTGGTCTGGATGGACTCCACATAGAAGGCGTCTTCGGTGGAGAGACGTTTGCTCGGTTTGTCATAGCTGAAGAGAGGCATGGCGGGATCCAGGCCCACAATGGTGTGAATCCTCCTCTCGCCCACCTTCTTGCCGGCATAGCCAGCCACATGGGCACCCAGGCTGTGACCAATCACCTGCAGGTTGTCCAGGGACATCCCGTGGTGCTCGTGCAGATAGTCGATCATCTCGCCCACCCGGGTTCCGGCTCCAGGAACAGCCATCACGGATGAGGCATACTCCACTGAAATGGCTCGGGCCCAGTTGACCACGATGACGTTGAAGTCTCCCCGGGAGAGCCAGGCCTTGGTGATCTGCTTGTTCATGGCATCAGTGTAGCGTCCCTTCCAGCCATGGATCACGAATCGAGTGCCATGGTTCTTGTCGAAGTGGGAGTCATCGATGGAGGCCTTGTCTGCTCTGATCTCCTTGCCCTCGGTGGGGTTGTGCTTGGTGTAGAGATAAAAGGTCACGTCATTGGACCGACCTTCGATGGGTGTGTTGTTCTCGAGAAGATTCTCAGCATCCTGCAAGTCCATCCACTGGAAACTTCCATCTTCTTGGGGGACAAACCAACCGTTTTCGCCGTTCATACGTTCCTCAATGGGAAGAGCACTTACTGGAAACGAATATTTGTAGTGATAAGTTTAAATTATATTGTGTTAAACTATTTAAAGTCACCTGCTAATAGCACAGAAGCTAGGACCAGGAACACTTTCATATTGGTATCTTAACCAATTTTGGTCTACAGAAGCTGGTTTACCTGCGCTTTTATAGCCAGAGAAGTCTGGTCTCATCAGTTTCTTTCTTTTGGCAAAAGATAATTCTAGGGAACCCCCATTGGGATTCTAAAGTTGCTCTCTATAAAGTTTCCAAATCATGCATATATATATACCGCGCCTAATCTATATTCTATGCTATTTGATTGTTGAGAAGGAAACTCCAGTATACTTAATAATTGAGTACTTAAGTTGCCGAGTATCATGTAGCTTAAGGTTGATTAAATTCAACTCGAGGCAAGAGTCGTAAGTTATTGAAACTATTCTTCATTATCAATAGACAGAAACTATTAATTAATAAGCAAGGGACTGAAGGGAGCAAGGCTGCTGGAGGCTTCACAGCTTAAAGACCTTGTTAATTTAGTTGAATTCATCACTTATTTTCTTTATTACAAAAAGTAGTTCCCTACTCGATCTTTCCAAAGGGAGCTTCGCTGTTCACCGGGACATAGAAGTCACCAGCGACCATGTAGGCATTGGTAACGGCTCCCATGCGTACGCCGCTGTAGGTGGAACCGCATTCATTGGCCACCGCCGCCTCATAATCATGGCAACGGATGCTTCCAAAGTTGTCCTCGGAAACAGCCTCCACGTAGTAGGTCACTGATCGACCATGAGAGCAGGTGCCGTCGATATCAGTGCCGCATCCTGGCTGCTTCTTGCCACCATTTGGGTAGAAGGCACCATTGCCAATGGGCTTGAGGAATCCCTTCAAGCCTCCATTCGTCTGGATAGACTCCACATAGAAGGCATCATCGGCGGACAATCGCTTGTCGGGCTTATCGTAGCTGAAAAGGGGCAGGGCGGGATCCAGACCGATGATGGTGTGGACTCGCTGGTCACCCACTGTCTTTCCAGCATATCCGGCTACATGGGCACCCAAACTGTGTCCAATCACGTCCAGGCTTTCCAGGGACATGCCGTGATGTTCGTGCAGGTACTTGATCATTTCTCCCACCTTGGCTCCGGCTCCGGGAACAGCCAGGACCGAGGAGGCGTAGTCCACGGAGATGGCACGAGCCCAGTTGACCACGATCACGTTGTAGTCTCCCTTCGACAGCCAAGCGCTGGTGATCCTGGTGTTCATCCTGTCGGTGTAGCGTCCACCCCACCCGTGGATCACGAAGCGAGTGCCATGGTTCTTGTTGAAGTGGGAGTCCTCTATGAAGGCCCTGTCCGTCGCGATTTCCTTACCCACAAGGGGGTTTTGCTTGGTGTAGAGATAGAAGGTGACCTCGTTGGCACGTCCTTCTATGGCTAGATTATTTTCTAGAAGATTCTCAGCTTCCCTCAAGTCCATCCACTGGAAACTGCCATCTGCCTGGGGAACGAGCCAGCCATTTTCACCATTGATGCGATCGTCAATGGGAAGAGCACTCACTGAAAGTTCAGGAATACTTTGATGGATTTAACATTTTAATTAATTTTTGTAAGAGCTCACCTGCCACCAGTAAAACTGCTAGAACCACGAACTCCTTCATATCTTAGCCGATTATGGTCTAAACCGACCGATTTACGGAGCTTATATAGGCTGTAAGCCTATCCATAATCTATAATCTACAATCTATAATTCACAATCTTTAAGGTGATAACACTCGCTATTCCCAACATGTCGCAAAAGATATAGCTAATCTAAGGAAACTCCTAAATCCAACCTAATCTATTTGGTAGATCGATAGCTTCTTGACTACTGAAGTGCTTGTCAAATCACAATAGTACTTTGGGTTTTAAGTACGTAAGCACGTCTTTAATGTTGATGGGATGTTGTTTTGAGCTGAGTGGGAGGTAGCTAGTGAGATAAGATATAGAAAAGTCATCCACACTCTACACTAACTAATCTATAACTTTGAAGATGAAATCTTTAAATGAGATCAAGTTTGTGAGGAAAGTATGCCTCTACTTTAAATGGGCACCATGCTTTACAGGAATCCCATTATTCCCACTTCTGAAGCCTTAAGAAAGTAAATTTTTTTAGAGAATTCATTTGTATTTTTTATTTAAGAAAAGAATAGTAGCAAGCAGAGCTTTCCCCTATTCGATCTTGCCGAAGGGAGCCTGGCTGTTCACGGGCACGTAGAAGTCACCATCGACCATGTAGGCATTGGTGATAGCTCCCATGCGAACGCTGCTGTAGTGGGAGCCGCACTCCTTGGCCACCGCCCGTTCGTAGTCCTCGCACTTGATGGTTCCGAAGTTGTCCTCGCTGATGGCCTCGGCGTAGTAGAGAACGGAGCGTCCGTGGGAGCAGGAGCCGGTGGCATCGACTCCACAGCCAGGCTGCTTCTTGCCGCCGTTGGGGTAGAAGGCTCCCTTGCCGATGGGCTTCAGGAAGCCAAGCTTGCCGCCGTTGGTCTGGATGGACTCGACGTAGTGGGCATCATCGGTGGACAGACGCTTGTTGGGCTTGTCGTAGCTGAAGAGGGGCAGGGCGGGGTCCAAGCCCACAATGGTGTGCACCTGCTGGCCTCCAACGGTCTTGCCGGCATATCCGGCCACATGGGCGCCCAGGCTGTGACCAATGACCTCCAGGCTGTCGTAGGACATGCCGTGATGGTCGTGCAGGTACTTGATCATCTCACCGACTTTGCCGCCGGCTCCGGGAACGGCCAGGACGGAGGAGGCGTAGTCCACGGAACGGGCACGGGCCCAGTCGACGACGATCACGTTGTAGTCGCCCTTGGAGAGCCAGGCCTTGGTGATCCTGGTGTTCATGTCGTCGGTGTACTTCTGGGTCCAGCCGTGGATCACGAAGCGGGTGCCGTGGTCCTTGTTGAAGTGGGAGGCCTCGACGGAGCCGGACTTGGCCTTGATCTCCTTGCCGCTGGTGGGGTTCGACTTGGTGTACAGGTAGAAGTTGACTGCGTTGGTGCTGATGCGGCCCTCCATCTGGGCGCCATTGGCCATCAGCTCCTCGGCATCCTGCATCTCCATCCACTCGAAGCTGCCGTCCACCTTAGGGATGAACCATCCATTCACGCCATTCACGCGCTCCTCCTCAATGGGCAGGGCGCTCACTGGAAGATAGGTCCTTGCGAATTAGGATCAGAGTGTTCTCCTTGGGGCCACCACTCACCTGCTGCCAGTAGAGCTGCTAGGACAATAAACACCTTCATCTCGGGTTCTCGCACAATTGTGTGGTGTGCCGAGTCGGCTGGGGGTGCCTTTTATAGGTCCGAAGTAATCACCTTTTAATATCAGTAAACACTTGAGCAGTGGGCAGTGGGCAGGTGATGAGATAGGACCGATACTGTGATTAGAACACTCTAGGAACTCCCGGGTACTTTGGGTACTTTGGGTACTCTGATAGCACACGCTTTTCTCCAGTGGCGTTGATAAGCCGGGAACTTAAGGAGTTGAGCGCTGGCACTTTCATCTATTAGGTTGATAAGGTTCAGGGTCGTGATCCTGAACTTGTAGGGTAATAAGAAGTCCCTCTAACTACAGATTCTTTTCAGTGTTCCTTGGTTTATGGAACAATTAATATCTTAAGCATAAAAGAGTTAACAACTTGATAAAGAACTGCCAAAGAAATCCAAGAGAGCGGCCAAGTGTAGCCATAAATGTCAATGCTAATGACGAAGTCTGCCCGAGTGGCTGGCTGATTCGCCTTAATTTATAGCTCTCTTGGCTGGGCAATGCGAAGGTTTATTATGGCTTGGCTTGATCCGATAAGGAAGTTCATTGAAGAAACGACACAAGGCGATTCCTGACCTTATTTTCAGCCGGATGACAAAAACAAAAATTATTTTACGTTTTAGTTAGTCAGGGCTTTGTGGTTCGAGGGGCAAATAGAAGTCACAAGCCACAAGTCCAAGGGTATTTAATAGAAACTAAGCAAAAGGAAAACATTTTATCTGTCTGTCTGAGCTTCATTTGATGTATGATGCCAAATTTATCAACAGTTCTATTTACATTTAATTGGATGCTGGTTTAGCACTTTAGAATTCTATATCGCTATCCCCCAAGATAAAGAACGGAACAATTATATTTTATCTTTTTGTTTATTGCATTTCAATAAGTTAGTTGATCATGCCGAAGGGCGCCTTGGAGTTCACGGGGACATAGAAGTCACCGGCGACCATGTAGGCGTTGGTATCAGCGCCCATACGGACGCTGCTGTAGCTGGAACCGCACTCATTGGCCACGGCCTCCTCGTAGTCACCACACTTCATGGTTCCGAAGTTGTCCTGAGCCACGGCCTCGGCGTAGTAGGTAGTGGAGCGTCCGTGGGAGCAGGCGCCGGTCACGTCCAATGTGCATCCGGGCTGGGTCTTGCCGCCGTTGGGGTAGAAGGCTCCCTTACCGATGGGCTTCAGGAAACCGAGGTTTCCTCCATTGGTCTGGATGGACTCCACGTAGTAGGCATCCTCGGAGTTCAGACGCTTGTTGGGCTTGTTGTAGCTGAAGAGGGGAAGGGCAGGGTCCAATCCCACAATGGTGTGCACCTGTCCGTCGGTGTTCTTGCCGGCGTATCCAGCAACATGGGCACCCAGGCTGTGACCAATGACGTATAGATTACCCAGATCCATGCCGTAGTTGTCCTTCAGGAAGTTGATCATCTTGGCGACCTTCTTGCCGGTGGAGCCGACGGCCATGACAGAGGTGGCGTAGTCCACGGAACGGGCACGGGCCCAGTCGACGACGATGACGTTGTAGTCTCCCTTGGAGAGCCATGCACTACGGATGTCCTTGTTCATGCTGGCGGTGTAGCTCTGGGTCCAGCCGTGGATCACGAAACGGGTGGGATGGGCGGCATTGAAGTTGGAAGCATCCACGGACTTGGTGGTGGTGGTGATCTTCTTGCCCTTGGTGGGATTGGAAGAGGTGTACAGATAGAACTTGACGGGCACGGTGGTGAGGCCACGGCTTTCGAGCATCTCAGCTTCTTCCATCCACTTCTCGGCGACATCCATGTCCACCCACTCGAAGGAGCCGTCCTCCTGGGGCACGTACCAGCCGTTCTCGCCATTGACGCGCTCGGATTCAGCCAGAGGATAGGCCGAAGCTGGAAGGGATTGCAATTGTTAATTGATGGAAGGTATCGAGGTATTAGGTAGAGGACTCACCGGCCAGAGCACAGAGTGCCAGAATCAGGAAAGTCTTCATGTTGCAGTAGAGTGTCCTCAACTAATGGCTGGCCAGTGCGTGGAGGGGCTCTTTTATAGGTCCGATCGGGTCCCTGGGTGGCATACTTATCGGCATGCGATAAGATCGCGAGACAATACCTTGCCGCCTAGGAGGCACATTTAAATTAATCAGATAATTCTTTTTAGGAACTTGAATCCGATGGGCATTTATCTGCTGATTGCCTTTTCAATTGCGCCATTTGCGTTTGAACTCTCGAGTGTTGTTGCAATTGGAAGTCATGATTAAGTCCCATCAAATCCTATAGATTCCAATGGAGTGCAATGGAATCCGCTGTAAGGAAGCACTACACGGGAATCACCTGTTGTTTCCTCTGTCACCTACCGATTACATTGGGAGGTGGCACACTCGAAAAACCCTCTTAATCCCCTGTAAGTCGTACTGAGTGGAATTAATTGTTGGTATCATTAAATGAGCATTTAATTTAACACTTGACTGCATTCTTGTACTCTGGGCTTCCGTTCGTTATCTTGGTCAGATGGTGGAATAAAGTCTACGGCTTTTCGTTTAATATATACGTGGGGTAAACAGGAAGCCAGTAAAGAGAGCTCACCTTGTTTATGTTATTTTGATCGAGAATTTCCTTAATCTTTAACGGAAGTTATTGCTGTAAGTTGCACTTAAAATAAGGTATAATTTTGGGGTTTATAAATTAGTATTTCAAGTTAAAGATGTGGAGCCTTTTGGTAGCTTCAAAGGCTCTAGAAGTTAATGAAGAACTCCAGGTAGCTTAATGCCATTTCATTTTCGACTCAGAAAAAGAATGTTTGATTTCCAATAGTAAAGTAAAAAAAGACTTGTTTAATTTTTGATTGGTTTTCATTTTGTGAAATACAGCATACGTCGATATTTAACAGTTCTCTATTCCTTCTTCGTACTCAGATAAATTTGAAAAGGTTAAGAAATCGATTAGGTTTACAACAAGTTTCCCTGCTGACTATTTATTTCCACCGACCCTTTAATGAATTCATCAGACATTAACTCAATTTGGTATCGTTAATCGTTATATTTATTTAATCGCGATCATTTAGTTAATCATGCCGAAGGGCGCCTTGGAGTTCACGGGGACGTAGAAGTCACCGGCGACCATGTAGGCGTTGGTATCAGCGCCCATGCGGACGCTGCTGTAGCTGGAGCCACAGGACTTGGCCACAGCCTCCTCGTAGTCGCCGCACTTCATGGTTCCGAAGTTGTCCTGAGCCACGGCCTCGGCGTAGTAGGTAGTGGAGCGTCCGTGGGAGCAGGCGCCGGTCACGTCCAGGGGGCATCCGGGCTGGGTCTTGCCGCCGTTGGGGTAGAAGGCTCCCTTGCCGATGGGCTTCAGGAATCCAAGTGTTCCGCCGTTGGTCTGGATGGACTCCACGTAGTAGGCATCCTCGGAGTTGAGGCGCTTGTTGGGCTTGTTGTAGCTGAAGAGGGGAAGGGCAGGGTCCAATCCCACAATGGTGTGCACCTGTCCGTCGGTGTTCTTGCCAGCGTATCCAGCAACATGGGCACCCAGGCTGTGACCAATGACGTACAGATTACCCAGATCCAGGCCGTGGTTGTCCTTCAAGAAGTTGATCATCTTGGCGACCTTCTTTCCGGTGGAGGCGACGGCCATGACAGAGGTGGCGTAGTCCACGGAACGGGCACGGGCCCAGTCCACGATGATGATGTTGTAGTCGCCGTGGGAGAGGAAGGCATTGCGAATGTCCTTGTTCATGCTGTTGACATAGCTCTGGGTCCAGCCGTGGATCACGAAACGGGTGGGATGGGCGGCGTTGAAGTTGGAGCCACTGATCGACTTGGTGGTGGTGGTGATCTTCTTGCCCTTGGTGGGGTTGGACGAGGTGTACAAATAGAAGCTCACCGGCACGGTGGTCAGACCGCGACCCTCCATCTTCTCGGCCTCATCCATCCACTGCTCGGCGACGTCCATGTCCACCCACTCGAATGAGCCGTCCAACTGGGGAACGTACCAGCCGTTCTCGCCATTGACGCGCTCGGATTCCTCCAGAGCAAAGGCCGATGCTGGGGGCATAAGGAGTATTGTTAGTAATTGGAGGGTTCTGAGGGATTGTTTAGAGGACTTACCGGCCAGCGCAAAGATTGCCAGAATCAGGAAAGTTTTCATATTGTGTAGAGTCCACAACTGATGGCCAAGTCGATCGTTGCGGGTTCTTATATAGCTCCCAGTGTGGTCGACTTATCGGTGGCCGTTTAGATCGGATAGCTCTATTTTGTCTGACTTGGAGGTATGCTTCATAAGTATAGGTGCTGATTTAGGTATAGGTGTAGGTGTATTAAAATTAATCTGATAAGTTTGCCCAGTGCAAGTGCTTTTTTTTCTGGAACTCCGAATCTGATGGGCATTTATCTACTGATTGGCTTTCAATGGCACAGCTGGACAGGTGAAATCTATATTATATAGTAGGAAATCTATGTTATAGTATAAGTTCAGACAGATACGCATTAAATTTATGCGTTTCTTAAGGGAGGGAAATAGGGGTGTATCAGGTCTAGAGACTTTAAAATATTTTAAACATAACTTAGCTATTACATTTTGATTTGGATAATGCTTAAAAACAATCAAATATATTATCCTTTCTTACCTCTGAAATGTAATGTAAATATAATATTCACTCGTAATTTATTAAAATCAATTTTAAACGGATATCGGGTACTAATAATTGAGCTTTTTATGAGGCATTCAAGTGGCCATCAAAAAGGTTGCCTACTTTGCGGCATTTATCTTATTAAGCGACCCCGCATGCCACAGTTAATCAACCATCGCCCATCATCGAGGATTAATTCAATTAATAACGCAAATATGAACACGACCGAGGACCGCAGGCCTCCCACGACTTTTCAGTTTATTATATTTACGTGGGGCATAGCCTTTGTATACACAGGACCACAACACAGCAGGAGCAGGAGCAGGAGCAGGAGCCGGGGCAGGAGCAATGGCCACCGAAAACTCGATGGCACAATCAATGAACATTTTCGAATTAATCGCATTTTGAAAAAGTGTCGCATTTCGCGATGAGGCACGTGTCCTCCTGCTACTGCTGATTAGGCAAATTAAATGAAAACAGCGGGATATCTTGCAATGGAATTGCTATCCCCACATCGCTGTGTATAATTTCTAAGAATTATGTCACCCGAGTGACCTTAAAAGCCACAAGGCAATTCAAGGGCTTAAATCGCATTTGTTGACCCGCTTCAAGCCACAAATCACTGGCCAAAACCACACACCACATTTATTTATATATTTATATATAAGATGAGGTAGGAACCTCACTGCCGCTGGGCCGCAATAAAATTCAATTTCACACAGGAGTCCTGCAAGAAACAATAAACTTGTCAGCTCATAAATAAGGACGAGAGCCAAATAAAATTGTTCTTTCTTTACTGTTTGTGGTTTTTGGTTCAGGGTGAAGGTCAAGGAAGGCCCTTATCTGTCTGGGGTGCTCCAAAGTGCTCCCAAAAATATCCTATCATATGATTAGCTGCATGAATCTCAAGTAGGCAGGGGCACAACTCGAGTCCCGTCCAGCTGCACATACTCAGCCCGAAATACTTGGCATACTCGAGGGCTAATTGGGCCACGAGGACAACGCACACAGAAGCCTCCCTAGGGAGGCAAATGGTTTCCTATTTAAATACCAACAGGAGGCGGGTTGGTTGGATGGAATTTCCAGCAACTACAATTTGTATTGTACATATATAATATATGTTATATATTGTACTCGGTCGTAGGGGCTGTTGACTCTTGCCGGCTGCTCATTAATTATAATTACAAACATGCCGCAAAAAGTGACAGAAATGCTTCTTCTGACGAAAGATATTTGTGTCTGAGGTTGCACTGCGACAATTATTCATAATTCTTATCAAAATATTCGTCAGAATGATAGTTTGAAATGGTTTTTTCACTTTAAATAATCAGTTAACTCGTTGGAATTCTAAACGAATAACAAACAGCTTAACAAGTACTTGGAAGATTTTATTTTATGATTAAAATTCACTTCAAATTATAAATAAAAACTTTGACTACGTTCATTCTAACATTTATAATTATTGTATTTAATATAATAATCCTATAATAGTTTGAAGCTTTGTTTTTACTTGGTATCTCTAAGAATCAAGTATTTTTACTTAATAAGTTTAACCCGTTTTTTGTGCCAGTGAAGAGTTCATCAAACGATTGAGGCAGTCATAAATGTCATTCTGGCAAAAAGGCAAACATGGCCGGAAGAGTTCTCTTGGTTTTTGGCTTTAAGTCAAAGATGTTTCGTTGGTTTTTGGCTGAGCAAATATTTAGTTGCAATGCTGCTCAGGAGGAGGAAGCAGCCTTTCAAGGCATTCAAAAACCAGCTGGATACCAAGCAAACCTGTGCTGCTTTAACCTTATTTGAGTTAAATTCTATGTTCCGGACGAAGGGTTTTCCAGCTTTCCAGACAAATTTTCCGGCTTGAGTCACATGAATTGTGTCCTAATCTTGGGCTTTCTTTTAAATACATTTCTCGCTAGCCTTTTTACAGCACTTTTTCGCTTTGCTTGAGGGAAAATTGAATTTATGAAATACCATTTTTCGCTACCTGTTCTTTCTTTTTATTTTTTGGGGGGTTGAAAAGAAAAGGCCTCTCGCGGGCTTAGCTTAAAAGCACGCTAAACAAAATTATGGCGCCAACTAAGCCCAAAAATGTGATTTGCTGCCGCCGCTACCGTTTTTCCTTGGAAAATCTAAGACGTTATTAGGTTTTTCTCAATGCCGCACATATCCACAGCTTGTACGTGATTTCTTGTCAATATTTTGCATTTTATTTTATTACCAGCATTATTTTCATGTTCCTCCATGCCCAGAGTAGCCTGTGGCGTTCTCTTTCATTTTAATTTGGATTTGTTGCCTCCGCATTTTTATGTACTATAGGTGCCTTTTCTTTGGGTTTTTTCCAATGTACGACGATGTAATTATTTGCGTGATTTTGGCATTCGGCGCACACATTTTTTCCATGTCTTCTTAATATAAAATTGATGAGTTGTTCATTAATCAAGAGTGTCGGCTGGTTATAGCAGGGAGAAGTTTCGATTGCCACTCGGAAGGTTCAATAATATGGCCTCATTTCGTAGGCATGAAATTCTTGGGGAATTCGGAAAGGTGTGTTTACTTTAGGGATTTCAATTTTGTGGTCCTTGGAGGGTAGAATGTACGAGTAAATTGTTTAACTCTTCAGTTTTCTTCTCTAATATTAATTATTTTTCCTTATATTTATAATTAAACAATTGAATAAAGTAAGTAAATAAATTTAGTGTGGATTAACACTTGTAGAATGTTATAATTAAATCCCAAAGGGCACATTATTTCATACTTTTTTTCGGCACCATAGCCTGCATTTTGGGAATTACAGAAATCTCAGAACATAAATTTATTTGAAGAACATTAATGAATAAATTCTTAAACTTTCTGTGACCCAAGACATAAACGGAAATGGGTACGAAATGCCAATAAGTAATGTCAAACATTTCAAATCCGCTGAAATGTGAATGGGGAAGGAATGTGCCAGGATAATTGATAAAAAAAACACATACAACAAAATTAAAGAAGGACTCAGTCACACGCTCATCCTCATTACTGCGTTGAGATAAGCAATTTGCCCACTTGATAACCTTATCCTGTCCTTGAGGGGGCGGACGTGTCCTTCTGGTTGGGTGCCGCTCATCTGTCAGTGTTTGTCAGAGTTCATTCGACGGGATATTAAAACGAAGTGAGTCCGGGAAATCAAATGATATGGAATTAAATGACTCGCAGCATCGGAAGGCCCAAGTTTAAATTACTTTTCGGTTTCTCACATATGTTAAAACGACTTTTTTTCGGCTTCGACTGGAGTTTCCGACTTTTAAATGCCAACCCAGGAAACGGAAATGCTGTCGATGGTCTGAATTAAGAGGAGTTTGTTTTACATATTGCTCAAGTTTAATAACCATTTTAGTTTAAGTAAGAGAAAAACAACATTTTACACTTTACCTAGTTTTTTACTTTACAATTTTCTTAAAAGTTTATGCTTAACCATTTAATTAAAGTATTATTTTTAGCTTATATGGGATGTATGAGTATATTTATATTTATTATACCGAAACCCCCGAAAAGTATGCCAAGCATTTTGGTATGAAAATGTAATGGAAAATATTAAGTAGCCGCCATGGAGTACAGCATGGGTTTTACTAAGTGGTCTAATTATAGCCACAAATTACAGCTACACTGAGGGAAACTAATTGGTTTAAATGTACTATATTTTCAAGCCTGAGAAATGTATTAAAGGTCCTGATCAAAGATAGCTTAAAATCATATAGTAGCTATGACAATGACTTTTCCCCTTGAGTGCATTCCTATCTTTTGCCTTTAAATTTCATTAAATTAAATAATTTCAGCTTTCAGCTCTTAAAATAAATTATTATCCCCACTCGAAGCCGAGTTTCCTTACTTATTATTTCTCTTTGTGCGTGTGCTTGCAGATGCCAACTTTGAAGAGTCTGGATTTGGGGCCAGAATGCTGAAGGCGACCGTCAAAGTTTAAAGGACTTGGTTTGAGTTGGCTTGAGAGTTGGTGGTGGTGGCCCCATTGCAAACGTCAACGATACCCACTTGAATGGAGCTTGAAAAAGACTTGGGCTTTGAGCGGAGCCGCCGATTGCTGCCGGAGGGCGACGAGCGGCTTTACTACATTGAGCCGCAGCAGCCGTTGCTGCGGAATGAGGAGGATGACTACCTGGACTCCGCCTCCCTGCTGTACAATGCCACCAAACGGCTAGCGGAGGACGACGGCGGCTCCACCACGACCATTCCGCTCCTTTTCCCCGAGCTGGACGAGTCCTTTAACGTCACCATCCTGATGAACTTCAGCTGCGACGTCACGGATGACTCGGAGTCCGGTGACCTGTGGTCCAGCGTCTACTTCAAGAGCGCCGTCTACCTGCTGTACATTCCCATCTTCATGTTCGCCCTGCTGGGCAACGGCACCGTCTGCTACATTGTCCAGGCTACGCCGCGCATGCGGACCGTCACCAATTACTTCATAGCCAACCTGGCCCTGGGCGACATCCTGATGTCCCTGTTCTGCGTCCCCTCGTCCTTCATCTCGATCTATATCCTGAATTACTGGCCCTTTGGCATAGTGCTTTGCCACTTTGTGAACTACTCGCAGGCGGTCTCTGTGCTCGTCACCGCCTATACCCTGGTGGCCATCAGTATCGATCGCTATATAGCCATCATGTGGCCCCTGAAGCCAAGGATCACAAAGAGGTAAGTTGGAGTTAGAATAGGATTAGAATATATACTTCCTTTATAGCAGCAACTATTTCCCTTTAAACGCATGAACAATTCAAACTAGTAACCATAAAAAGGCATTTCATAAATTCATGATAATTACATTTCACTTGCAAATAATATAAATATTTGAGGAGGTATGTTTCTGTGGAAAATATCCTGCAAAAGGCTAAATAATTCGAATTGAAATAAAAGCAGAATTAATGGTAATTTAAATGAATAAATACCTTGGTAGCTTGGTTCTATGAAATTATACTCATCATATGTATATGTATACTCATATCAAGAATGCAATTTAAATTATGTTAAAATAGATTTCATTTATTTTTCTATTGAAGTAAGAGAAAGCCTCAGTTTTATTATTTATATAAAAGTAGGTCTTCCACTATTTTTCCCGCCCTTTTCAGAGGCGTTGTCCCCTCCCTTAAATAGCTTTTCCAACTGTTTTAGTTCAAGTGGCAAGTGGCGGGACTCCGAGTGGCGTGCCTGGACACCGTTAAGTGACCGCTGGGGCTACTTTCACTGCCCTTCTCGCTGTCACTTTCCACTTGACCCCAAGCCGTCTCCTGGGAGTAGGCCATGAGTGGCTCCCGGCTCGTGTTAATTGGTTTAAATAGTAATCCGAGACTCTGACGCGGCGGCATTTGCTCAAAATCCAAAGCAGCCATCGTCCGGCTGCATGGCAAACGTCAATTGGTTTGGTAATGAGAGACGGCTCCCTCATCCCGGTGTGTGTCACTCCACTGACATCCATCTCATCTCCCGCCGAGTTTGGAGCACCGGCTGGCATGAGTACTTTTTGCTCGAGCTGCTCCTAATGGAGATTACGGGGAAAGGGGCTGGTAGGAGCAGAAAGTGCGCGAGAAGTAATATGTTTGCACAGAGCAAAAATATTTGAAAAGTATAAATAATATATATATTTAAATGGCTTTGAAGGCTTCTTTAAAGCCGGAATGTATTGCACTTCTGTATTCATTTTTAAATTACTAATATTTTTTCAAATACATTTTCAATAGTTCAAACTTAAAATCATATAACAAAGGGCTTCAAATTTCTCTCTCTGCCTGCCATTGGCTTACTAACCCACTGACGTCAATGTTTGCATATGTTCATGGTGGGAGCCGACAGCCATCCTTCGTGTTGTTTGCAAATATTTGTGGCGACATTAAAGCAAATACCGCTGATAATTATTCAACATGACTGTGCGTAGCTACCGCAAGGCGGTAAGCGGTCCTCAGCCGAAACCCTACCGCTTAATGCTGCTAAGTGCCAAGTGCTTAATGCCGCTTATCATGCTCACAGGCGGCCGGAAAAGCGGTTTTCAGCCAAAGCCCAGAGCATTACTCATACGCCACGTTGAGGGACAGGAATTTGTTTGGCAGAACTGCTTTAGAATTTATGAGCGCACTTTTTGCAGGCAACTGGATTCACTGACTGATGACTTTAAATAACAGACTTTTTAAATATTTATCAGGGAATCAAATGTGCACTTACGAGGCCTCAACTTTGACCTTTTGGAGTAATGCCAAATATGAAGCGTTATATGTTTTGTTTGAAATTGGAATAAATAAAATAAAGTAAAGTAATCTTATGTTTCAGGAAGGCTAATATTTTGATAAACTGTTGCAGATTTTAGGGAAAGGAAAGGAATTGCAGTTGGAAGTGACATATCCTAACTAATGTATGATGTATTTATCCTTACAGATATGCCAAGTTCATCATAAGCGGCATTTGGTTCATAGCCCTGGCCACCGCCTTTCCCATTCCGCTCGTCTCCCGCCTCGTCCAGCCGCCGTCACCGTGGCACCAGAAGTGCGACAAGTGAGTAACGCTTTAGTGCTAATAATAACATACACTGGGAAAAATATAAAAGAAATTGATACACCATAAAATATACACAACATAAGTGTTAAATATCCTTTCAGCATAACATTTCTTAATACCAGTTGAAATGAATACCAATTTTTAAGGATAAAACATGGAAAAACGCTTCATATTAGTCACTTATTTTTAATGCAACATTTGTATTCCTCATACCCTAAATGTAAATGCTAAATATGAATCCTTTCTTAAATAAATACTTTTATACCCTAGCATTTCAGTCAAAAGCATAAAACTAAGTAAAGGAGTCATTTCCGACCCTATAAATCATATATATTCGTGATCAGCATCAGCAGGCGAATCTTTCTGGCTATCTCTGGCAAAAACAAAAATTTTCAAAATAATTTCCATTTATTTTAATAAATAAAATATTGAAAAATCGGCAAAAAATTCAATTTTTTTAATTTTTAGATCAAGTATGCAGATCTATTAACCTTTAGAAAATTAACCTACGAACGCTTTCCGAATGGAATTTAATGCATTTTTGACTTAGTTATGATGGATTTTCTCTGCAAAATATAGAAGTTATAGTTTCCTTTTTTGTTTCGAGTGCTTTATGCGGACGAATCCAAGAATATTTGTGGCTCTTCACGATTTGATGGAAGTGTCTCCGTGCCAAGACGGATGTGGCCGGCATTAGGCCAAACTGCCACAATTCCAAGGAATTTCAGCTTGAAAAGAAAACAGGGATCAGACTTGGCTCGAGTGGAGCACAAATAAGATATATTACACACATTTTTCCGCTTTTGCTTTCCCTCATCAAGTCGGGGGAGAAAAGCGGGCGAGTATTTTTAACTTTTGCCAGGATAATGCGAATGCAAATACGACTCTCATCTGCAGGCTACATTTGCTTTTCCCAACTGAGTTCAACTATGCTGAAAGTCATATCTAATTGCAACAGCAGGACAATGTCCAGAGTCCGGAGCAGAGAGACGCTTAGCATAAAAATGTAATTGCACACTCATCCGTAAGGGCCAGGACACTTTCCGGAATGGGGATAGCCTTTTAGTCCGTTGTGACAGTTTATTTTGGCCGCCCACATAACTGTCCACTCGAAACTAATGCACTGCCCCCTCTTGTGTTGCTCTTTTCATGCGAAATCCTTTGTGCGTGACGGGCGCATCCATCAGATACATCTGCCGCGAAATGTGGCCAGAGCGGAACCAGGAGTACTACTACACGCTGTCCTTGTTCACGCTGCAGTTCGTCGTCCCGCTGCTGGTGCTCATCTACACGTACACCCGCATCGCCATCCGAGTCTGGGGCAAGCGGCCTCCGGGCGAGGCGGAGACCTCGCGCGACCAGCGGATGGCACGCTCCAAGCGCAAGGTGAGTCCACTCCCAGTAACCCTTCTCCTTTGGATGCCCCCACCTCTATTAGACCGCAAAAACTAATTTGGCCGCCAAATGGACCAGGTCCATTAGGGAAGGGTTTTCGGTTATGAGGCACAATATATAAATTGGATATTTAACATATGGTGGTGGGTGGTCGGTTCATGGGGGCATTTATTCTGCTATCTTTGCCAAGAATTGTAAGAAATTGAAAAGTAAAAGTCAAGGGAATCAACTTATAAATATAGATTTTCCTTAAGAATTCTCTACCTTAAGGCATTGACAGTCTTTGCTCCTTTTTCAGTATACTAAAAATATTTTTCCGCTTCCGTTTTATTCCTGTCCAGACATTTGTGAAACGCTTTGCTGAATAATCGAAAGTGCTGAAAAAAAGATAGAAACATTGTTAATTGAATGCTGTAGCACGAATGAATGGGGGAATTGAAGGTTACTTCTTAGAATTTAAATGAAGTGGAAGAGAAATTAACTTACGCCTCGAACTGAAAGAATTCAGTCAGTTTAGAGTAATTATTGGGAAATATTTGTGGGTGCTTATGTCAAGAAATGTTTATTTAACAAATAACATAATCTTGAGATACATATTATGTAAAAATTACAAAAAAAAACCTTATATTTGCTATTGTCTCAACATTGCAAATATAATAACTACCCTTATTAACTTGATCATTTAGTAGGGCCCCAAAATATGTTATTTAAATTATTATCATTTAAAATAAAAGAGAAGCCAGCAATAAGTTTGATCAACTATACTTACTTATACAATGTTTATAATTTGCTTGCATAATTCCAACCACCAATGCACTTAACCCATCTTTTTGTGGTGTTTCTGTTGACTCTGGAGTTTAACCCCAATCGCAACAGCACCTTGCCACTGCCACAACTGCCTCGATCGGCAGTCAATGACAAGCCTCGCCACTTGTTGGAGGAGCTGCTGCTCCAAGTGAACTCAGACTCAAGACTCGAGTTAAAGTCAAAAGCGGAGCTGGGACCAAACTGAGCCATCAAGCAGGCGGAGATCTGTGTGTGTGGAAACGGCAACCAAGACGACGACGACAGCTGTCGAAGCAGCTTCAATCTTCAAATTGATTTTGCATTTTTTTACGGCGAAGAAAACCCGGGGTCAATGGGGAGCAAGCGTGGCAAGGCTGGCGGCTTCCTGCTCCTCACAGTGGTGTTTTCCCTGACTTTCTGAATGGGTATAGAGGTTTTGAAAAGGGGTTTATACTTTTACTTATGGAAATATATATTCCTTAAACTGACACAGAAAATCCTTTCCTTATTTCAAAAGTGAACTTGGTGGCAGTGATTTTAATGACTTCATGTGTAAGAGCATTTATAGCATCGACTTTTGTTACACATTTCTTAGATTTTCGAGTTTTTGGTTGGTTTTGGGCCGTGGCAGCATGCCAAATAGCATGTAATGCTCACATAATCGCCAGGCAGCAAGCAACAGGCACGGCCACTATTTACAATATTTACAATACTTACAATAAACTTGCGCGCCTCAGGTTTCGGGTGAAGTAAATGAGAAAAGATTTATGGGGTGCATGTGTCTTGGTACTTGGTACTTACCCGAACCCGCCTGCAGGCCTCCAACTGCGACTGGAATTGCCATCCAATACAGCATCTTGTGTGATCTTCCAGGAAATCAATTGCCATTGGGGTTGGGGGTGGAGGACCACGTAACCACTTTGGTTGTCAAACGAGCCCCCAAAGTCGATGGCCAATTGTGCAGCTGAGAAAATAATATAAAAAAACAAAAATAGGGAAAAACCTGAAAGCCAGTTGGTCTGGGCCTGGACCAGAGTGTGAATTTGCCTTGTGCTGGCAACGACCTTTCCCAGAGACAGCTGTTTTAATGGTCAGGAGATTCCCCTTTGATTTAAGCCAAAACTTCAAGTATGAAGACAACAAGTTATGCCACTTTAAGCCCTACTTTGGCTTAAGCCGCAGACTCTGATGGCTTCACCACCAGCCAGGCCCAGTAATTATAATCGCCATATTTGAGGGTGGCCACCAGTGGAAGCCGCATGACTGGACAATCCGTACGTAAGACAACCTGGGACAGGGACAGGGACAGGAACCGGGACGGGACGGGATGGGACTTCAAACTGAAAGCAAGAAAAACACAATTGCTGACAGTTTTTCGCCCACCGCTGTGCAATGTTACCCAATTCGAGCCCAAGGCGATGCGGCCACTTCATCTGCCATTCACTTTTCTGAGATGCAGTGGCTCTGCTCCATCCGATCCCTGACCATCCTGCCGGGCTTGCTGCTCGTTGCCCAAAAAGTAGCTGCAAATGGTTATTTGGTTACTTAACCCCGGCAACAATTTCGCTGACTTGGATTTTTCTCATTTTCTCATGCCTGCGACTGCTCTCCCTTCTGCCATCCGACGTCCAGCGTTGACAATTTCCTCCTTGAGTCTTACGTCGTTCAAACATTACATTTGGCAGCTGAAATGATTAGCAAATTGCCCGCGCTCTCTGTCCCCATGGGACCTCGGTGCGGTGGTTTCCTTGAAAATTGCAATCGTAATTGTCGCCTCCTTGTCAAAAGTCGATTGAAAATTACACATTTATTGGGTAATCTTTAAATTAATTATGGTTGTGTTTGCCAACGATGAGGAAAGGGGGCAACCTGGCGTATACGTGATGTATTTTTCCAAGGGACTTCTTGAAGAGAACTCTTGAGTTTAATTTGTAAGCGTAATAGTTGAAGAAAATAATTGCAATTAGTTATAAAGAGCAGTTTTAATGACATCGTTATTTTTAGGGGGCTCATTAACAGGAAGGGGAATACCTGGCGTATACGTGATTTTTTTTGCTTAAAGGGGAACTTTAGCAAATGGCACACTTAATACTTTTGTTAAGTCTAAACACGTTACAATTGCTGGAAAATAATAAACTCGATTAGCTTATATTCCTTTAAAAAAATACTTCAAATTATATCATTGAGAAGCAAGTTTATTCTTCATCTTATTTTATAAAAGGTTTATGATAAACATAGGGTATTATAATTTTTAGTCAGAAGCTTGAAACTAAGTGAAGGAGCAACTAATTTAAAACTTTGATATATAGAAAAAGTTGTCATCTTCAAATATGAATATAAATGGATTCAAAAAAAGCGAAAATTTTAAGTTAAGTTATGTTTGTTTCTCGATACCAAACTATATTTCAATTGCAAACTACAATGTTATACATATAAACCTTGATTTGCCGAAGTTAGTTTTCTTTCTTGTAATTTATCCACTTAGTTTGATTTTTTTAAACAAAACTAAAACCTTTATGTGCCAACAGAAAGAAAGCTTCTAAATCACAACTTCTTCTTTTATTCCATTTGTCTTACGTCAAATCCGTTTTATTATGGCAAAAATGAAATAAAAATAAATTCGCATTCGCTTTTGCTTTTGCTTTTGCTTTTGCTTGTGCTTTTGCTCTGCTGTTGCTTTTGTCAATATTTGTCAAGTGTTTCCTAAAATCGTTTGCACGAGTTGCAAATCACAGGCCATCATCTAATTGCTGGGAAACACAGACACCTTCGAGCGGGGCGAAACAATCAGCCGAATAATATTATTGCTGACTTGGGTCGATGACACTTCATAGCGATTGCGCCTTTGGATTGAGTCGAGTATCGGGTATGACTTCTCCTCGTTTCTTTTTTTATTTATTTTTGCACAACCAACTATTATCGATCGGCGGTGGCAGCTGGCCAACGCCACCGAATCTGCATCGACATCACCATCGCCATCGCCATCGCCATCGGCATTTGCATCAGAGCCAGACTGCGTTTTGTCACTAATGTGTAATGTGTAGGAAACGCGGCTCATTTGGCGCGATTGCTTCTTGTTTGCTGGCAAATCGTTAATTGCATAATTGACTGCAAGAGGCGTAACTCACGGCCCGAAAGTCGTCATGTATTGGATTGGCCATCGTCATCATCATCATCATCATCATCATGATCGTCAGCTCTCGTCTTAGCTGTTGGAGTCGTCCTCCCAATGCCTGGTCATGGCGCTGGAGACGCAGCCAAGAGACTGATGTGCCATGGGCAGGTCCGGGTGCGGGTCTTCCATGCCAAAAACAGGGGGCGCGGCAGCAGTCCAATCCGCAACGGGTCCCCATTTCCACTATTTCTCTTTTTGTTTGTTGCATTTTATTACCCTTGGAGATGCTCTGAAGGAGACCGAGGTATTTGAGTTGGAATTAATATTTGGATAAATAAAAAATTAAATTAAGCATAACACTTTAAAGATTTGCTTAGCGGAAAGTTTGAATTTGAGGAGGTAACAAATATTACGACTGTATTATTTAGCAAGTTTACTCGAGAAAACTCTTTAAAATTGTACTGAAGGGTATTCCCCTCTTCGACACACTCCTTGATTTATTTATTCGAATGATGCTGCAGCCGAGGACTGATGTTGCAGCGGCGTCATCGTCTCTTCTCTTTCAACGGAATTGTGTTAAAATGTTAATTTCATGTTACGTAATCTGTGTCATATCCAGCCGGCAGAAAGGCAACCAGCCAGCCAGGCAGGCATTTGGCCAGCCAGCTGGAGCTGGGATTGGGATTGGGATTGGGATCTTCATCATCGCTTTAGCACAGCTCAGGCCATGGATACAATGGGGAGTGCATGTGAAAAAAGTGAGAGGATTCCCAGGCTTGGCCAGTGGCACCACACACACTGGCACACTCCACACACTCACCCACGCAGAGAGGGGAGTGCGGAGTGCACTTTGTGCGTTTTGTGGCAAATTAAAAGATAAAACCCACAGAAGGCAGCAGCTGCAGCAGCGGCAACAGGCTGCAATTAGTCTCCCTCTTCTTGCCATTCGTTTATCTTGCAGTTTGCATCTTTCTTTGCCTTGGTACTTCCCCCTCTGAAATTCCGCTTTGTTGTTTTCCTTTGTAAGTCTTTTTAAACCCTTCCGTGTCATTGATTAATTTCCACCCAATTTATTTTTGGTCCAAATGTA